GGTGGCGACGGTGCATGCCACGAAGGCGTGGCAAGGAGGGGTGACCCAGGCGGTGGTGCCAGAGAAGAGTCTGGTGCGACAGGGAACGACACTCACAGGCGTGGGCTACCAGACCTGACGCAGACACCTGACCGACAGCAGCGACCTGAGGAGACGCAGTGGTCAGTGTGTAGAGACTCGACCCCGGCCGACGAGTAAACGTAGCCAGGTGACGGCCGGTCCTGGAGCACGTGAGGATCGCCACACGCTGTCCTCCAGGGGTAAAGGTGTCAACCCACTGATCCTGGATGACAGCGTTGCTCACCAGGTTCGTCGAGAACGAGGGGAGGTGGAAACCCGACAACGAGCCAGACGGAACCGCTGGACACGGGAGCACAGTGGTGGACCGTGCAAGGACTGGGCCCCCAGAGGGGTCAGCCAAGGAGACTGGGACCGGTGCAGGAAGCGGTGTGAGCTCAGTACGGTCACGAAAGAAACAGCGGGAAGCACCTGAGTCAAGGGTGAAGGTGTGACAGGCCTCAGCCGGTGCAGTACCTGAGAGAGCAGTCTCTGTGGGTGCTGTACCTGAGAGAGCAGACTCACAAGCAGCAGGGACAGTACCGGAGGGAGCAGCCACAGAGGGCACCAGACCAGAGAGAGCAGACTCACTAGTACCTAGGGCAGCGGGCTCTATACCTGGGTCAGGCGGCACACACAAGTAACAGTCTCCCTCGGCACTAACAGTCAATGCATACATGGCAGCAATAATAGCATCATAGTCAAGAGCAAAGATATCAACACCAGCCCTCATCAGCTCCGCCCAGCGGGGGCGCTCAACATCCTCGCCCATCTCCTCACGCCAAGCGTCGTCAAGGCGGGAGAAGCAGCGGTACGGGGTGTGGAACTTCCCACACGTCTGTCCCTTGCGGTCACCTGTGCGAATGACATAGGAACAGCGGACACTGCCCCCCGACGTCCCACGCTGAGCAAGCCACTCACGAAGCTGCTGGGTCGTCTGGGGACGCTGCTGCTGCTGGGAGCTCTGGCCCGAGCCAGTGCCTCCACTCCGACCTCCGCCGCCACCACTACCTCCGCTCCGACCGCCACCGCCGCCACCGCCACTGCCGCCACCGCCGCCGCCGCCACCACCGCCACTGCTCCCTCCGCCGCCCCCGCCTCCGCTGCCGACCCCACTCCCACCAGCACTCCCGCCACCGCTCCCTCCAGCACCGCCTCCCCCCCCACCTCCCCCACCTCCTCCCCCCCCAGCGCCACCCCCGCCACCCTTGCCCCCCTTGCCCTTGCCGCTGCGGCGCCTCCCACCAGGAGCAGAAGCAGCGCCAGCAGACTCAGCACCAAGGAAGTCAACAGCAGCAGCAGTAGCGTAGGAGGGAGCGAGGGGAGAGGGAGAACACCCCTCAAAGATGGGGGTGCGAGGAGCGCCACGAGCAGCACCGACAGCTACAATGCTCTTCTCGGCCGCTAGCAGCTGCTCCTCGAGGAGGGCGACTGTGAGCTCAGTGGGACAGCGAGCAAGGAAGTGGTCTCGAACTGAGCTGAGGGTGTCAGGGAGACGGGTGACTATGAAGTGGAGGGTCCAGTACAGTGGAGGGGGGTTCTTAGCGCAGAACTCGGTGGGAAGGGCGGCACGCAGGCGAGCATCACTAGTGCGAAGGTGGGTGATAAGATCGGCGACTGTAGCAAAGGTGGACAGCTCAGGGAACAGGTAAGGCAGCATGAGGCGGCTAAGCTCGGCTGTGGCAGGCGAGGAGTAGCGAGCAACGACAGCGTCGTACAGGGCCTTAGCGGATTTGCAGTCGCCAAAATGCTCGAGCTCAGCTAACGGTAGGTGATTGTGAATGGCTAGGCGAGCAGCTGCGTCACGAGTCTGCCAGTGGGAACGAACACTAAGCTCAGCTGTGGTAGGAGGGGCAGGCGCAGCACCAGACGCGTAATCATAGAGCGACACATGCTCCTTGCTATCGCTCAGGAGGAACAGCTGCAGGTCATCTAGCCAAGTGGTGAACTGCACAGGGCGGCCCTCAGCATCGAACGACAGCACGCGGATGGAAGCCATAGCGACAGCGCGACTGAGCAAAGCAAGCTGCCGCAGCGCTGCAAGCAGGTAGCTCGGTGGGGAGCGCGGCGGGCGGGCGGCGCTCTGAGCGGGCAGCGTGGCAGGTAGCGCGGCGGGCAGGCGGCGCTGCAAAGAGGCAGCGCGGCGGACGGCCACCGAAGCGGGCAGCGCGGCGGGCAGGCGGCGCTGCAAGCGGGCAGCGCGGCGGGCGGGCGGGCGACGCTGCGAGCGGGCAGCGCGGCGGGCGGGCTGCGAAGCGGGCAGCGCGGTGGGCAGGCGGCGCTGCAAGCGGGCAGCGCGGCGGGCGGGCGAAGCTGCGAGCGGGCAGCGCGGCGGGCGGGCGACGCTGCGAGCGGGCAGCGCGGCGGGCGGGCGACGCTGCGAGCGGGCAGCGCGGCGGGCGGGCGACGCTGCGAGCGGGCAGCGCGAGCGGATAGCGCGGCGGATGGGCGGCGCTACTGGCGGGCAGCGCGGCGGGCAGCGCAACGGGGGGCGCTGACGAGGGCGCTAACGAGAGGCGCACGAGGGCGCTAACGAGAGGCGCACGAGGGCGCTAACGAGAGGCGCACGAGGGCGCTAACGAGAGGCGCACGAGGGCGCTAACGAGAGGCGCACGAGGGCGCTAACGAGGGGCGCGCGAGGGCGCTAACGAGGGCGCGCGAGGGCGCTAACGAGGGCGCACGAGGGCGCTACGAGGCTAGGGCACGGGGTAGCGTGGTAACCGCATGCGAGCGGTGGTGGGCCCTAAAAAAAAACGGTCGGTAGGTCCTAGGGACCTCCTGCTCTGAATACCATATCAACAGGACTAGGCAAGAATGATGCATTGAAAGAAACAGTTGGGTACAAGTAGCTAACCCTAGTTGGGTTTGTACCCTGTATTGGCTACCCCACTACAGCCTACCCACATATAAATAACACATTACAACTTAACATATTATACACTATTACAGTATAGATGTATCACTACATATGTTTATTGGAGCAACCCGAATTAACCTTAATTCCAACAGGATTGGCCATTGAATGGGTCGAATGATTCATTACATCACTCCGTGAATGCACTGCTAAGCGCCTCAATAACATCTCCAGTGGTGGGGAGGTGCTCTCACACGCGGGGAATTACTGTCGGTAGTGAACTGTATCCTTCGTTCATGCGTTTAAGCTGCTTCGATGCCCTACTGAGTGCCTCGATAACATCGCAAATGGTGGGAAGTGCTCTCGCACACTAGTAATGCTGGCAGCATCTAGAGCCGGCACCAACAATGAGTAGAGCCAGGAGGAAACGAAGTACTATATCTATCGGGCCAAGCTGTATCACTCAGTGAATGCACTACTGAGCGCCTCGATAACATCCCCAATGGTAGGGAAGTGCTCGCGCACGCTGGGAATGCTGGCAGCATTTGGAGCCGGCACCAACAATGGGTAGAGCCAGGAGGAAACAACGGCTTATGATCTTTACAGGGCCAAGCTGCATCACTCAGTGAACGCACTACTGAGTGCCTCGATAACATCTCCAATGGTTGGGAAGTGCTCGCGCACGCTGGGAATGCTGGCAGCATCTGGAGCCGGCACGAGTGATGGGTAGAGCCAGGAGGAGACACTGCTGATGAATATGTCGGATGAGGGGCAGAGGATGGACTCCCAATCCACCTGCATGCATGGGGGACAGAGGGACGAGAGGATGGATGGTGAGCAGGTGAGAGGGGAATGGAACCGCCACGAGCGATGGGTAGAGCCATGAGGAGACGCTGGAGATGAATATGTCGGATGATGGGCAGAGGATGGACTCCCAATCCACCTGCACACAGCAGAGAGTGGTTGAAGGAGTTGCTGAGTGGGTAAGAGAGGTCAGGGAGGGTGGAGAGTGGGGCTTGAGTCACTGGAGATGAATATGCCTGATGAGGGGCAGAGGATGGACTCCCAGTCCACCTGCAGCATGGATGGGGGATGAGAGGATGGTTAGTGAGCAGGTGAGAGGGGAATGGAGCCGCACACCCTTGATAAGAGAGGGTACTGACCTGCACGACCCTGGGAATGGGCTGTGAGACTTGGAGTAGACATGATCACGAGTCGAGTCGAGCCGAGTCACCTCGAATCGCGGTCGAGTCGGGAGTTGCGTCGAGTCGAGTCGAGTCGAGCCATAGTCGAGTCAGTTTTCCGGAACTGCCGACTCGTGCTCGACTTCTGAAATCGAGTCATGCCTTGACTCGAGCACGAGTCAACAACTCGCGAGTCAGTCTTGACTCGACTTAACCGTAAAGAATTTTTAAGGGCCCCAAAAGTCGTGTCCTGATTCGTAGCTAGCATGCAAGGTAGGAATGACAAAATCCCGTCCCTTCCCCTTTCAGCACAGGTAAATTGATGCGCACCCAAAATTGCGTGAAAGGCGGAAATTGGGTGTCGGCGGAATTTGCGTGACAGGCGAAAATTGGGTGTCGGGGGAATTTGATGTGTGACAGGCGGAAATTGAGTGTTGGGGGGGGATTTGCATGTCGAGCGGAAATTGAGTGTCAAGGAAGATTTGCTAGTCAAGCGGAAATTGAGTGATGGTCGGGAATTCGGTGACGGGAGAAATTGCATGAGGAAAGGAGGGGGAATTGACAACGGGAATCCACGTGGATAAAGTTGGTGGCCCTCGAGTCAGGCCAGCTCGAATCGAGTCAGCCGACTCGCCGACTCGTGGCTCACCAGACTGTCCAAAGTCGAGTCGGGCGATGCATCGAGATTTCTCCTCAGTTCGACTCGACTCGACTCTACTCGAGTCAGGAAAATAAAATAACTGACTCGACTCGACCTAAAGTCGAGTCGAGCCAGCGAGTCAAGCTAAAACTCGCCTCGATTGATCATGTCTAACTTGGAGGTCAACAGCCAGCGGGAGCTGAGGCTACTGACCTGCACACCCTTGATAAGAGGTGGTACTGACCTGCACACCCTGGGCACTGACCTGCACGCCCCTGGGAATGGGCTGTGAGACTTGCAGGTCAACAGCCAGCAGCAGGGCGAGGGTCATGACATAGCCGTTCATGGCAGTGCCACGTGCCAATGGCATGAAGTTGTACCTGGGGTGGGTGGCACAGGGGCCAGGGGGAAGTGATATATTGGGACAGGTGAAGGGCATGATATGACATGGGCAGTTCATGGCTGTGCCATGTGCCAAGGGCATGAGGTTGTACCTGCGATGGATGGTGTGGGGGGCAGTGGGGAGAGAGGTATGGGAACAGTGCGAGGGTCATGACATGTCCGTTCATGGCTGTGCCACAGTGCCCTGTGCCATTGGCATGAAGTTGTACCTGTAGAAGGGGGGGGAGTGGGGAGAGAGACATGGGGACAAGGGAAGAGTCATGACTTAGCCGTTCATGGCTGCGCCCCGTGCCAAGGGCATGAAGTCGTACCTGAGGGGTTTGGCAGTAGGGAAGCCAAGCAGCTCGTTAAAGACGTTGGGGCAGACGGGGCCATTCTCACAGGCGAATGTATTGACAAAACATAACAGAACAAAGCACTGTGAGACATTACACCATGTGCCTTTCAGAATTTCTCACCACCACATGAGTCATTACTGGTTTGACCCACCAGATTTAAGAAACAGCCGTGAATGCTGCTTAACCCACCAGTAGTAAGCCATTCTGAGGATGTTGTCTTGAATCGCCTTGCGGTAGGCCTGCGGGTCCGAGTCACGGAGAGACGTGTGGGCCACTGACAGACAGATGTCCTGCAAAACAGGGGAGGAGAGGGGGGGAAGGGAGGGGGGGAGGGCCGGAATTAGATAAGAGATAGAGATGAGATGAACATCGCGTCACGGGCAGTGACTATTGGAGAATCCGGGTTTGTGTTACGAAGGGACGTATGCGATAGCGACCGGGAGATATACAGTAAGAGACTGTATCACATAGAGATAGTAGTAGGCAGGGAAGCACAGATAAAGACCGGGAGAGTGAGGGCCAGTTAGGTTGCATACTAGTTCCCCTCACGGCTCTGGACCGGTATTCCATCCCACCTTGAACCTTCCATGTACATGTCAAAGTTCCGCCATAACCATAGATTAGACCCTCTCCATCTGCTGGAAGTCAGCTCTTCACCATTTCAAAGCCACAACCATATGACGGTGCAGAAATCACAAGAACACACATGTCATGACAAGTGGAGTTTACCTTTGAAAACTCTCAAAAGTAAACTCCAGGCAACACATGTCATAACAAAGCGTGCCATGCCATGCCATCCATGATCCATCCATCCCAACTTCCATGCTGCAGCCATCTCCATATCAAAGTCTCGCCACCGGCTGGGCGTCAACTTGATAACACACATGCTGCTAAACATGATACTCCCCCACTTTCCACACACCATCCTCCCACCATCCCACCTTCCACGCTCATCTCCATATCAAAGTCTCGCCACCGGCTGGGCGTCAGCCGTGTAGCACTTCAGTCAAACGCCAACCCCCTAGGTAACACATATCATGCCATGCCGTGCCATGCCATCCATCCCACCTTCCATGCAGCTGCCATCTACATGTCAAAGTCTCGCCACCGGCTGAGCGTCAACTCAATGCTAAGGGTGCCAAACATGAAACCGCCACCCCACACCCGCAAACCATCACCACCACCCCACCTTCCATGCAGCTGCCATCTACATGTCAAAGTCTCGCCACCGGCTGAGCGTCAACTCAATGCTAAGGGTGCCAAACATGAAACCGCCACCCCACACCCGCAAACCATCACCACCACCCCACCTTCCATGCAGCTGCCATCTACATGTCAAAGTCTCGCCACCGGCTGAGCGTCAACTCAATGCTAAGGGTGCCAAACATGAAACCGCCACCCCACACCCGCAAACCATCACCACCACCCCACCTTCCATGCAGCTGCCATCTACATGTCAAAGTCTCGCCACCGGCTGAGCGTCAACTCAATGCTAAGGGTGCCAAACATGAAACCGCCACCCCACACCCGCAAACCATCACCACCACCCCACCTTCCATGCAGCTGCCATCTACATGTCAAAGTCTCGCCACCGGCTGAGCGTCAACTCAATGCTAAGGGTGCCAAACATGAAACCGCCACCCCACACCCGCAAACCATCACCACCACCCCACCTTCCATGCAGCTGCCATCTACATGTCAAAGTCTCGCCACCGGCTGAGCGTCAACTCAATGCTAAGGGTGCCAAACATGAAACCGCCACCCCACACCCGCAAACCATCACCACCACCCCACCTTCCATGCAGCTGCCATCTACATGTCAAAGTCTCGCCACCGGCTGAGCGTCAACTCAATGCTAAGGGTGCCAAACATGAAACCGCCACCCCACACCCGCAAACCATCACCACCACCCCACCTTCCATGCAGCTGCCATCTACATGTCAAAGTCTCGCCACCGGCTGAGCGTCAACTCAATGCTAAGGGTGCCAAACATGAAACCGCCACCCCACACCCGCAAACCATCACCACCACCCCACCTTCCATGCAGCTGCCATCTACATGTCAAAGTCTCGCCACCGGCTGAGCGTCAACTCAATGCTAAGGGTGCCAAACATGAAACCGCCACCCCACACCCGCAAACCATCACCACCACCCCACCTTCCATGCAGCTGCCATCTACATGTCAAAGTCTCGCCACCGGCTGAGCGTCAACTCAATGCTAAGGGTGCCAAACATGAAACCGCCACCCCACACCCGCAAACCATCACCACCACCCCACCTTCCATGCAGCTGCCATCTACATGTCAAAGTCTCGCCACCGGCTGAGCGTCAACTCAATGCTAAGGGTGCCAAACATGAAACCGCCACCCCACACCCGCAAACCATCACCACCACCCCACCTTCCATGCAGCTGCCATCTACATGTCAAAGTCTCGCCACCGGCTGAGCGTCAACTCAATGCTAAGGGTGCCAAACATGAAACCGCCACCCCACACCCGCAAACCATCACCACCACCCCACCTTCCATGCAGCTGCCATCTACATGTCAAAGTCTCGCCACCGGCTGAGCGTCAACTCAATGCTAAGGGTGCCAAACATGAAACCGCCACCCCACACCCGCAAACCATCACCACCACCCCACCTTCCATGCAGCTGCCATCTACATGTCAAAGTCTCGCCACCGGCTGAGCGTCAACTCAATGCTAAGGGTGCCAAACATGAAACCGCCACCCCACACCCGCAAACCATCACCACCACCCCACCTTCCATGCAGCTGCCATCTACATGTCAAAGTCTCGCCACCGGCTGAGCGTCAACTCAATGCTAAGGGTGCCAAACATGAAACCGCCACCCCACACCCGCAAACCATCACCACCACCCCACCTTCCATGCAGCTGCCATCTACATGTCAAAGTCTCGCCACCGGCTGAGCGTCAACTCAATGCTAAGGGTGCCAAACATGAAACCGCCACCCCACACCCGCAAACCATCACCACCACCCCACCTTCCATGCAGCTGCCATCTACATGTCAAAGTCTCGCCACCGGCTGAGCGTCAACTCAATGCTAAGGGTGCCAAACATGAAACCGCCACCCCACACCCGCAAACCATCACCACCACCCCACCTTCCATGCAGCTGCCATCTACATGTCAAAGTCTCGCCACCGGCTGAGCGTCAACTCAATGCTAAGGGTGCCAAACATGAAACCGCCACCCCACACCCGCAAACCATCACCACCACCCCACCTTCCATGCAGCTGCCATCTACATGTCAAAGTCTCGCCACCGGCTGAGCGTCAACTCAATGCTAAGGGTGCCAAACATGAAACCGCCACCCCACACCCGCAAACCATCACCACCACCCCACCTTCCATGCAGCTGCCATCTACATGTCAAAGTCTCGCCACCGGCTGAGCGTCAACTCAATGCTAAGGGTGCCAAACATGAAACCGCCACCCCACACCCGCAAACCATCACCACCACCCCACCTTCCATGCAGCTGCCATCTACATGTCAAAGTCTCGCCACCGGCTGAGCGTCAACTCAATGCTAAGGGTGCCAAACATGAAACCGCCACCCCACACCCGCAAACCATCACCACCACCCCACCTTCCATGCAGCTGCCATCTACATGTCAAAGTCTCGCCACCGGCTGAGCGTCAACTCAATGCTAAGGGTGCCAAACATGAAACCGCCACCCCACACCCGCAAACCATCACCACCACCCCACCTTCCATGCAGCTGCCATCTACATGTCAAAGTCTCGCCACCGGCTGAGCGTCAACTCAATGCTAAGGGTGCCAAACATGAAACCGCCACCCCACACCCGCAAACCATCACCACCACCCCACCTTCCATGCAGCTGCCATCTACATGTCAAAGTCTCGCCACCGGCTGAGCGTCAACTCAATGCTAAGGGTGCCAAACATGAAACCGCCACCCCACACCCGCAAACCATCACCACCACCCCACCTTCCATGCAGCTGCCATCTACATGTCAAAGTCTCGCCACCGGCTGAGCGTCAACTCAATGCTAAGGGTGCCAAACATGAAACCGCCACCCCACACCCGCAAACCATCACCACCACCCCACCTTCCATGCAGCTGCCATCTACATGTCAAAGTCTCGCCACCGGCTGAGCGTCAACTCAATGCTAAGGGTGCCAAACATGAAACCGCCACCCCACACCCGCAAACCATCACCACCACCCCACCTTCCATGCAGCTGCCATCTACATGTCAAAGTCTCGCCACCGGCTGAGCGTCAACTCAATGCTAAGGGTGCCAAACATGAAACCGCCACCCCACACCCGCAAACCATCACCACCACCCCACCTTCCATGCAGCTGCCATCTACATGTCAAAGTCTCGCCACCGGCTGAGCGTCAACTCAATGCTAAGGGTGCCAAACATGAAACCGCCACCCCACACCCGCAAACCATCACCACCACCCCACCTTCCATGCAGCTGCCATCTACATGTCAAAGTCTCGCCACCGGCTGAGCGTCAACTCAATGCTAAGGGTGCCAAACATGAAACCGCCACCCCACACCCGCAAACCATCACCACCACCCCACCTTCCATGCAGCTGCCATCTACATGTCAAAGTCTCGCCACCGGCTGAGCGTCAACTCAATGCTAAGGGTGCCAAACATGAAACCGCCACCCCACACCCGCAAACCATCACCACCACCCCACCTTCCATGCAGCTGCCATCTACATGTCAAAGTCTCGCCACCGGCTGAGCGTCAACTCAATGCTAAGGGTGCCAAACATGAAACCGCCACCCCACACCCGCAAACCATCACCACCACCCCACCTTCCATGCAGCTGCCATCTACATGTCAAAGTCTCGCCACCGGCTGAGCGTCAACTCAATGCTAAGGGTGCCAAACATGAAACCGCCACCCCACACCCGCAAACCATCACCACCACCCCACCTTCCATGCAGCTGCCATCTACATGTCAAAGTCTCGCCACCGGCTGAGCGTCAACTCAATGCTAAGGGTGCCAAACATGAAACCGCCACCCCACACCCGCAAACCATCACCACCACCCCACCTTCCATGCAGCTGCCATCTACATGTCAAAGTCTCGCCACCGGCTGAGCGTCAACTCAATGCTAAGGGTGCCAAACATGAAACCGCCACCCCACACCCGCAAACCATCACCACCACCCCACCTTCCATGCAGCTGCCATCTACATGTCAAAGTCTCGCCACCGGCTGAGCGTCAACTCAATGCTAAGGGTGCCAAACATGAAACCGCCACCCCACACCCGCAAACCATCACCACCACCCCACCTTCCATGCAGCTGCCATCTACATGTCAAAGTCTCGCCACCGGCTGAGCGTCAACTCAATGCTAAGGGTGCCAAACATGAAACCGCCACCCCACACCCGCAAACCATCACCACCACCCCACCTTCCATGCAGCTGCCATCTACATGTCAAAGTCTCGCCACCGGCTGAGCGTCAACTCAATGCTAAGGGTGCCAAACATGAAACCGCCACCCCACACCCGCAAACCATCACCACCACCCCACCTTCCATGCAGCTGCCATCTACATGTCAAAGTCTCGCCACCGGCTGAGCGTCAACTCAATGCTAAGGGTGCCAAACATGAAACCGCCACCCCACACCCGCAAACCATCACCACCACCCCACCTTCCATGCAGCTGCCATCTACATGTCAAAGTCTCGCCACCGGCTGAGCGTCAACTCAATGCTAAGGGTGCCAAACATGAAACCGCCACCCCACACCCGCAAACCATCACCACCACCCCACCTTCCATGCAGCTGCCATCTACATGTCAAAGTCTCGCCACCGGCTGAGCGTCAACTCAATGCTAAGGGTGCCAAACATGAAACCGCCACCCCACACCCGCAAACCATCACCACCACCCCACCTTCCATGCAGCTGCCATCTACATGTCAAAGTCTCGCCACCGGCTGAGCGTCAACTCAATGCTAAGGGTGCCAAACATGAAACCGCCACCCCACACCCGCAAACCATCACCACCACCCCACCTTCCATGCAGCTGCCATCTACATGTCAAAGTCTCGCCACCGGCTGAGCGTCAACTCAATGCTAAGGGTGCCAAACATGAAACCGCCACCCCACACCCGCAAACCATCACCACCACCCCACCTTCCATGCAGCTGCCATCTACATGTCAAAGTCTCGCCACCGGCTGAGCGTCAACTCAATGCTAAGGGTGCCAAACATGAAACCGCCACCCCACACCCGCAAACCATCACCACCACCCCACCTTCCATGCAGCTGCCATCTACATGTCAAAGTCTCGCCACCGGCTGAGCGTCAACTCAATGCTAAGGGTGCCAAACATGAAACCGCCACCCCACACCCGCAAACCATCACCACCACCCCACCTTCCATGCAGCTGCCATCTACATGTCAAAGTCTCGCCACCGGCTGAGCGTCAACTCAATGCTAAGGGTGCCAAACATGAAACCGCCACCCCACACCCGCAAACCATCACCACCACCCCACCTTCCATGCAGCTGCCATCTACATGTCAAAGTCTCGCCACCGGCTGAGCGTCAACTCAATGCTAAGGGTGCCAAACATGAAACCGCCACCCCACACCCGCAAACCATCACCACCACCCCACCTTCCATGCAGCTGCCATCTACATGTCAAAGTCTCGCCACCGGCTGAGCGTCAACTCAATGCTAAGGGTGCCAAACATGAAACCGCCACCCCACACCCGCAAACCATCACCACCACCCCACCTTCCATGCAGCTGCCATCTACATGTCAAAGTCTCGCCACCGGCTGAGCGTCAACTCAATGCTAAGGGTGCCAAACATGAAACCGCCACCCCACACCCGCAAACCATCACCACCACCCCACCTTCCATGCAGCTGCCATCTACATGTCAAAGTCTCGCCACCGGCTGAGCGTCAACTCAATGCTAAGGGTGCCAAACATGAAACCGCCACCCCACACCCGCAAACCATCACCACCACCCCACCTTCCATGCAGCTGCCATCTACATGTCAAAGTCTCGCCACCGGCTGAGCGTCAACTCAATGCTAAGGGTGCCAAACATGAAACCGCCACCCCACACCCGCAAACCATCACCACCACCCCACCTTCCATGCAGCTGCCATCTACATGTCAAAGTCTCGCCACCGGCTGAGCGTCAACTCAATGCTAAGGGTGCCAAACATGAAACCGCCACCCCACACCCGCAAACCATCACCACCACCCCACCTTCCATGCAGCTGCCATCTACATGTCAAAGTCTCGCCACCGGCTGAGCGTCAACTCAATGCTAAGGGTGCCAAACATGAAACCGCCACCCCACACCCGCAAACCATCACCACCACCCCACCTTCCATGCAGCTGCCATCTACATGTCAAAGTCTCGCCACCGGCTGAGCGTCAACTCAATGCTAAGGGTGCCAAACATGAAACCGCCACCCCACACCCGCAAACCATCACCACCACCCCACCTTCCATGCAGCTGCCATCTACATGTCAAAGTCTCGCCACCGGCTGAGCGTCAACTCAATGCTAAGGGTGCCAAACATGAAACCGCCACCCCACACCCGCAAACCATCACCACCACCCCACCTTCCATGCAGCTGCCATCTACATGTCAAAGTCTCGCCACCGGCTGAGCGTCAACTCAATGCTAAGGGTGCCAAACATGAAACCGCCACCCCACACCCGCAAACCATCACCACCACCCCACCTTCCATGCAGCTGCCATCTACATGTCAAAGTCTCGCCACCGGCTGAGCGTCAACTCAATGCTAAGGGTGCCAAACATGAAACCGCCACCCCACACCCGCAAACCATCACCACCACCCCACCTTCCATGCAGCTGCCATCTACATGTCAAAGTCTCGCCACCGGCTGAGCGTCAACTCAATGCTAAGGGTGCCAAACATGAAACCGCCACCCCACACCCGCAAACCATCACCACCACCCCACCTTCCATGCAGCTGCCATCTACATGTCAAAGTCTCGCCACCGGCTGAGCGTCAACTCAATGCTAAGGGTGCCAAACATGAAACCGCCACCCCACACCCGCAAACCATCACCACCACCCCACCTTCCATGCAGCTGCCATCTACATGTCAAAGTCTCGCCACCGGCTGAGCGTCAACTCAATGCTAAGGGTGCCAAACATGAAACCGCCACCCCACACCCGCAAACCATCACCACCACCCCACCTTCCATGCAGCTGCCATCTACATGTCAAAGTCTCGCCACCGGCTGAGCGTCAACTCAATGCTAAGGGTGCCAAACATGAAACCGCCACCCCACACCCGCAAACCATCACCACCACCCCACCTTCCATGCAGCTGCCATCTACATGTCAAAGTCTCGCCACCGGCTGAGCGTCAACTCAATGCTAAGGGTGCCAAACATGAAACCGCCACCCCACACCCGCAAACCATCACCACCACCCCACCTTCCATGCAGCTGCCATCTACATGTCAAAGTCTCGCCACCGGCTGAGCGTCAACTCAATGCTAAGGGTGCCAAACATGAAACCGCCACCCCACACCCGCAAACCATCACCACCACCCCACCTTCCATGCAGCTGCCATCTACATGTCAAAGTCTCGCCACCGGCTGAGCGTCAACTCAATGCTAAGGGTGCCAAACATGAAACCGCCACCCCACACCCGCAAACCATCACCACCACCCCACCTTCCATGCAGCTGCCATCTACATGTCAAAGTCTCGCCACCGGCTGAGCGTCAACTCAATGCTAAGGGTGCCAAACATGAAACCGCCACCCCACACCCGCAAACCATCACCACCACCCCACCTTCCATGCAGCTGCCATCTACATGTCAAAGTCTCGCCACCGGCTGAGCGTCAACTCAATGCTAAGGGTGCCAAACATGAAACCGCCACCCCACACCCGCAAACCATCACCACCACCCCACCTTCCATGCAGCTGCCATCTACATGTCAAAGTCTCGCCACCGGCTGAGCGTCAACTCAATGCTAAGGGTGCCAAACATGAAACCGCCACCCCACACCCGCAAACCATCACCACCACCCCACCTTCCATGCAGCTGCCATCTACATGTCAAAGTCTCGCCACCGGCTGGGAGTCAACTCAATGCTAAGGGTGCCAAACATGAAACCGCCACCCCACACCCGCAAACCATCACCACCACCCCACCTTCCATGCAGCTGCCATCTACATGTCAAAGTCTCGCCACCGGCTGGGAGTCAACTCAATGCTAAGGGTGCCAAACATGAAACCGCCACCCCACACCCGCAAACCATCACCACCACCCCACCTTCCATGCAGCTGCCATCTACATGTCAAAGTCTCGCCACCGGCTGGGAGCCAGCTCTGTGTAAGGGTGCCAAACATTACAACGCACATCACATCACACTCCACACACCATGCACTATGCAAGCAGCGCCATCCCACCTTCCACGCTGCAGCCATCTCCATATCAAAGTCTCGCCACCGGCTGGGCGTCAGCGGTGTGCGGATCGCAAACTCCTGCCCGGGGTCGCTGTGTTGGAGGAGGGAGGAGGGGGGGAGGAGAGGGAAGAGGGGTTGGAAAGTGGGGGAAAAAATGGAGAGTGGGGCTGCCATCTCCAAATCAAAGTCTCGCCACCGGCTGGGCGTCAGCGGTGTGCGGATTGCAAACTCCTGCCCGGGGTCGCTGCGAAAACGAGGGGGGTGGGGGAGGGGGAGGGAGGGGGGGGGGGGGGGGGGGGGGGGGTTGGGAAGGGGGAATAAATCGAGAGTGGGGGAGTCAGAAAAGAGAGGGTGTGAGCAAGGCGTGACTGTGAGTCATGCAAACGACTAACTCCTGCCCCGGGTTGCTGCTGTGACAAAGGAGGGAAGTGGGGAAGTGGAGTGGTGCTTGCATCGCATGGTGGCATTGGTTGCTGCTACTTGTAAGGCAACAAGCAGCAAGGTGGAGCAATTATGTCCTGCGGATGTCAGGCACTTGCATGGAAGGTGCTATGTTTGCATAATTGTATGTAAAGGTAAATTGACATAGAATATTTCGTGCGTACGTGTGTGCATATGTGTCTGTTCGTTTGTGTGTGACAGAGGGAGTTGAGTGACGGAAGGCTCTGATGACTCACGTGGCGGTGATTGTAAGGCGAGTGCCGTTGAGCACCTTGCTGTTGGGCAGGGGGGGAGGGGGGGGTGGGAGGAGGAGTGAGAGGTGAGAGGAAGGAGAGGGAAGAAGGGTCAGCTCAGCACAGAGGGAGGAGACAGAGGGAGAGAGGCATGAAGGTGTGATTTGGGGAAGGCAGGGCTCACTTGGGGAAGGCAGGGCTCACTTGGGGAAGGCAGGGCTTACTTTGGGAAGGCAGGGCTTACTTTGGGAAGGCAGGCTTACTTAGGAAAGGAGGGCTTACTTGGGGAAGGCTGTGCTCTTGCACGGAATGAAGACAAAAAGGCCTTTCTGCACAACATGTCTTTTGGGTTGACTCAGAGGTCACCTTGGAGAGGGTCGGGCTTACTCAGGGAAGGCAGTGCTCTTGCACGGGGTGAAGACAAAGAAGCCTTGTTGCACAACGTCCCAGAGCTGGTTGAAATTGGTTGCTCGGTCCACCTGACATGAGAGGAGAGGAGGAGGATAAATAATAGATGTGAGTTAGCTCAAATGTGACTTTTCATGAGAGCACAGGAACACCCTTCTTTACCTCACACAGACCCATAAAAACCGACACCCACACCCACAACTAACACCCACAGCCACACACACAGACACACCCATGCGCACACACAACCACCACCCACCCACCCACCACCCACCAACACAAACAAGCACCACTCACTTTCTCCAGCGCCCCTTGTGGAATCTCCTCGTCGTGCTCGCAATACAAACTGTGTGCTTTGATTCGTCTCGCAATAAACAACCCCTCCCCTCCCTCCCCTCCCCCTCAGACACACGTGACACACCTAAGCACCACACACCCAAGCACCACACACCTTTTTCAGATCCTCTTGACTGAGGGGAATCTCCTCGTCGCGCTCGCCGTACACCTTGCCGTGATTCAGCATCTCCTGCCGTACGATCTTGAACGCACTGGTTGGTGGAATGAGAGGAAAGGCGGTGAGGGAGTCAAAGAAGAGGCGCTTTCATGCACCTTGGCTTCATTCAACATCTCCTGCCGTACGATCTTGAACGCTCTGGTGGGTGGGATGAGAGGAAAGGCGGTGAGGGAATTCAAGGAGATGCCCTTTCGTACACCTTGCCGTGATGCAGCATCTCCTGCCGTACGATCTTGAACGCACTGGTGGGCTGGGCGGGATGAGAGGAAGGGAGGCGAGGGAATCAAAGGAGAGGCCCATTCATGCACCTTGGCTTGATGCAGCATCACCCACCCATCACACCAACACGCTTCACATCATAGGCTAATAGCTTAGAGAAACTTTGATCTCACCGGTCAGCATTCATAGAGTATCGAATGTTTCGAGTCTGCCCGGATACCATTGGTGTGACCGAACCGAACCCAGTTTCAAATGCTTCCCGCCTGCCACAGCAGAGCAGGGATGGCACAGTGAGGGAGAAGGAGTAAGGAATGAGGAGGAAAATCCAAACCAGTTACGAGATTGTCCTGACCCAAACATTGGAGAGCATGAACTTTTGAGAACTTTAAGAAGTGAGCGGGTGTCATGTCATGTGCATATGAGTGGAAAGACTAAGTGAAAAATGTGCATCCCAGAGTGGAAAGAAAAGCTGGGGGAACAGAGAATGGTAACAGCAGTCCTGAAATTGGAACAGCTCGAACCGGGTGCCAGACAGTCATGGTTACCACGTAACACATTCAGAGCCCCGTGACTCACGTGAGACCGTCGATCCACACAATAGGGTCGTTGGGTTCGGCAATCTGGCGCCATCTCACTCCGATGCCGTACACATCCCTCCACCCCACCCCCACCCCCTCCTCCACCTCCTCCGCGCTGCTCCCTCTGTCCACCTGCCCGCTCTTCATCCAATCCCTCCACGCCTTCCTCACTGTCTGCATGATGTCTAGTGCAGCCAGCCCGGCTGCTCGTTGCTGGGGAGTGGAAGACAAAAGAGGGTAGGGTGGATGTTTTTTGGAACATTGCCAGATGTCGCAATGCACACGGCACGGCCGCTCTTCATCCAATCCCTCCATGCCTTCCTCACTGTCTGCATGATGTCTAGTGCAGCCAGGCCTGCTGCGCGTTGCTGGGAAGTGGGAGAGGAAGAGGGTAGGGTAGGGTCGATGTAAATTATGAAATGCCGCAAAACACCTGCCCGCTCTTCATCCAATCCTTCCACGCCTTCCTCACTGTCTGCATGATGTCTAGAGCAGCCAGCCCTGCTGCTTGTTGCTGCGGGGTGGGAGAGGAAAAGGGTAGGGTAGGGTAGGGTCGATCGATGTAGATTATAAAATGCCGCAAAACGGGTGCCCGCTTTCATCCAATCCCTCCACGCCTTCCTCACTGTCTGCATGATGTCTAGAGCAGCCAGCCCTGCTGCTTGTTGCTGCGGGGTGGGAGAGGAGAGGAGGGTAGGGTCGATCGATGTAGATTATGAAATGCCGCAAAACGGGTGCCCGCTCTTCATCCAATCCCTCCACGCCTTCCTCACTGTCTGCATGATGTCTAGAGCAGCCAGCCCTGCTGCTTGTTGCTGCGGGGTGGGAGAGGAAAAGGGTAGGGTAGGGTAGGGTCGATCGATGTAGATTATGAAATGCCGCAAAACGGGTGCCCGCTCTTCATCCAATCCTTCCACGCCTTCCTCACTGTCTGCATGATGTCCAATGCAGCCAGCCCTGCTGCTCGTTGCTGTGCATAGCGAGAGGAGTGGGGTGAACGCAGGAAAATATATTGAACCAGCCGGCCTATCGCATCAGCTACCAGCACCAGTGCCTCATATTTCAAGCAACTAAAGAGGACCAGCACTCACCTGCCGCATGTTACCAAGGAACCCAGTGGTGTTGTACTGAACGAGCCGGCCAATTGCATCAGCCTGCAACAATAGCAGCAGCAGCAGAGCAGCCCTTTCTCTAAGGGCAAAAACACTCACCTGCCGCATGTTACCAAGGAACCCAGTGGTGTTGTACTGAACGAGCCGGCCAATTGCATCAGCCTGCAACAATAGCAGCAGCAGCAGAGCAGCCCTTTCTCTAAGGGCAAAAACACTCACCTGCCGCATGTTACCAAGGAACCCAGTGGTGTTGTACTGAACGAGCCGGCCAATTGCATCAGCCTGCGACAATAGCAGCAGCAGCAGAGCAGCCCTTTCTCTAAGGGCAAAAACACTCACCTGCCGCATGTTACCAAGGAACCCAGTGGTGTTGTACTGAACGAGCCGGCCAATTGCATCAGCCTGCAACAATAGCAGCAGCAGCAGAGCAGCCCTTTCTCTAAGGGCAAAAACACTCACCTGCCGCATGTTACCAAGGAACCCAGTGGTGTTGTACTGAACGAGCCGGCCAATTGCATCAGCCTGCAACAATAGCAGCAGCAGCAGAGCAGCCCTTTCTCTAAGGGCAAAAACACTCACCTGCCGCATGTTACCAAGGAACCCAGTGGTGTTGTACTGAACGAGCCGGCCAATTGCATCAGCCTGCAACAATAGCAGCAGCAGCAGAGCAGCCCTTTCTCTAAGGGCAAAAACACTCACCTGCCGCATGTTACCAAGGAACCCAGTGGTGTTGTACTGAACGAGCCGGCCAATTGCATCAGCCTGCGACAATAGCAGCAGCAGCAGAGCAGCCCTTTCTCTAAGGGCAAAAACACTCACCTGCCGCATGTTACCAAGGAACCCAGTGGTGTTGTACTGAACGAGCCGGCCAATTGCATCAGCCTGCAACAATAGCAGCAGCAGCAGAGCAGCCCTTTCTCTAAGGGCAAAAACACTCACCTGCCGCATGTTACCAAGGAACCCAGTGGTGTTGTACTGAACGAGCCGGCCAATTGCATCAGCCTGCAACAATAGCAGCAGCAGCAGAGCAGCCCTTTCTCTAAGGGCAAAAACACTCACCTGCCGCATGTTACCAAGGAACCCAGTGGTGTTGTACTGAACGAGCCGGCCAATTGCATCAGCCTGCAACAATAGCAGCAGCAGCAGAGCAGCCCTTTCTCTAAGGGCAAAAACACTCACCTGCCGCATGTTACCAAGGAACCCAGTGGTGTTGTACTGAACGAGCCGGCCAATTGCATCAGCCTGCAACAATAGCAGCAGCAGCAGAGCAGCCCTTTCTCTAAGGGCAAAAACACTCACCTGCCGCATGTTACCAAGGAACCCAGTGGTGTTGTACTGAACGAGCCGGCCAATTGCATCAGCCTGCGACAATAGCAGCAGCAGCAGAGCAGCCCTTTCTCTAAGGGCAAAAACACTCACCTGCCGCATGTTACCAAGGAACCCAGTGGTGTTGTACTGAACGAGCCGGCCAATTGCATCAGCCTGCAACAATAGCAGCAGCAGCAGAGCAGCCCTTTCTCTAAGGGCAAAAACACTCACCTGCCGCATGTTACCAAGGAACCCAGTGGTGTTGTACTGAACGAGCCGGCCAATTGCATCAGCCTGCAACAATAGCAGCAGCAGCAGAGCAGCCCTTTCTCTAAGGGCAAAAACACTCACCTGCCGCATGTTACCAAGGAACCCAGTGGTGTTGTACTGAACGAGCTGGCCAATTGCATCAGCCTGCAACAATAGCAGCAGCAGCAGAGCAGCCCTTTCTCTAAGGGCAAAAACACTCACCTGCCGCATGTTACCAAGGAAACCAGTGGTGTTGTACTGAACGAGCCGGCCAATTGCATCAGCCTGCAACAATAGCAGCAGCAGCAGAGCAGCCCTTTCTCTAAGGGCAAAAACACTCACCTGCCGCACGTTACCAAGGAACCCAGTGGTGTTGTACTGAACGAGCCGGCCAATTGCATCAGCCTGCTTCAGCAGCGCCGCTCGGTTCGCCTCGAATCGCTTCTCCCCCTTGCGCCGGTGCTGCTGCCGCTGCACGCGGAACACTGCCTGAATGTCCTGCATCTGGTATCCCCTCGAGGGAAGGTGACCCGGGAATTGTGCGTTGGCCCAGCCTTCCTGTTGGGGTGGAAGTGGAGGTGTGGGTTGAGTAGTGTGGGAAGCATGAAACACGCGGAACACTGTCTGAATGTTCTGCATCTGGTAGCCCCTCGAAGGCAGGTGCCCTGGGAACTGCGCGTTCGCCCAGCCCTCCTGTTGAGGTAATGGATGGAGACAGAGGAAACCATGAGTACCCTCTCGCCTGAATGTCCTGCATTTGGTAGCCTCTGGAAGGAAGGTGACCAGGGAACATGGGGGATGGGATGGGTAGGGAGGAAACATGGGGAGCGCGTAAAGAGGAAGCATGGAGAGCACAGGAACACTGCCTGAATGTCCTGCATCTGGTGGCCCCTGGAAGGAAGGTGCCCTGGGAACTGTGCATCGGCCCAGCCCTCCTGTTGGGGTGGGGGATGGGATGGGTCGAGTGCGTAGGGAGGAAGCATGGGGAATGTGAGGCACTGCCTGAATGTCCAGCATCTGGTATCCTATGGAGAGTAGGTGGCCTGGGAACTGAGCGTTGGCCCAGCCCTCCTGTTAGGTGGTGATGGGATGGGTGGAGTGGAGTGGGTAGTGAAGGAAGAATAGCGAGTGTGTGGCCCACAGCAACAGTGAAGTGAGAAACGGGCGGGTGAGAGAGCCGCGAGGGAGAGAAGTGCAGGCAAGCAGTGTGTTGTGTTGTGTTGTGCACACAATAGATGGTGGGTGAGGCATGATCATCTATTGTGCACACAATAGATGGTGGGTGAGGCATGATCATCTATTGTGCACACAATAGATGGTGGGTGAGGCATGATCATTGCCTTGAAAACGCGGTTGAAATGGTCGTCAAGGCTGAAGTGAGAGAAGGGCGAGTGAGGGAGAGGAGCATGCATGCATAGTGTGCCATGCTGCCATGCACACAGGGGATCGCAGGTGGGAAGACACGACAAGCTTGCCTTAAAGACGCGGTTGAAGTGGTCGTCAAGGCTGAAGTGAGAGAAGGGCGAATTCACGTTCACTGCCATGTATGCCGCTATCTCACGCTGTCACAATGGGGGACGACAGGGGCGGGATGGGGGAAGAGGGGACGGGAGGGAGGTGTATGAGAAGGGCGAATCGAATTCACGTTGACTGCCATGTATGCCGCTATGATGAGACTATGGGACCACACCTCTTTGGGTATTGAGCTATAAGGTACTCATAGTCTCATCAGCTACTAGGAGTTAATACCTTCCAAGGCGCTTCTACAGAATGCTTCTCATCGTACCTGGTAGAACGCGAGGTACTGGAACCTCTCATCTCCAGACGTTTGCAGCGAGAGAATGCTGTCGTAGAGCCTCACCTGATGGGAGGAGGAAGGGGGTGGAGGGAAGTCAATTGGCGGATGAGAAGAGGGGTGAAACTACTGTCATTGACTTGACACTGGATGAAAGCGAGGTACTGAAACCTCTCATCTCCAGACGTTTGCAGCGAGAGAATGCTGTCATAGAGCCTCACCTGATGGGAGGGAGGGGGGGGGAAGTGGCAGATGAGAAGAGGGGGGACCGTGAGAGACTGAGAGTATTGTTGGATTGGCTATGGATGGAAGAAAAGGTACAGAAAAATCTCATCTCCAGATGCTAGCAAGGAGAGAATGATGTCGTGAAGTCCCACCTCAGAAGGGGAGGGGGAGGAAAACCGGGGGGGGTGGGCGGGGGGCGGATGAGAAGATGTGCTCTAGGAAATGGAAACCTCTCATTTCCAGTTGCAGTCCAGAGCAAAGCAGTCCATTCAGGGCCTGGGGAGCAAAGCCAACTCACGGCTTTCCTGTAGCAGCAGCAGCCAACAAAAGTCAACACAAGTCAACTCACAGCCTGAGAAAAGTCCCCCGTGGCATGGAGGCCTCAAAGTATCGCAGCTCCACGCTGCTTGGGTGGTGCTTCAGGCCCTTAGTACTAGCAGTCAACACAAGTCAACGAGAGTCAACGGGGGTCAACGCAAGTCAACTCACGGCCTGTGAGAAGTCCCCCGTGGCATGGAAGCAGGAGGCCTCAAAGTATCGCAGCTCCACATTGTTCGGGTGGTGCTTCAGCCCCTCCTGCAGCAACCGGATCACTCCGCTGACGTGGTGGGATCAAGGGGATGGGAAGAGATTTACTTGGTGTTTTGAGTGAAGAGTTTCGGGACAGCAAGAGGGAGCACACCACGGTTTCAGGGTGGTGCTTCAGGTTCTGGCCCACCTGCAGCAGACGAATCAACCCCCTCCCTGCCATGGTTGGAGCAGGGGAATGGGAACGGGGGTTAGTAAATGTCAGGGTTCAGGGTATAGGGTTCACAGATAGCCAGTCCGGGCACGATACATAACCAGAATAGTGCTCCAGCCCCCCCCGCACCGCACTAGCTGAAATTACTCCCCTGCCATGGTGAGAGCAAGGAAATGGGAACAGGATAGAATATGTTTCTTGGGTTTTAAGTTTAAAAGGTTAGGGATAGCAAGGGGAACGCAACACAGCGCGCTGCCGCGGTGCCGCTTCGAGCCCACCGTTCCTCGTACCGTGCAGTGATCTGCCATGTGCAATTGTTCCTCAGGCGAGTCAAGGGTCAGGCGAGTGACGGGTCAGGCGAGTCAAGGGTGAGGCGAGTCAAGGGTCAGGCGAGTCAAGGGTGAGGCGAGTCAAAGGTCAGGCGAGTCAAAGGTCAGGCGAGTCAAGGGCCAGGCGAGTCAAGGGCCAGGCAAGTCAAGGGTCAGGCGAGTCAAGGGTCAGGCGAGTCAAGGGTCAGGGCAATGAATTTGTTAGTTATGTGCCACTGGCTGCATCCCGTTGGAGTTGATAACCAGCAGCAAGAGTACAATTCTCCTCCTTCCGGTCCAATCTATGCACATGCCAGTGCCCGCCCTTTTGAGGCGCCTCACAAGTGCCCATCCCTACCCGTCTGCCTGACTCCTCACCCACCTGTGGTCGCCCACAGCGTGCCTCAGCTTCTTTTTTCTGGTCAACAAAAAATCTACATGCTAGTGCCCACCTCTATCTGTGAGAATAAGAGTTAGAAGAGAAGTTATTGTTGGATTGAGGAGAATGGGGGTTTACATAGGGAATGGGTTGGATCCTAGCCTAGGTGACCATTATTGGACCCCACCCATGAAGTTGGGTTGGGGGATTATTGGTGGGGTCCAATAATGTTGGCCAAGTTGGGGTTGGGCCAACATTATTGGTGTGAACCAATAATTCTACCCAACCCAACCTTTGGGGTCCAATAATTGGACCAAGGTTGGGTTTCCAACCTACAAATTGGGTAACCCCTGCTTGAACACCCAAACTAAGTTTGGGTGCTTATCTCTAGCCTATCCTATAACATCTATGCAGGTTACAAGAGAAGATAGATTCTAACACAACCCCTTAACCTGCAGAGATGTGGAAAGGCTTGAGTGAAGCAACCCCTGAATCAAGGCGCGCCCGGGGGAGCGAGGCCGATGAGGCGGAGAAGAGCAGAGTGCGCAGGGCGAAGAAGTGCTTTGGTGAAGATATCTGCCAGGTTGGCTTCAGCGGCGATCTTGCGAACGGCGATGAGATTCTGTTGGACGAGTTCACGGATGAAGAAATAGCGGAGCTCAATGTGCTTGGAGCGACCGTGAAAAACGGGGTCTTGGGTGAGATGGATGGTGCTGGCATTGTCACACCAGAGGGTGGGGCTGTGCTGGGGAACACCAAGCTCAGTTAGGAGGAAGCAGAGCCAGCGGGACTCTTGCGCGGCCATGGTGCCAGCATAGAGCTCAGCTTCACAGGAGGAGAGGGCGATGGCGGAGGAGCGAGTAGAGCGCCAGCTGATGAGGCCGCTGCCGAGGGTGAAGCCATAGCCTTGGGAGGAGCGGCGGTCTGGCTGGCAGTCTGCCCAGGAGGAGTCGCTGAAGCCAGAGAGAAGGGGGGGGGAAGATCCACCCAGTGTGAGAGCGTGGTCCCTGGTGCCACGAAGATAGCGGAGGACTCGCTTGGCGGCAGTCCAGTGTTCCTCAGTGTGGCGGCCGGGGCCGACGAATCGAGCAAGGACGCTGACAGGGTAGGCGAGGTCGGGACGAGTGCACATCATCGCGTACATCAGCGACCCAACAAGCTCGGCGTAGGGCCGGGAGGAGGTGGAGGGGGAGGTGGGTGGCGCAAGCTGGTGACCGAAGGGGAGGGGTGTGGAGACTGGTTTGGCCTGTGCCATCTCGAACTTTTCCAGGACCTGGCCGATGTAGTGGGACTGGGAGAGGGTGATGGTGCGGGCGGATCGATCACGAGTGATAGCCATGCCGAGGTAGTTCTGCAGCGGACCAAGGTCCTTGCACTTGAGACGTTCCTGAAGAGACCGTTTCACTTGATCCATGTCAGTCCTGGTGTCAGCGAGCAGGATCATGTCATCGACGTAGACCGAGATGAAGAAGCGACTGGGGGAAGAGCGGATGAAGAGGCTGGCGTCGGAGTGGGAGGGGGAGAAGCCAAGGGACTGGAGAGTAGCAGACAGCTTCGCATGCCATTCTCGTGGTGCCTGCTTCAGGCCGTAGACCGGTCGCTTCAGCTGCCAGACGGTGTTGTCGGGGAACGTAGCATGGAACCCGGGAGGTCGGCGGAGAAAGATGCGTTCGTGCAGTTCACCTTGCAGGAAAGCGTTGGAGACGTCCATGGAGTCAATCTCCATGTCGTCCCGCGCACCGATATCCATAAGGGTGCGTAGGGTGGCTTGCCTGAGGGTGGGGGCAAATGTGAACCAGTAGTCCTCAGCCCAGGTCTGGGTGAACCCCTTAGCAACATAGCGGGCTTTGTAGACTGGTTCCTCTCCCGGCAGCTGTTTGACTCGAAAGATCCACTTGCCCTCGACAAGGTTGGCGTCAGGGGGAAGGGGAACGTCGATAAAGGAGTCGTTGCGGATGAACGCCTCACATTCCAGGAAGATAGCGGCTATCCACTTGTCAGCGTCAGGGCAGGTGATAGCTTCCTGGAAGGTGGTGGGGACGAAGATGGTGGGAGCGGAGATCGCGCTAAGGAGTAGAGCGCCGAGGAGGTCAGGGTAGAGGGTGGAAAGAGAGGGAGTGTGGCGCTGGACCATGGCGAACTCCTCATGGGAGTCCTCGAGCTGGCTGAGGGAGGAAGGTGGCGGAGTGCCAAGGATGGGATCAAGAGAGCGGGTGTGCATGCGAGGGAGGAGGAAAGGTGAGGAGCGGGCAGTTGCCCTCCGCCGCTGTTGCTGCTGGTGCTGCTGGAACCCCTGCTGCTGCTGCGGCTGCTGCCCCTCCTGGTTCTGCTGCCCCTGCGGCTGCTGCTGCTGCTGCTGCGGCTGCTGCTGCTGCCCCGGCTGCTGCTGGTGCCGCTGCTGTTGTTGCTGCCCCCGCTGCTGCTGCCCCTGCGGCTGCTGCTGCTGCTGCTGCTGCTGCTGCTGCTGCGGCTGCTGCTGCTGCCCCTGCGGCTGCTGCTGCTGCTCCTGCTGCTGCTGCCCCTGTGGCTGCTGCTGCTGCTGCTGCTGCTGTTGCGGCTGCTGCTGCTGCCCCTGCGGCTGCTGCTGCTGCTGCTGCTGCTGCCCCTGCGGCTGCTGCTGCTGCTGCTGGGATGGATGAGAAGGAGAGTGGGAAGGAGAGGAGGGAGGGGGAGCTGCGGAGTGTGCAGGGGATGTTGGAGCAGTGGGATCGTAGATATCGGCAGATGAAGGTGGCGGAAGCGGGGTGGGGAGGGGTGGGAGAAGGGGTGCTGGAGGGAGGAGGGGAGGGAGGACAGTGTCGGTCCAAGCGAGAGGACGTGTAGGAGGAGGGAGGGGGTCTGGTGGTGGAGAGGAGTAGTATGGGGTGGTCTCATCGAACACAACGTCGATGCTGCGGATGAGGCGACCAGAGGGAGGGTGGAGGAAAAGGTAACCAGGCGAGTCGCGGTTGTGGCCAAGGTAGACACACTCGAGGGCACGAGGAGCGAGCTTGCCGTGGGTCCGTTCAGATGGAGGGATGAGCACATATGCCTTGCAACCCCAGACACGGAGTCCAGCAGCGTCAGGTTTGGACCCTGACCAGAGCTCCGTGGGGGTAGTGGCAGTGTGTTGGGGATGGGAGTGAAGGTTGAGGAGGAGGGAAGCATGAAGGAGGGCATAGCCCCAGAGAGAAGGGGGTGTGGAGGCGTGAGCGAGGAGACAGCGGGCGATCTTAGTGATTTCGCGGATGCGGCTTTCTGCGATGCCGTTCTGCTGTGGGGAGTGGGGAAGAGTGTGGGTCTGTTGGATGCCATGAGTGGTGCAGTAGTGAGAGAGAGTGCGATTGAGGAATTCGCCTCCCCCATCAGAGTGGAGGCGGCCGATGGGACGTTTGAAGTGGGTGCGGCATTGTTCTGCCCAGTGAATGATCATGGTCGGCGCCTGATCTTTTGTATGGAGGAGGAAAACGGTGGAGTAGCGGCTATGATCGTCAACAAGAACCAGCATGTAGCGATGGCCTTGGCGTGAGCGGGTGGGAGAGGGCCCCCAGAGGTCCATATGGACAAGGTCAATGGGTGCAGGAGCAAAGGAGGGGTGGCTGTGATGAGGGGATTGTTTGAGTTTGCCGTGGATGCAGGAGGGGCATGGGGGGGCCGGGGAAGATGGAAGGGGAGGAAGGGTGGGAGGGAGGTTGTGAAGGAGTCGTGAGGTGACGGCAGTGCGGAGAGCGGCGAAATTGGGATGACCGAGTCGGTGATGTAGGAGAACAGCGGGGTGGGAGAGATGGTCGGAGGTGGAGGGGGCTGGAACGAGTGAGGGCGGGATGAAGGAGTGGGGGGATGGTGGAGTGGGAGGGGAGGGAGGGAGATGGGGAGGGCTAGTGGAGGTACCCGCACGAGTGGTGACATGACAGGAGGAAGGCCACGGAGTGCGGAGAGTGTAGAGGCGAGTGCGGGGGCAGAGGGGTATGCGGAGGAGGAAGCGGCCGGAGGCAGTGTGGTAAAGGTCACAGTAGGTGGCATTACCAGGATAGACCGCAGTGATACCTGCACCTTGGATTTCACGGTGGGAGAGGAGGTTGTTTCGGAGAGTGGGGATGTGGAGACCAGTTACCTTACCAGAGGGGAAGAGTGAGCAGGGGAGAGTGGAGAGGTGTGTGCATGGGATGGTGAAGCTGCTGTCAGCGCCGTGAACGTGAGTGGGAGGGGAGAGGGGTGTGAGTGTACCAGCATCTTTGAGAGCAGTTTCAGTGGCCCCACTGTCTAGGACAAAGTCCAGAGTGGGCGAGGAGGAGGAAGACACGGAGTACTGGAAAGTGGTTTCATTAATGTTGGATGGGTACATGGAAGGAAGAGAGGGTGAGACAGAAATGTTGCCAAGAAAGCTTTCCTGAGTGAGAGGGGTGGCAGTGCCACTGGGGGGGGGTGGAGCACCCCAAAGGGGAGCCGGGGAGGCCTGGGCGGCCATGGCTGCTGTGCCAAAGTTTAGCTGCTGCTGCTGCCAGGGAGGAGGGCTGGGTCCCCACTGGGGCTGGGGCCCTGATCCCCATGGGTGCTGCTGCTGCGGCTGTGGGTAAAACAGCTGCTGTAACTGCTGCTGCTGCTGCGGCTGCTGCTGCTGCTGCTGCTGCTGCTGCTGCTGCTGCTGCTGCTGCTGCTGCTGCTGCTGCTGCTGCTGCTACAGGAGGTGCTGCTGCTGGAGGTTGAGGAAGGGCGCGGGGGAGCAAGGAGGCGGAGGTGGGCAGGGAGGTAAGCGGGGTTGGTTTGGATGTCAGTGGGGGAGGGACGTGGGGAAAGTGTTGCCCACTTAGGAGGATTGCCAACGTTGCCTCGTGCGTACCTTGCACCATCGAGGGCCTTGAAGCAGGTGGCAGGAGGGTGGTTGGTCTGTCCGCAGGGGGTGCCAGCCCGGGGACCATAGCGGCGGACATAGGTGCAGGGCGGAAGAGTACCAGGGCGGGTCCCACTGGTTGCAGATGCTCCGCCTGTATTGGGGGTGCCATGCTCATCTCCAGTGGTGCCGCTGCGTTTGTTCGCGTTGCTGCTGCCTTGACCGCTACCTCCCTTGCCTCCACCACCCCCCTTGCCGTTGTTCTTGCCCTGCTTGCGGGGCTGAGTAGCGTTGAGGGAGGAGGAGGAGGGTTGGGAGGAGGCGAGGTTGACGACGGGGGTGCGAAGTTTGACTTCGGTGTCTATGATCCACTGTTCAACGGAGGCGAGATCGGCTAGGGGATTGGCCTCGGTAAAGGCGTGAAGGCGGGATTCATAGTCGGGAGTGAGGTTAAACAGGAGGCGATGGATTTGGAGAGGTTCGGAGAGGCCGGCTTGGCGGGCTTCGAGACGGTCAGCTACCTCCCGCATGCGTCCGATGTAGTCGACCGCTCCGTCACAGGTAGCAAGGGTGATTGAGAAGTATTCTTGGAACAGGATACCGACCGAGCTGATGTCGCGGCGTTCGAACATCGCATGGAGTTCTGCCCAGATGACCGAGGCCCGAAGCTCTCGAGCCTGGAAGCGGCGCATGAGGGAGTCAGGGAGAGCCCCAAGGAGAACGGTGCAGGCACGAGTGTCAGCAGTTGTCCAGGCGATAAGTTTCGGGATGTGGGTGGCCATGTCGTCTTTGTATTTGGCGACGACGGCGAGGTGAGCGTTGCGGCCAGCAACCGCCTGGTCATAGGCTTCGACTGCTGCATCGTACTCTGCTTTCTTGATAAGGTACGCACGGCGGCGTAAGATGAAGTCTGCATCAGCGGCGGCTTGGTCGCCTGTGCTTTGGAGGTCGGGTTCAAGAGGAGGATCGCCTGGAGAGGGAGGGAGAGGAGGAGTCTCGCCTGGGTGTTCAGGTTCGGTGGGGGGGAGTGCCTGGGGACGGCGGAGGAGGACATCAAGGACACGGTAGGGGGGAACCCATGCGTCGGAGAGAACTCGTCGGATGCTGCCGACGAAGGAGTGCCAATTGACGGCAGATTTGTCTGCGGCAAGCTGCAGCTTATCGACGGAGGACGTATCAATAGGAGGAGGGAGGGGGGCGGGGGAAGGTGCGGCGGTAGCCATGGAGGACGGCCGCGGGGAGACCCGCAGTGGTCACGGAGGAGAGGGAGGTGAGGCGGCGACGAGGCCGCAGAGGGGAGCGGCGCGGACGGCGGCGGCTAGTGGGGCCGCGGTGGCGTTGGCGCGGAGGCGGCGACGAGGCCGTGATGGGAGCGGTGCTGGCGGCGGCGGCTGACGAGGCCGCGGCGGCGCTGGCGTGGAGGCGGCGTTGGGGCCGCGGAGAGGCGCAGGCGGCGGCGGTAGCTGGCGCAGCCGCGGCGGTACAAGCGCGGGGGCGGCGACAAGGCCGCGGGAGGGAGCGGCGCGAGCGGCGGCGGCTGGCGAAGCCGCGGCAGTGCAGGCGCGGAGGCGGCGACAAGGCCGCGGGAGGGAGCGGCGCGAGCGGCGGCGGCTGGCGAAGCCGCGGCAGTGCAGGCGCGGAAGCGGCGACGGGGTCGCGGGAGGGAGCGGCGCGAGCGGCGGCGGCTGGCGAAGCCGCGGCAGTGCAGGCGCGGAGGCAGCGACTGGGTCGCGGGAGGGAGCGGCGCGAGCGGCGGCGGCTGGCGAAGCCGCGGCAGTGCAGGCGCGGAAGCGGCGACGGGGTCGCGGGAGGGAGCGGCGCGAGCGGCGGCGGCTGGCGAAGCCGCGGCAGTGCAGGCGCGGAAGCGGCGACGGGGTCGCGGGAGGGAGCGGCGCGAGCGGCGGCGGCTGGCGAAGCCGCGGCAGTGCAGGCGCGGAAGCGGCGACGGGGTCGCGGGAGGGAGCGGCGCGAGCGGCGGCGGCTGGCGAAGCCGCGGCAGTGCAGGCGCGGAGGCGGCGACGAGGCCGCGGAAGGGAGCGGCGGCGGCGACGGCGGCTGGTGGAGCCGCAGTGGCGTTGGCGCGGAGGCGGCGTCGAGGCCGCGGAATGGGGCGGGCGGTGGCGGTCGGCGAGCGCGGAAGCGGCGGTGGGGCCGGGGAAGGGAGCGGCGCAGGCCGTGACGGCGTGGGAGGCCGCGGGGCTGAGAAGGAGGGAGTGCTTGAGGAGAGGGGGAGGGTGGCGAGATAGCCGCGGAAAAATGAGAAAGGAGGCCGGGGGTTGCGGCGGCCTTTGAAAAAAAACTAGGAGCGTAGGCCTAGGATTTTTAAGAGCTCTATACCATGTGAGAATAAGAGTTAGAAGAGAAGTTATTGTTGGATTGAGGAGAATGGGGGTTTACATAGGGAATGGGTTGGATCCTAGCCTAGGTGACCATTATTGGACCCCACCCATGAAGTTGGGTTGGGGGATTATTGGTGGGGTCCAATAATGTTGGCCAAGTTGGGGTTGGGCCAACATTATTGGTGTGAACCAATAATTCTACCCAACCCAACCTTTGGGGTCCAATAATTGGACCAAGGTTGGGTTTCCAACCTACAAATTGGGTAACCCCTGCTTGAACACCCAAACTAAGTTTGGGTGCTTATCTCTAGCCTATCCTATAACATCTATGCAGGTTACAAGAGAAGATAGATTCTAACACTATCTGCCTGACTTCTCACACACCTGTGATCGCCCACGGCGTGCCTCAGCTTCGCCCACAGCTTGTATGCCAGCAGCAAGTGTGTGGTTCTTGTCCGCCCAACCCAATGCACGCTCGTGCCATGCCATGCCATGCCAGCGCCCACCCCCACCTGCCTGCGTGCTGCCTCTCTCACCTGTGGTCGCCCACGGCGTGCCTCAGCTTCGCCCAGAGCTTGTATGCCAGCAGCAAGTGTATGGTTATTCTCCGCCCAACCCAATCCACGCACATGCCACGCACGTGCCATGCACATGCCAGTGCCCACCCGTACCCGTCTGCCTGACTTCTCACACACCTGTGGTCGCCCACGGCGTGCCTCAGCTTCGCCCAGAGCTTGTATGCCAGCAAGTGTATGGTTATTATCCGCCCAAGCCAATTCATGCACATGTGCCATGCCATGCCAGTTTCCACCCCCACCTGCCTGCGTGCGGCCTCTCTCACCTGTGGTCGCCCACAGCGTGCCTCAGCTTCGCCCAGAGCTTGTATGCCAGCAGGAAGCTGCATGTCGTGATGGGGAGGCACGGGGAGGCATGGGTGGGTGAGGGGATGGTGGTATACTATACAGCCTGTACAATACAGGGCATGGGGCACAGGGGTAGCTGGTGAGCCGGCTCACATGTCAGCTTCGCCCAGAGCTTGTATGCCAGCAGGAAGCTGCATGCGGTGATGGGGAGGCATGGGTGGGGGGAAGGGGAATGGGGGTATACAGGGCATGGGGCAATGGGGCATGGGGTAAGGTAGTCAGGCGCATGTCGAGTGGGCCCACATGTCAGTTTCGCCCAGAGCTTGTATGCCAGCAGGAAACTGCATGCGGTGATGGGGACGCATGGGTGGGGGTAATGGGGGTATACAGAAGGGCATGGGCACGGGGGTAGGCCCCAAACCTGCGCCCAGAGCTCAGGTGTCAGCTTTTATAGCATCGCTCCGACTCGTGGGACTCAAAAGTCAGCTTCACCCACCCAGAGCTTGTACGCCCGCTGGTAGCTGCATGCGGTGATGAGGAGGAATGGGGGAGTATGGCATGGGAGCATGTGGTGTGGGGAATGGGACATGGGTGGGGTGGGGCATGTTGCAGCGCTCCCCAACTATCCCCCATATAAGCTGCACCACACACACTCTCACCTGCTGTCCACCTTGAGAGCGCATTCATCCTGTATGATGGGCATGCGCGATCTCCTTCATCGGCTGCACCCAGTTGGTCCATCCCTTCCCTCCTTCCCATGCAGCACCCCCCAACCCAACTTTCCCCCATATAAGCCGCTCCGCGCACTCACCCGCTGTCCATCCCCAGAGCGCGCTTATAGCATCGCTCTGACTCGTTGAACGTGGCGATCGTCTGGCCCCAGTAGGACCAACCCTCTGTCCAAAACTATCCCCCATATAAGCTGCCCCACCCACGCACTTACCTGTTATCCACTCCCAGAGCACGCTTATAGCACCGCTCCGACTCGTTGAACATGGCGATCTCCTTCATCGTCTGCCCCCAGTTCGTCCACCTCTCCATGTCCATCCCCCACACCACCAACCCCCCTATCCTATACCCCGTATAAGCCACTCCACTCACTCACCCATTATCCACCCCCAGGGCACGCTTATAGCATTGCTCCGACTCGTTGAACATGGCGATCTCCTTCATTGTCTGCCCCCAATTCGTCCACCCCTCCTTCACATCGGGGTTCATTGCCATGGCCGTCTCGTAGCTCTTCACTGCGTCAAAGGGTGCCCCTGTTGCTGTCAGGGCCAAGCCCTGGGGTACGAGGGAGTTGAGAGCGGTGGAATGAGAAGTGAGTCGCCTTGAAGAGGCCTGCTCCCTCCTTCACATCTGGGTTCATCGATACGAGGGAGTTGAGAGCGGTGAGATGGGAGGTGGGTCTCCTTGAAGGGGCCTGCCTGCCCCTCCTTCACATCTGGATTCATTGCCATGGCCGTCTCGTAGCTCTTCACTGCGTCGAAAGGTGCTCCAGTTGCTGTCAATGCCAGCCCCTGGAGGCAATGGGAAGGGTACAAGGGAGTTGAGAGTGGTGAGAAGGGAAGTGGGTCACTTTGAAGAGGAGAGTGCTCCTTCACTTCTGGTTGGATTCATCGCCACTGCCGTCTCACAGCTCTTCACTGCTTCAAACGGCGCCCCTGTTGCTGTCAGGGCCAAGCCCTGCAAGGCAAGGGGAAGGGACGCAAAAATGTTGAAGGTTTGTCCCTGACAGCGAGTTGAGCAAGCAAGGAAGAGATGGGGGAAATAGGCATTCACATGCGAGTTGAGCTCTATGCGGAGGTGCAACTTGAAGAGCCATGGGCTTAGTTACTCAGGGTTCAGGGTTTTGAGGTTTGGGTTCAGGCCACTCCCTCCCTTAATGTCTGGTTAAGCTTACAAGAAAGAGATGGGGTTTGAAGAGCTGGGGGGGCATCGCCCTGGCAGAATAGAGGTTTGGCAGTGCGCTCTTTTTGCGTTGCCTCAGAAAACGACTTACAAGGAAGAGGCGAGGCTTGAATAGCTGGCTTCTGAGGTGCCTACCAATAGACTTACAAGAAAGAGATGGGGCTTGAAGAGCTGGGGGGCCATGGCCCTGGCAGCATAGAGGTCAGGCAGTGCACTCGCATACGAAACACGCTCTGAAGGTGTCAGATAAAGCTTACCAGGAAAAGATGGGGTTTGAAGAGCTGGGGGGCCATGGCCCTGGCAGCGTAGAGGTCCGGCAGGGCACTTGCATAGGCATTGGCGTTCACATATGCCGCTCCTGTGAGGGAGGTTCAAGAAGGGAGGGGAAGGGGGAATGTGGGGAGGCACAGAAGGGAGGTTAGCATTGCACGGGTTGGGTGGGTTGGCTGCTTTGGAATATGTGACAATCTGGAAAAAATGTGACGCAAGCTATGCCCCCCCCCCTTCCCAACTCTCCTGCCCCCCCAAAGGAGAAGAGACAGGTTTGCCTGCAAAATGTTTCTCTATTGTCACAATTTTTTGTCGTCATTACTCTCTATTATCACCGCTATCTACTTTCGCTTCTCAATCTATTGTGCCCTGCCTACTGTAAAATCATTGTTATCCGCTCTCTATTGTCACTTCTCAGTTGTCACCTCTCTCTATTCTCACCTCGTTCCTGTCTGGCTGTGGCATCGTTTGGATCCATTTCAATCACAGCCGTCCAATCAGCAATGGCCTGCGGAATCCAGGGGTGGGTGCTTTTAGAATGGTCAGAATCCATTCAGCAGCAATGAATCCATTTAGAATCCATTCAGAATTCATTCGTGCAGGAATCGATGGAGGAAGGTTGTTGTGTGTGCGATCATGATAGAATCCAAGGTGGAGTTTTTACTTACAACAATTTAGATGCAAGGTTGTACGGTACAGTTGCTCCTTGTGAGAATTCTGCCTGCTGCTGCCGCATCACCCATCCCAATCGCAAAGCACAAGAACCAGCACACATACTACCGCCATTGTTGGCGATGGTGCCCCCCTACCGCCACACACACACCTCCTTGTGTCGGCCCATTATCCCAAGCGCCGATGCTCGTTGCCTGAGAATCTGCTGTTTGTGTCGACTCGAATGGCATGTCACCCCCCTATAGAGCAAGCAAGCGCAGAACCCATACCCACCACACACCACACCACACACCTCCTTGTGTCGGCCCATTATCCCAAGCACCGATGCTCGTTGCCTGAGAATCTGCTGTTTGCGTCGACTCGAATGGCATGTCACCCCCCTATAGAGCAAGCAAGCGCAGAACCCATACCCACCACACACCACACCACACACCTCCTTGTGTCGGCCCATTATCCCAAGCACCGATGCTCGTTGCCTGAGAATCTGCTGTTTGCGTCGACTCGAATGGCATGTCACCCCCCTATAGAGCAAGCAAGCGCAGAACCCATACCCACCACACACCACACCACACACCTCCTTGTGTCGGCCCATGATCCCAAGCACCGATGCTCGCTGCCTGAGAACCTGCTGTTTGCGTCGACTCAACTGAAATGTCATGGCATGGCATGCCACTCTCCATAGCACCAGCACAGCACCCGTACATGCCACCACCCACACACCACACACCTCCTTGTGCCGGCCCATAATCCCAAGCACCGATGCCCGTTGCCTGAGGATCTGCCCTGCCTTGGGAGCCTGTTCTAGAGCCTGTGGGGAGTCGGGAGTGGAGGGAGGAAATGAAGGGGTTAAAAGGGGTTTGAGTGTGTTGATTGAAATTACCCCATGGTCATCCCAAGCACTGACGCTCGTTGCCTGAGAATCTGCCCTGCCTTGGGGGCCTTCTCTAGAGCCTGTGGGGGGCAAGGGGGAGGAAATGAAGGGGTTGAAAGGAGTGGTCTTTTACAAATCAAGGCACCCCATGGTTACTTGTAGCACCGATGCTCGTTGCCTGAGAATCTGGCCTGCCTTGGGGGCCTGCTCTAGCGCCTATGCGGGGTGGGGAGGGGGGCGGAAGTAAAGGGATCGAAAGAAGTGCTTTGAGTCAACTAAGACCAGGCCATACTCTCAAACACCACCGACGTTCGTGGCCTGCGGATCTGCCCCTGCATTGGGGTGGGGAGTGCTACTCTAGAGCGTTCGGGGGTAAGTGCCAGCCCCACACACACAAATACATGTTGGTGCTGAGTGCTTCATTGCACATATCCACTTAGCAGTAGCAGCCTAGCAGCCTATAAGTGTTGTAAATGTATCTTATATATACAACATACATAGGCTAGAATAGGTGTAGCTCTTTAAGCTATTGGGGGGTTGGGTGTACACTCCAACCACACTTTGTGGTTGGGTCAAGATTTGGTTTGGTCTTGGTCCTTGGTTGGCACTTGCCAACATTTGGTCCTAAGGCCAACCAATCACAAGCTAGCAACATTGTGGGGTTCCCTACTCCACAAGGCAACTCACCCATTGGCCAACTTAGTGGCCAATAGGGTTGCACCTTCTTCCAACCTCTCTTCCTTGCATGCTTGTACTATAGAGCCTCCTTGGCTCATTACTCAACCATTCTCTTGAATTCTATCATGGTATTCAGAGCCAAATGGCTCACGCCACCTCCCTCGATCCTTAGGCCGTAATTTCCTCTCCGCGTCTTAGATCTAGCCTCCCGCGGCCTCAATCCTCCCTCCCGTACCTCAGATCTAGCTTTCCGCGGCTCAGATCTACTCCTCCGCGGCCTCAATCCTCCCTCCCGTACCTCAGATCTAGCTTTCCGCGGCTCAGATCTACTCCTCCGCGGTCTCAATCCTCCCTCCCGCGGCCACAATCCTCCCTCCCGCGGCCTTAATCCTCCCTCTCGCGGCCTCCGACCGCTCTCCCGCGGCCTCAATCCTCCCTCCCGCCGCCACCCCTCCCTCACGCCTTCCGTCGCGGACGGCCAGCACACCGTCGCGGACGGCCAGCAAGCCGTCGCGGACGGCCAGAAAGCCGTCGCGGACGGCCAGAAAGCCGTCGCGGACGGCCAGCAAGCCGTCGCGGACGGCCAGCAAGCCGTCGCGGACGGCCAGCCAACCGTCGCGGACGGCCAGCCCGCGGCCACGAGCACCCCGCGCGTCGACGCGGACGGCCAGCGCGGAGTCGCGGCCGACCTGTGCGCCATCCCGAACGGCCGCCGCGCGATCGCCGACGACCTCCGCGCCGACGCGGACGACCGACGCGGAGCCGCGGCCGACCCTCGCGCTGACGCGGACGGCCGACGCAGAGCCGCGGCCGACCCTCGCGCTGACGCGGACGGCCGACGCAGAGCCGCGGCCGACCCTCGCGCTCTCACGGGCGGCCGACGCGCCGCCGCGACTGACCTGCGCAACCTCCCCCCTTCATCCGCGCCCTGCCCCACACTTCCGCGCCATCCTTCCTCTCCCCTACCTCCTCCCCCCCCCCTACTTCACCCTTAATCGCACCAGCAACAGCACCTAGCAGCGACCTTTAACCCTAAACCAGCAGCGCCACCCTGTTACGGCACCAGCAGCGGCACCTTCAACGGCACCAGCAGCGGCACCTTCAACGGCACCAGCAGCGGCACCTTCAACGGCACCAGCAGCGGCACCTTCAACGGCACCAGCAGCGGCACCTTCAACGGCACCAGCAGCGGCACCTTCAACGGCACCAGCAGCGGCACCTTCAACGGCACCAGCAGCGGCACCTTCAACAGCACTAGCAGCAGCACCTTCCCGACTTCGCCATCATGGCGTCCGCAGACTCATCGGTCGACCTGGCGACCATTGACTCTCTCGAGTTGTTGGGCGACAACTCGGCCGCCAACTGGCACTCTTATGCCCACTCCGTCGAGGTGTTGCTCTCCTCGGTTGTCGTCAGCGGATATACCCTCCGTTCCGTCGTGTTCCAGGAGGAAGGCGGACTCCAGCCCATCGCCCCTTCCGCCCCCACCGGACCTCCTCCTGACGAGCCCGGACCTGAGCCCGAGCCTCCTGGTGATCCTCCCACCTTCGCGCCGGATGTCAACAATCCTCAGAGCATGGAAACTGCCATCCGTACCTACCGCACCGCACTCAACGACCACCTTCGCCGTCAACTGCGCTATGAGGACGACAAGCGCGCCTACGACGAGGCTGCTGCCCGCCACCGCGATTACCAAGTTTGACTCGCCACGTACACTACACGTCTCGCCAGCTACACCACCGACATCGCTGCGTGGCGCATTGCTGACCGTCGAGCTCTCGCCATCCTCCTCGCCACTATCCCCTCCTCCCTCAAACGAGAGCTTTCACCTACCTCCTCCTCCCACCTGTGGCAACTGCTTGTCGACCTCTTTGACCGGCAGGACATCGCCACCCTCTATGCCCTCATCAAGGAATTTGGATCCATCACCATGGATTCCACTGCCGGCGCAGCCGCCTTTACTCGCCGCGTCCTTGACCTTGCTCGCCGCCTCGCAGCACTTGGCGTTACCTACCCTGACACTGTCATCTGCTGCCACCTCCTCGAAGGCCTCACTCCCGCCTTCGATGCCCACAAGCTCGCATACATGCAACTCCTCTCCAAGCATGACACTCCCGCTCAAGTTGCCCAGTGGATTATCACCACTGAGGCTGAAATCCTTCGCCACTCCTCCTCCACTGCCGCGGTAGCACAGCAGCGCAGCGGCAAGGGCGGACGTGGGGGAGGGCGTGGAGGTGGGCGTGGTGGTGGTCGAGGCGGCTCTGGCGGTCGTGGTGGTGCGGGTCGTGGGGCAGCAGCGGCCTTCCCACCCTGTCAGTATCTTCCCCTCTATGGCCCCACCCGAGGCCAACGCTGCAACCAAACCACTCATGCAACTGACACGTGCTTCAAGGCACTCAGCGATGAGTGGTTCGCTCGTGGGAACTCTGGCACCCCTCCTCGCTGGTCCGCCCTTAATCCCCGCCCCACTCCCCTCGATGTTCGCACCTCTCCCCTCTACGCCCCCTCCTCCTCCTCCCAGGCCCACCAGGCCTTTGCTCTCCCCTCTCAGCAGCAGCAGCAGCAGCAGCAGCAGCAGCAGCAGCAGAGTGTCCAGCAGCAGGGACCGCAGCAGTATGGGCAGCAGCTCCAGCAGCTCCAGCAGCAGCTTCAGCAGCAGCTCGACCTCCAGCCCCAACTTCCTCTCCTCCCTCCTCCTCCTGTCCCCCAGCAGCAGCCGTTTCCCAGCTGGACCGCCGGAAATGCCGCCTCTGCGGCCCACCTCTCCGGTCCATCCCCTGCGCCGTCCACAGGTGGCAGTGTGACCCCCTTTCCCTCCTCTGGCTTTGTTGGTCTCCTTAGTCAGCCTCCTTCTGTTGCATCTCCTATGTATGCCCCTGCTATTAATGAAACCTCAATTCAGTATTCCGCCTCACCCTCCTCCACCCTTGAGTTCGTCTTGGACAGTGGAGCCACTGATAATGTCTTTCGAGATGCCGGCAAACTCAATCCTCTTCCCACATCCACGTCCCTCCTTGGCGCTGATAGCAGCTTTTCCATCCCCTGTCACAACACCTCCACCCTTCCCTGTCCTCTCTTTCCCTCAGGTACTGTCACAGGTCTTCACATTCCCTCCCTTCGCACCAACCTCCTCTCCCAAAGGTCCCTCCAACAATCCATGATCACCACTCTCACCCCAGGTGGTGCTAACCATTGTGATCTCTACCACACCTCCACAGGTCGTTTCCTCGCCCGTATTCCTTACTGTCCCCGCACCCGTCTATACACCCTTCGAGTTCCTCGCCCCCTCACCTTCCAAGTTGCCTCCCCCCCCCTCTTCCCCCCCCCCCCTCCCCTCCCCTCCACTAACCCACCCGTCCCCCCCCCGCCCCCCTGACTCTGACTGCTCATGTCGCTCCCTCTCCCACCCTGCCATCCTCCTCCATCACAGGCTAGGTCACCCCAACTTCGCCACTCTGCGCTCCTCTGTATCCTCCGGTCTCCTTCACGGTCTCCCCTCTTCCCTCCCTCCCCTCCCAAAGTCCCCTGCCCCCCCTTGCGTCGTCTGTGTTCAGAGCAAGCTCAAGCAGCAGCCGCACCGGAGCTCCCCCTCCGCTGCTGCTCAGCCACTTGATCTTGTTCACATGGACCTCTGGGGCCCTAACCCTTCCCCCACTCGCCAAGGCCATCGCTACCTCCTCGTGCTCGTCGATGACCACAGTCGGTACTCGTCCGTCTCTCTCCTTCGGACGAAGGCGGATGCCCCGACCGCGATCATTGCTTGGCTCGAGCAAGCCAACACCCACTTTGGCCGCCCTGTTCGTCGCCTCCACTCTGATGGTGGTGGTGAGTTCCTTAATACCCAAATTTCCTCCTACTGCCAGTCCCGCGGCATTCTCCAGACTCACACCCTCCCTCACTCCCCACAGCAGAACGGTGTCGCTGAGAGCCGTGTTCGGGAGATCACCAAAACGGCTCGGTGTCTTCTTGTCCACGCCTCATGCCCCCCTTCTCTGTGGGGCTACGCCCTCCTTCATGCCGCCCTCCTTACTAACCTCTACCCTCACCCCCTCCTCCCCTCCACCACCCCCACTGAGCTATGGACAAAGGACAAACCCGATGTCTCCCCTCTTCGAGTCTGGGGCTCAAAGGCCTATGTCCTCATTCACCCGTCTGACCGATCCCGCTCCCTTGGAAAGCTTGCCCCTCGTACCCTTCCTTGCGTCTTCCTTGGTCATAACCCCTCCTCCCCCGACTACCTTTTCCTCCACCCCCCTTCCGGTCGACTAATTCGCAGCAGAGATGTCGTCTTTGACGAGTCCACCCCGTACTATTCCTCTCCCCCGTCCACTGACCCACTCCCACCTCTGACCCGTCCCCTTTTCTGGTCTGAGACCACACCTCCCCCTCTCCTCCCTCCTCCCCCCATCCTCCCACCCCCTCCCCCTCCGCCCTCCCAGTCCCACGGTGCCCCTCCCTCGTCTGGTGACATCTTTGACCCGGACCCTCTATCTTCCCCTGTCTCCCCCGCCCACTCCTCCCCCAGTGCCCCTCCCCCTCCCTCCCAACCACCTCCCTCCCCCACTCCCCGCACCATACTCACCCGGTATCCTCACACCCGGTCATGTGACAGTATCCTTGGTGCACCGCCCCCTGTTACCCTCTCTACCTCTTCCCTTCCCCCTCTTTCTCCCCTCCTTCACCACTTCTTCCAGGCTGTCTTACACCACGCCTCTCCTGCACCAGCCTCCTCGACCACCTCCCCATCCTCGGTAGCAGCACCTCCAGCAGCAGCCATTGCAGCGGCACCAGCAGCGGCAGGTGCAGCAGCAGCAGCGGCACCAGCAGCGGCAAGTGCAGCGGCAGCAGCGGCCTCCACAGCAGCACCAGCAGCGGCACCAGCAGCGGCACCAGCAGCGGCACCAGCAGCGGCACCAGCAGCGGCACGAGCAGCGGCCCCAGCGGTTATCCGCGCCTTCCACACCTCCCTCTCTGAGGACTCCCATGAGGAGTTCCTTGACCTCCACCTTTCCGACCCCTCCCTCCTCCCCATCACCTTTGACCTGTCTGGAACACCAGTCTTCGCCTTTTCCTCTGCTCCCTCCATCTTCGTCCCAACCACGTACGAGGAGGCCATGGCTTGCCCCGACGCCCCGCTCTGGCTTGCCGCCATCATCAAGGAGCTCGAGGCATTTATCGCCAACTCCTCCTTCGTTGATGTCCCTCGCCCTCCCTCCTCTACGAACGTGGTAAAGGGGAAGTGGGTGTTTCGCGTCAAACAGCTACCAGGAGAACCGCCCGTCTACAAGGCCCGGTATTGCGCCAAGGGCTTCACGCAGCGGTATGGTTTTGACTTCTTCGACACCTTCTCCCCCACCGCCAAACCTGCTACCGTTCGCGCTGTACTCGACCTCGCCGCTCGCCTCAACATGGAGATCCACTCGATGGATGTCTCCAACGCCTTCCTGCAAGGCGTACTACGTGAACTCATTTACATGGAGCGCCCAGACGGCTTCCACCTCCCCTTCCCCGCCGACTCCGTCTGGCAGCTGCGCCGACCCGTGTACGGGCTCCGTCAGGCACCCAGGGAGTGGCATGCCAAGCTTGCTGCCACCCTTGCTGAGCTTGGCTTTCGCACCTCCCGCTCTGACGCCAGCCTCTTCCTCCGCACCTCTCCCTCCCCCTTCTACATCCTCGTCTATGTTGACGACATGATCCTCCTCACCGCCGACCTTGCCGAGCTCGAGACTGTCAAGGCGGAGCTGGGCAGCCGTCTCAAGTGCAAAGACCTGGGAGAGCTGCAGAACTACCTCGGCATGACCATCACTCGCGACCGCTCCGCCCGCACCATCTCACTCTCTCAGGGTCACTACCTCCAGCAGGTCTTGGACCGGTTTGACATGGCGCGCGGCAACCCCCAACTTATTCCCCTCTCGGTTGGGCACCACCTCTCCCCACCCTCCTCTCCCTCTCCCTCCTCCCATCCTTATCCGGAACTCATCGGCTCTCTCATGTACGCCATGGTTTCCACTCGCCCCGATCTTGCCTACCCCATCAGCGTCCTCGCTCGGTTCGTTGGCGCTGGCAAGCACACGGAAGAGCACTGGCAGGCCGCCAAGCGTGTCCTTCGCTACATTCGTGGCACCAAGGACTATGTCCTCACTCTTGGCGGCCCTTCCCCACCACACCTCAACGGCTACAGCGACTCTTCCTGGGCTGATTCTCGACCGGATCGGCGGTCCTCTCAGGGCTATGGCTTCTCCCTCGGCAGCGGTCTCATCAGCTGGCGGTCCACACGCTCCTCTGCCGTCGCCCTCTCCTCCTGCGAAGCAGAGCTCTATGCTGCGACCATGGCCGCGCAAGAAGCACGCTGGCTCACCTTCCTCCTTGATGAGCTCGGAGCCCCCCAACGCTGTCCCACCATCTGGTGTGACAACGCCAGCACCATCCACCTCACCAAGGACGCTGTGTATCATGGGCGCTCAAAACATATTGAGCTTCGCTACTTCTTCATTCGCGATCTCGTTGAGGCCGGCCACATTCGTCTTGGCAAAATCGACTCGGCAGCCAACCTCGCCGACATCTTCACCAAAGCTCTTCCCCTAGCGTCCCACTCCTTCCTGTTGCGTCTCCTTGGGCTCACCCCGCCACCAGTTTTGGCGGCCTCCTGATTACATTTTTTCTAGCCTTATGCATGTTGGGGGGTTGTGTTGTAAATGTATCTTATATATACAACATACATAGGCTAGAATAGGTGTAGCTCTTTAAGCTATTGGGGGGTTGGGTGTACACTCCAACCACACTTTGTGGTTGGGTCAAGATTTGGTTTGGTCTTGGTCCTTGGTTGGCACTTGCCAACATTTGGTCCTAAGGCCAACCAATCACAAGCTAGCAACATTGTGGGGTTCCCTACTCCACAAGGCAACTCACCCATTGGCCAACTTAGTGGCCAATAGGGTTGCACCTTCTTCCAACCTCTCTTCCTTGCATGCTTGTACTATAGAGCCTCCTTGGCTCATTACTCAACCATTCTCTTGAATTCTATCAATAAGCACTCAGTCAGCACTGACACTCTTCCCCACACCACACAACTTGTTGAAATCACTGAGTGCCTCCTCATACTTCTCTGCAAAGGCGTGCGCCATTCCTGTATCAACTAAACTAGACTAAAGGATTCAGCAGCAGCAGACAACCCTACACACACAAACACGCATACCTTGTTGAAATCACTCAGTGCTTCCTCATAGTGCTCTGCGAAGGCGTGCTTCCCCCCCTCCCCCCTCCCCCTCCCCCTCCCCCCCCCCTCTCCTACACACACGCACGCATGCTGCATACCTTGTTGAAATCACTGAGTGCTTCCTCATAGTGCTCTGCAAACGCATGCACCATTCCTGTATCAACTAGAGGATCCAACAGCAGCAGACATTCGTACACACACACACATGCATACCTTGTCGAAATCACTGAGTGCTTCCTCATAGTGCTCTGCAAAGGCATGCGCCATGCCACGCCACGCCAGCAGCACCACCGTCTCCTGCGCTCCGCTCTCCTGCAACTGCAGTGAGAGAGGGAGGAGGGTGAAGGGGACATGGATGGCAGAGGGAAGGCATGACGGAGGGGGGAGGTGAAAATCGCGAGAGGGGGCAGCACCATTGTCTCCTGTGTTGTGTTCCTCTCTCCTGCAGCGGCAGGCGAGAGGGAGGGGCGTGAGGTCTGTGAGGGGGTTGATGAGAGAGGAGGGGAAGAGGGGAGCGTGATTGGGGCAGGGAGGGTGAAATGAGTGAGGAGAAGAGGGGAGGATGGGAGTGGGGAATCGATGGAGGTGAATGCGTGCAGTGGATGCATGGGATGGGCATGGGATGACATGGCACGAGGAGGTAGAATGGGTCGGAAGAGGAACCCAGCATGGCGTGTGTGTGGCATGGTTTTGTAAACCGGAATATACAAAGCATGACATGACATGGCACGGCAAAGGACAGCACGGCACAACACGGCACAGCAGAGCACCGCACCGCACAGCACCACACAGCACAGAGCGGGGTACCTTGGCAAAGATGGGGAAGGCGTTCTTATGGTCGCCCATTTGCACCTGCGATGGGAGGAAAGGAAGGGATGGATGGGGGTTGGTTGGGTGCGGTGAATGATTGGCTTGCCCAATCAAAGATGGGGAAGGCATTCTTATGGTCGCCCATTTGCACATGCCATGGGGAGGAAAGGAAGGGATGGAAGGGGGTTGGGTGCGGTGAATGATTGGCTTGCCCAATCAAAGATGGGGAAGGCATTCTTATGGTCGCCCATTTGCACCTGCCATGGGGGAACGAGGCACGGCACAGAAGCGGGTGGATTACCGAGTCGAGTACTAATGATGGGGAAGCAGCTTCTGTGGTCGCTTAGGGAGCATGTGATTGTTTATGAAGTTCATATAACGAGGATGACGAGGGAGACGTGCAATGCGGAGGAGATTGAACAAAGAATAACAAAAAGGTATGAACAAATAGGAAACGGTGATTGCACAAGAATGAGATACCAGTAATTGGGAGGAGGAAGAAGAGTATACACACACACAAACACACACATGCACACACACTCCCATCCCATGGAAGCAACGGTTCACCCCCATCCCACCACATCCACCCCAATATCACCACACCAATTCACCCCCATTGCATCATACCAGCCTAATAGCCGCTTCCAGGGCAGATGCTACATCAAACGTTGAATCCTCCTTCCCTCCTCCTCCCCTTCCACCACCTCGTTTTCCCCCCTCCCTCACACCAGTCCCCTGACCTCCCTTCCATCTCTCACTCCTCTGCTCCTCGCCCCTCCCCTTCCTTCTCTCCTCACTCCTCTCCTCCCGCACCTGCCGTCCCTGCCGTCCCTGCCGCCCTGCAGATGCCTCCTCTTCCTGCTTCCTCCTCTCCCTCTCCCTCTCCTGTTCTTCCCTCCTCTGGCTTCTTCTCTCCCTCCTGGATCGCGCACTTTCCTCACCCACACTCCCCCCTCCTTCCGCAGCCCCTCTTCTACCCTCTCCCCCCCTTCCCTCCCGCCCACTACCCCTGCCTCTACCGCCCACTTCCTCCCCACTGGATGGCATCGTTTGTCTGCTAGCCCTTCGGGCGGCCCTATCAGAACGCCTGCTTCGTTCCCGGCTAAACTCAATGCACAGAGCAGCTTCGTTGCCAGCAGCAGCAGCGGCCGCAGCAAGAGCAGCCGGGGACGGGAAGCCCTCGCCATTGTCACTCTCACCATCCTCGTTATAGGCTTCATTGCCAGTGGTGGGGGTGCTTTGGAGAGGGGGGGAGGAGGAACCAGAAGCGGGAGAGAGGAGGAAGGATGTGGCGGGTGGTAGAGCGAACAGAGAGACGTCTGGGGGAGAGGTGGATGGTGGAGAAAGAGGAGAAAGGGGGAGGTAGAGGGAGACGTGAGGAGGAAGAGAGTTATAAGGAAGAGAGTTATAAGTTCCAAGAGAGTTCTAAGTCGACTCAAAAGACAGGAGAGGTAGCAAGGCAAGGAGAAAGACGTCCCTGGGAGAAGTGCATGGTGAGGGGAAGAGGGAGATGGGTTGGACGGATGAAGAGGAGATGAATTGTGTTTATGCTGCGGGGAAGAAGGCACTGTGTGGGTGAGCAAGAAGACTGGGTGAGTGCATGGGTGGGTGGGTAGAGCAAGCAAGGCCCTGCATTGCTCTCTGCTCGGACCCTCCCTGTATAATTTCTAGCTTCATTCTCCCACATCCCCACTCAGTTTGCCCGTAAACACACTCCCTCCTTTCTCTCCTTACCTGTCCCGTCCCCAACCCTCCCCCTCCGCTCACCCGATTTGAGGAACGGCGAGGGACACGTGGCACGCCACGGGCTGCCCTGCAGCAGCCCCTCACTCCACGGCTCGGACAAATACAATGGCGCGCGACCAATCACAGGCATCCAGCTGGCGGATAAGGATTACGGGAAGCGGGGAGAGGGGTGTGGGGGAGGGAGGGGAGGTGAGTGGGGGAGGAACAAATCTGGGGACGTCATGATGACGTAAGACAGGTATGAAGAACTGGGAAGGAGGTTACAACTTAAAGCCGGGGTGTGCGGGCAGCACCAGGGGGTCTGTCCTTCCCCTCTACCTTTTCACCTAAGGCGGAAAGCCAGAACTATGTGACGACAGCGAGGCACGATGTATCCACGTTGACCTACCACGTGGCATGCCCACATTCGGCGTACCGACTTCACTGGTGCGAAGCGATAGAGTCCAGATCCGACGTATCGGTCCAGGTACGACGTTCCAGCCCGGTTTGCTGACCTAGCTGGCTCGATCTTTCGAAATTGACTTGGTTGACTTTCTTGACCCGTCTCTAAGGTACTCGAGACTAATTTAACGTGTTGGTCTGTTACGCCTCACACCAGCAGTCGTGAGAGCACGCGACGAGATAAGAGACCGAGCTTAACGGAGTCGCTAATGAAGGGGATAACCTGTGCGGAACCTACCCACCTCAACTGGCCAGCGACACTCTGAAAGTCGCGCATTGTCGCAGCGAGTGCGCTCGTCGCGCGAATAGATACCCGCTCGCCGCATTCTGCGGGAGAGGACGACGCGACGACCGTCCGTGCGACAGGCACGGAGCCTGCGACGGTGTCGGCGGGCGACGGCGACGCTCGGTACAAGTGGCAGAGCGTCAGGTTGAGCGAGAGACAGATAAACGATGCTGCGGCCGTCGCGATAGAGACGCCCATTGCTGGCGTTGTGAATGGCGGGACTGATTAGAAGCGCATCTCTGATTTTTTTTATCCTGCTGCTCCTACTTACACGGAACTCGCATCATCCGAACTTCGATTCCAGTGCAGTCAAGATAATCCTATCTTAGGAATGATGATTTGCTTGCGCGGAAAAGGCCTTTGTGTAAAAGAAAAGGGGTTAGAGCTGGTGTGTGATCCTCGATAATTAGTATCGGGCTGCCCTGTAGTGCACCATTTCCAAATTTTTCCCCCTTCAGAATGTAAACCCTATTTTCCAACTGTTTTTTTAACTCTGAACCAGTTGGTACGAGCACTTTCGTCTATAACACAAAGTAGCAGTCGGTACAGAGCATTAAACAACAAGCCACGTTTCAACTCTTTTTATTTTCTACACCACGAACCAGTCACTTTTCGTAAGCAAAGGCAGTCCATTCTGATGTTCAAGGAACACGCCCTCTCTATGCTCTTCCATCCTCTCGTCCGTGTTTTTGATTTCCTCGAAAGTAGCGAGTTTCAGACGATGATGCCTGAGCAAAACACAGATACTCCTCCAATCACGTCCATTCGAACACGGGTTTCTTCGCCATAGCTCAATGCCGATCTGTGATAACTCCAGCGAGCCAATGTGCTGCCATGTCACGCGTGCAAGTCGCAAATGCTTCGTCGAACCTGGGATAGTTCAGTACCAATCGCTTGTGCTTGTTGCCGTCCTTCCAAAAAATGGCACATCGAGGCGCGACGCGCGAACGGCTTTTAGTTATAAAAGCGACTCTTAATTCTCGATAATACGCATCGCAACCATTCCATTACAAACTCGCACCTCTTTCAATTTCCATCCCTCAGCTCGCAGAACTATTGATCGTACTACTCGCCAGCTTCTCTAGCCCTCGACACTGGTGATCATGGCATTTCGCAAGCTCCTCCTCCCCCTCGTCCTGCTCGCCCTGTTCACCGCTGCGGAAGGTACGCGCCTTTCCGTCATTAGCATTGTCGTTACATAATTTAGGCATTTCCCCGTAATATTGATCAGTTGCTCATTGGCAGAAAGCTATGTAACTTACTCCTTCCCTGACGTCTCGCAGGGGCTCGTCCCAGGTATGTGCCCCGCACTAGGAGGGCTCTCGAGAACCGTACCTGCCCCGACCGACACGGCGCTAAAACAAACCTCAAGACGTGCGCGTTACACTCTGTGTCCGACAATCGCGCGGAGTGGCGGGGCGGGTGTCTGACGCAGATGGTCGCGGTTGGAGAAGAAGCGTTGGTCCCAGTGACGTCAAATGTGACACCGAAATTGTATGCAGCGCTATATGCACCTAAGGGCGTGGTCCCATACGTCAAGGCAGACTCCAGGATGTAACTATTTCACTGTCACGTCAGGACTAAGGAGTCTAGAGTCCTGGAAATCTGCTGGTAGGTACTCCATCTTAGCATGAGAATTGTGCTGGTTATGATGCTGTATGGTATGCTATGAGTCATACCAGCTGCATTGATATCATCGTCATGTCGTAATTTCTCACTCTGGAGAACTTTGCTGAATAGAGAATATTGCACGGTAAAAGGTTTATTACTATTGAACATCATACACTCTACAACAAAAGGCTTGTAAACTGTACGTACCGTATGTCATACCGTAGTAAGCACAGGGGCCAAAAAGAACTCGACAATCTACTCAATCAAGTCGATAAAGAGGCGGTCTTCAAAGAAACAGCTGTCACGGCGGAAACCAGGAAGCCTCAATAAATGCTCTGGAATCTTCACACCCACAGATTTCTCGTCGATGCACAGCTCGGGCAGCCCAGCCAGTGCTGTTAATGAGTCGGGCAGGTACCGCAGATTCCGGCAGTTCTGAACAACAAAAGTCTGGAGGAATTTCAGCTGCCCGACACCAGCTGGAAGGGAATGAATGGCTGGACAGAACGCCACCACCAGCCTCTGCAGAAACTGAAGGCTGCCCAGGGATTCGGGCAGCTTGGAAAGCCTTGAGCAGCCAATCAGATCCAAACGTCGAAGACTAACCAGCTGGCAAATTTCCTCGGAAAGCTCAGCTATTCCCGCAGGCTTGGTTTTCTTCTCCGGTGTTGCTGGCAAGTCAGCCGGCAGAAAAATCATCATAGAGGGATTAACCCCACCGCCCGTCTCCGTGGTAACCGCATCGCTGCCCGTGCCCATGCCAACTGCACCGCTCCCAGCAGGGAGACCAGAGAGCAACGCCTGAGACGCTGATTTGGACCCCATGCGACTGGGAGAATTCAGAGGCATGTCTGAGAATGATTCTCGGGTTCTGGTTTCTGTGAAGTCGAGAACGAGGCTTTCGAGGAGGCGGAGGGAGAAGAAGGCGGGCGGGAGGGCGGTGAGGGAGACGTTGGCGCGTAGGACTAGCTGCCGCAGATTGCACATGGCTGATGGGTTGATGCCCATGGATGCCGGCAGGGCGAGCAGACCACTCGGACCATCATCCTCCTCCTCCTCATCGTCATCATTGTAATCGTGGTTGCCATGACTGTCATGGTTGTTGTCATGATTATTGTCGTCCCCGTCAGCATCCCCGTTTCTGCCTGTACTCGCGCCGTCGTCACTGGCAGCAGTGTCGTCAGTGCCGTTCATGCTCATATGCATGCCCATGTCCATGGCTGTTGAATGGCTCACTATGCTCATCCCATCCTCCTCCCCATCCCCATCCTCCTCCCCATCCTCATCCCCATCCCCATCCCCATCCCCATCCTCCTCCTCATCTTCATCCTCATCGACTTTGTTATCCACTAGCAGCAGCTGGAGGCTGCACGAGCTGCCCAGAGATTCGGGCAGCGTGGCGAGAGAATAGCAGCCAATGAGCTTCAGCGAGTAGAGGTACGGAAGCTGCCCGAGAGATTCGGGCAGAGAGGTGAGGGCGAAGCAGTTGCGGAGCTCCAGTCGCACAAGACTTGTCAGCTGCCCGAAGGAATTGGGCAGGGACAGAAGTCCACATGCTTCGGACTCCTCTGCAAAACCCTTGTTGTCGAAAACAAATTCTTCAAGCTGAAAAAGCTGCCCAAAAGATTCGGGCAGATCCAGCATCAACGGGCAGCCGACAATCTTCAGGAACCGCAGGGAATAGAGCTGACCAAAAGATTGCGGAAGCTCTTTCAGGCTGCCCAACCAGGTTTCACTTGCTGCCATGTTGATCACCATCTCCTCCAATTCTTTCAGCTGCCCGATGCTCTCGGGCAGGCTGCGGACAGACATGCACCAGCACATCTTGAACCACTTCAGGCGCTGAAGCTGCCCAATAGATTCGGGCAGCTGGCGTAAACAATCCAGGCTCAGCAGCTCCAGCTCCTCCAATCCAGTCAGTTGCCCGATTTCTTCGGGCAGAGTGGGAAGCTGCAAGCAGGAGTCGAGGACCAGGCGGCGAAGATTCGAAAGCTGACCGAGGGTAGGTGGAAGAGATCGTAAACCAAGTTTTGAAGACTGGTTCATTATAAGCAAATCCTCTAAGAGCGAGAGGTGGGAGATGGAGGCTGGGAGGGAGCGGATGAATCGGCCGGTGCAGAGGGCGAGAGAGCGGAGGGTGGGGAGGGAGGTGAAGAGGGTGGTGAGGCCTGCTGGTGTTCTTGCGTACGTGCGCTCCTGTTGGTGATGGGGGGAGAGGGAGAGAAAGGCAGAAGGGGCAGAGATGAGAATAGGAAAGAGAAAAAGAATCTCTTTAAATCAAGTACCAAATAAGTATTTCAACCATACTTGAACAGCACAAGCACTATAAAAAAATCCCATCCAAATTCATAGAGAAACACATGAAGTAATTAAGGCACCAACTTACATTGTACCCAGGGAACACGTCAATATGCAGCGCCTTAAGTTCCAATCCGGCTGAAGCAATCATCTCAAAAACATCATCCCCCTCTGCTTCCAGGCTGTACCAAGGCAGGTACAGCAATGCCAGGTTCGGGTAACAGGCAAGGTACTGAGCGAGCAGAGGCTTGGGGAGCAGGCGGCTCGGGAGGAGGTAGAGCGCGTGCAGCGCGAGGCAGGAGAGGGCGGCGAAGCGCCGGGATAGGACGAGGCAGGCCGCCCAGTCGAGCGGGTCGGTGAGACGAGAGAGGATCTGCACGATGAACTCGTCCGGTAGATCTGATAGCTGGGTGGCTCGAGAATCGTCTGATGAGATAGCAAAAGGAGTTAGACGGGATGCAGGATAAGAGGTAGTGTAACAAGGAGGATGATTAAGAACAAGAAGAGAGCGAGACGTGTCCCTTGTTCCGCCTTTATGATAGAGTGCATCTCTGTCCCATGAGACGCACCTTGGGCTTCGTACAGCTGCTGCTGCTGCTCCATCTCGGCCCACAGGCAAGCCCATCTGGTGGGAAAATTCAATGCGTCCAGCAGCTTGACCATGCAACAAAGTATTCTCTCCCACTAGAAAGCACACAGTTGCCACATAAGTCTCACCTTGGGATTCATACAGCTGCCGCTGCTGCTCCATCTTGGAGCACAGGTGAGCCCATCTGGTAGGAGACTCTAACGCACCCAGCAGCTTGACCATGCAACAGACCATCCTCTCCCATTAGAAAGCACACAGCTGCCATGCCACATAAGTCTCACCTTGGGATTCATACAGCTGCCGCTGCTGCTCCATCTTGGAGCACAGGCAAGCCCATCTGGTAGGAGACTCTAACGCACCCAGCAGCTTGACCATGCAACAGACCATCCTCTCCCATTAGAAAGCACACAGCTGCCATGCCAAATAAGACTCACCTTGGGATTCATACAGCTGCCGCTGCTGCTCCATCTTGGAGCACAGGTGAGCCCATCTGGTGGGGGAATTTAATGCATCCAGAAGCTCCCTCATGGGACTCTGCTCCCCCTCTCCTCCATCCCCACTCTCCCCTCTGCACCCGTGTTGCTGTTTGCAGCTGCAACCTCTGCCTCTGCTGCTTCTTTTCCTGCTCCTCCCCCCTCCTCAACAACTTCCCTTTTTACTATTGTATCAGCCACAGTCGCTGCTCCGTCCCTGTTCCGAGCCTCCTCTACTTTCTCCATCCCCCCCTCCTCTCCTCCCTCTGCTACCCCCCTGGAGATCTCCATGCCAGAATGTTGCTGCCCACATGCCATCACCCCACCAGTCGCCATTCCCCCAGTCGCCACACTTCTCACCCTCTTCCATCCCTCCTGCCGGCAACCCTCAACATGCATCTCTCCAATCGCTCCCACCACCTTCCCTCCTGTCCCTCCCGCTACATCAACTCCGCCGGACCCCAACTCTCCATCCCCCGTAACCCCACACGCTCCTCCCTCCCTGCCTCCCTGCATTCCCGCTACGACCTCCGCCGCTACAGCCGCCAGGGCAGCACCACCTGCGCCCTCGTGCCTCGCTGCATGAGCGCCGGCAACAGGGCCACCAGGATGCGAGGCGGCTTTCACAGAGAGCAGAATGTCCTTCCATGTCTTGCTGCTGCCGTTCGGCTCACTTGAAGGCATTGTTGCAGCTGCTGGCCCTTCTGTCTGCATGCGCTCACCCGCTAGACCCTCCTCCTCTCTCTCTTCCTCCTCGTCATCCTCTTTTTCCTCTCCTTCATCCTCCTCCTCTCTCTCCTCCTCGCTTTCCCCCTCACCCCCCAGCATTTCCTCCTCATGGCCGTCTCCCTCCATGCCACTACTGCCCTTCGATATAAGCACATTCCCCCCACCTCCCACCATCCCTCCCGGAGATCCCACCCCTATCTGTCGATCCAAAAATCGAGATTTGCTGTATCCCCCACTCCCTCCTCCACTCCCCAAAACCCCAACCCCTCCCCTTTCTCCTCCTCCCACCTCCCCTATTCCAGACCCCCTCCTTCCCACCCCCTCGCGGAAATCCAAATCCCTCGACGAATCACGGAACTCTCCGAACCTCGGGTCCCTGGACCCCCCACCGAACCTCACACTGCTGCCGAACCTCGGCGGCAGCCTTGGAGGCAGGCCGCGAGCAATGGGCGACTGGCTCGGGCTCACGGACGAGGTTCGGATGGGAAGGCCGCTAGGATAAGCCCCCGGAGAGGCGGAATAATGCGGGAGGTTCGGCGAGGGGGCACGACGGCGTTGGGGGGATACTCCTGCTAAGGCTGCTGCTGCTACTGCTGCAGCATCAAAAGCCCGGAACCTACTGGGGCTGAAGCTTCCTCGGGGGCGGATGGGACTCACGAGGTGGGTGGAGGGACAGCGCGTGTAGCAGGGGAGATGGGCGGAGGGGGAATGAGGGATTGGGCGCGGTGAGGGGGAGTAGGGACGGTGGACGAGGCGTGGAGAGGGAGCAGGGTAGTGCAGATGCTGCTGCTGTTGCTGGATGCTCTTTTCATTACCATACAGCATCGTGGGCTCGCTAGTGCTGTTAGGATCGCGTTCACTAATACCGCTGCTAGACACGGCACCTGGGAGAGAAGACTGGGAGGACTGGGGTGGGGCAGTCGAACTTGCAGCAGCCGAGGCAGCAAGTGCAGCAAGAGCCTTCACCCGCCCCTCTGCAACCTCTACAGGGACCTCCTTTAATGCAGGGGCGGAGGTGGCAGTGCCATCAGCAGCAGCAGAGGCAGCAAGAGCAGCGAGCTCTCTCACCCTCCCCTCTGCAACCTCTAAAGAAGCCAAGTCCTTTGAACCTGCACCAGCTGTATCGGCATTGCCGTCAGCAGCAGAGGCAGCAAGAGCAGCGAGCTCTCTCACGCGCCCCTCTGCAACTTCTAGAGAAGCCAAGTCCTTTGAAGCAGCTCCGGCTGTATCAGCACTGCCGTCAGCAGCAGAGGCAGCAAGAGCAGCAAGGGTCTTCACACGACCCTCACCAGCTTCCAGAAACGAGTCCTTTGGAGCACTGCCAGCGGTTTCAGTGCTGCTGTTAACAGCAGCAGCGGCAGCAAGAGCAGCGAGCTCTCTCACCCGCCCACCTGCCACCTCCAGTGAGGGGCCGTCTGAGGATGCACCGCCGACGCTAGCAGCATTGGTATCAGCACCAGCAGACACCACAGTAGCAGCCAACTCTCTCACCCGCCCCCCCCCTGAAACGTCCATAGGGGCCAAGTCCTTTGAAGCAGCACCGGCAGTTTCAGCGCTGCTGCTGTCAGCAGCAGAGGCAGCAAGAGCAGCGAGCTCTCTCACCCGCCCCTCGGCAACCTCCAGAGAGAGATTGTCTGAGGGTGCAGCACCATTGGTGCCAGTGTTACTATCAGCAGCAGCAGACGCCACAGCAGCAGAAGAAGGTTCCTTCAAAGCAGCATCACTGGTACTTGCAGCAGTGGTGTCAACACCCGCACCAGCCACTGACGCAGCCAGGGCCTTCACCCGTCCCTCAGAAACCCCTAGAGTTGCTGCTTCTTTAAGGGGTGCATTGGTGGTATCAGCACCTACAGAAGCCACCACAGCAGCAAGAGCCTTCACACGCCCACCAGTCGCCGCCTCTTTAGAGGGTGGACCAGCAGTGGTGTTGGCACCACAAGGAGCAGTCACAGTGCCAGCAAGAGCTTTCACCCTCCCTCCCGCAACATCTAGAGCCGTCGCCTCTTTAGGGGCTGCAGCTGTGGTTTCAGCAGTTGCAGACGCCACTACAGCAGCCAGGGCCCTCACACGCCCCTCTGCGACATCTGGATTTGGCGCCTCTTTAGAGGTTGCACTGGTAGACTCAACAAAAGCAGCAGACGCCACAACAGCAGCAAGAGCCTTCACACGCCCCTCTGCGACATCTGGATTTGCCGCCTCTTTAGGGGTTGCACTGGTAGAGTCAGCAGACGCAGCAGACGCCACCACAGCAGCAAGAGCCTTCACCCTCCCACCAGCAACATCTACAGCTGCTGGCTCTTTGGGGGATGAACTGGAGGCGTCAGCAGGAGCAGCAGTTGACGCAACCACGGCAGCAAGAGCCTTCACACGCCCGCCAGGAACATTTAAATCTGCCGCCACTTCAGGGGCTGCAGCAGTGGTATCAGCATTAGCGGACGCCACTACAGCAGCCAGGGCCTTCACATGCCCGCCAGGAACATTGATTTCTGCCGCATCTTTAGGGGTTGCAGCTGCGGTATCAGCAGCAGCAGACGCCACTACAACAGCAAGAGCCTTCACACGCCCCTCTGCAACATCTGGATTTGCCGCCTCTTTAGGGGTTGCACTGGTAGAGTCAGCAGAAGCAGCAGCAGACGCCACCACAGCGGCAAGAGCCTTCACACGCCCCTCTGCAACATTCAGAGTCTCCGGTTCCTTAGACGTTGCACTGGCGGCGCCAGCAGAAGCAGAAGAAGCCACCACAGCAGCCAGTGCTTTCACCCTCCCAGCAGAAACGTCCACAGTCGCAGCCTTGTTAGGGGGTGCACTGGTGGTATCAGCAGCAGCAGCAGACGCCACCACAGCAGCAAGAGCCTTCACACGCCCCCCAGCAACACCTAACGCCACCGCCTCTTTAGGGGATGCAGTGGTGGTATCAGCAGCAGCAGCAGCAGCAGCGACAGCAGCAGCAGCAAGGGCCTTCACACGCCCCTCACCCTCAGGCACATTCAGCAGCAGGGGGTCTTTGGCAGAATCGCTGCCTGCTTCCTCATCCGCTCCTCCACCTGCTTCAGCTGGACTCTCCTCAGTTGGAGCATGCTCAGCCTCCATATCCCAAGACTCGTCGCCCCCAGCCTCCATATCTTTGTGCCCCGCCTCGTGCTCTACCTCCTCATTCTCCTCTTCCTCCACAGCCTCCTCCATATTGCAAGACTCGTCGCCCTCAGCCTCCATATCTGTGTGTCCTGCTTCTTGCTCTACCTCCTCATTCTCCTCTTCCTCCTCTGCTCCACCCTCCTCAGCTCCACCCTCCTCAGCCTCCTCCATATTACAAGACTCCTCGCCCTCAGCTTCCGTATCAGTGTGGCCTGCTTCTTCCTCTAGGTCCTGCTCTGCTTCCTCCTCCTCCTCATCGTCCTCTTGAATGTTCTCATCATCGTCCTCACCTAGACCCTCCGCAGCCTCTGACATATCACAAGACTCCTCGCCCATAACCTCCAGATCTGGGTGTCCTGCCTCATGCTCTAGCTCCTCCTCCTCCTCCTTCTCCTTGTTCTCCTCCTTCTGTTCCTCCTCCTCATTCTCCTCATTCTGTTCCTCCTCTTCATTCTCCTCATTCTCCTCCCTATTCTCCTCGTTCTCCTCCTCCTCATTCTCCCCGTTATCTATTTGCTCCACTCCATCTTCCTTCTCTGGTGCATCCTCCCCTCCCTCACTTCCACCTTCTCCCCCCTCTTCCTCCTCCTCCGCCTCTCCATGCGCTTCCTCTTCCCTCTCCTCGTCTTCCTCTCCCTCCTCTTCTCCCTCCCCTTCCTCTGCACCACCCTCACCCTCCTCATCATCATCATCCTCCTCCTCTTCCTCCTCCACTTCCACCACCTCCTCCTCTTCCTCCTCTTCCTCCTCCTCCTCCTCCTCTTCCTCCTCCTCCTCCTCTTCCTCACTACTACTCTCCAGCAAGGAAGGTCGCTTTCGTTCCTTCACCATGCTCCGACTCATCCCCAGGTTAGCACCGCCACCTCCTGTCCGCCCCATGCTACCCCGGGACACCATGCTACGGCTCCCCACCCCAGCACTCCCCCCTGTTAGCCCCATGATCTCTCGAGTCACTGCACTGGCCGGCACATGCAGGCCCTGTGATGCCACCAGTGACAACAAGCGCGACCGCTGTGAAAGGAGGGAGGAGGGAGAAGAGACACAAACGGTAGGAGACAGAAAGGATGGTTAAGAGGGACGCGCAAAACCAACAACCCCCCCTGTTAGCCCCATGATCTCTCGAGTCACTGCACTGGCTGGCACATGCAGGCCCTGTGATGCCACCAGCGACAGCATCCGCGAGCGCTGCAAGCAATGAAAGAGGGGCAAGGAAAGAAGGCAAGCACAGCAGTACGTGTGAGCACTACATCCCTGGACGACATACTTTGGCTCGCCCCAGCCCAGCACTCCCCCTGTGAGTCCATAATCTCTCGAGTCGCTGCACTGGCCGGCACGTGCAGGGGGTGGAGGGAGAAAAGACACCAGCGACAACATGCGCGACCGCTGTGAAAAGGGGGTGGAGGGAGAAAAGACACAAACAGTGGGAGACAGAAAGGATGGTAACTGCACTGCTACTGGCCGGAACATGCAGACCCTATGACGCCAAAAGAGATGGCAAGCGTGTGAGGGTTGGGACCAAGTTACATGCTCTCCAGGTTATCTACAATAGAAACATACAGCTCACCTTGCTCGGACTGTGAGGGTTGGGACCACCACCACCACCACCACCACCACCACCACCACCCGCCATGGCAGGAAGCGCAATAGGAGCCGCTGCTCCTGCCCCCTCTGCTTGCCCCACAGCACCTCCACCACCCCCTCCTGTCCCAGATGTGCCCGTCCGGCTCCCCTCAACCGCCCCTGCTCCTCCGCCTCCCTCCCCCTCCCCCTCCTCGCGTATGCCCTGGCGGAAGCGCAGCTCCCCCAGCACCGCATTGAACCGCTTCATACTTGCCACGCGCAGCCTCAGCGCCCGCTGCTCCTCCGCGTTCCTCTCCTCCTGCTCCTGCCGCTTTATCCTTGCCTCCTCATCCTCCTCCTCTTCCTTTCCCTCGGGCTTGCTCCTCGGGCTGCTTTCCTTGCTGCTGCTGTTTGTGCTCTCTTTTTCACTTGCCTCCTCCTCCTCTTCCTCTTCCACCACTTCCTCTTCTTGCTCCTCATACTCTTCATACTCCTCCTCATGCCCCTCTTCCTGCTCCTCCTCCTGCTCCTCCTCCTGCTCCCCCTCTTGCTCCTCCTGCTCTTCCTCGTGTTCCGCCTCTTGTCCCGCTGTGCTTCCTCCCTCTTTTCCACCTGCTGCACCTGCTCCCTCCTCTGCCACCTCCTCTGATTTATCCTCGTCTGTGACTTCCTCTGTAACCTCTACAGTCACCTCCTCTTCTGTGTACTCCTCCGTAACTTCTACAGTAACTTCCTCTTCAGTGTATTCCTCAGTTACCTCTACAGTCACCTCCTCATATTCCGCCGTTTCTTCAACAGTAACCTCCTCACCTTCTCCTGTCTCTTCCACTTCAACAGTCACCTCCTCATATTCTCCCGTTTCTTCTACTTCTACAGTCACTTCCTCATATTCCTCTGTCACTTCGACTGTCACCTCTTCATACTCCTCCGTTTGCTCTACAGTCACCTCTTCATACTCGTCCGTTTGCTCTACAGTCACCTCTTCATATTCCTCTGTCACTTCTACAGTCACCTCCTCAGTGGATTCCTCTCCTGCCTCACTCCCTCCTTCTTCCTCTCCCTCTGCACCCTCCTCCTCTCCCTCTGCCTCTGCATTGTCCCCTTCTTCCTCCTTTGCTTCTGTCGCTTCTTCCTCTTCTTGCTCTTCTTCCTCTTCTTTCTCATCCTCCTCGTTTTCCTCCTCTCCGCCTTCTCCACCCCCTTCTTCCTCCTTCTCTTCCTCCCACGCCTCATTCTCCTGCTCCCCCACCTCAGCAGCCGCTTCTGATGCCACATCAGCACCTGCTTCCATTGTTACATCAGCTCCCGATTCCGTTGCCACATCAGCGGTCGCTTCCGCTGCCACGTCAGCAGGTGCTTCTGATGCCACCTCAGCAGACAATTCCCCCACAGCAGTAGCAAGCGTACCTTCAGCAACCACAGCTTTCGCACCCCCTCCTCGCGTGCCCCCACAATCCTCTCCTCTGCCATCAGAGTCACCCCCCTCCTCCTTTACCTTGCTAATGACACCCACCACTCCACCTTCTTGCTCGTCCTGTTCCTCACCCGCATTGACAGCAGCTATGCCTACAGCAGCCATAGCGGTTGCACCGGCAACGACTGTTGCACTGGTAACGGCAGCAGCAGAAAAAGCAATATCGGTTGGCGCAGCAGCACTAGACGAAACAGCACTGCCAGCTGCAGCAGCGGACTTGCAGGTGGAGTAGCAGATTTTGCTGCACTGCCAGCTGTGGCAGCAAAAGCAGCAGCAACACCAAGGGAAGCATCAACCTCTGGAGTGTGGGGTTGCACAAAAGGAGACACAGCCAACGTTTGCTGCTGCTGCTGGTGCGGAGACCTAAGAGCAGGCACAGGGGGTTGCTCCGACTGCTGCTGCTGGAAGCGGTTGAGGAAGTCACTCCGCAGTCGCCCCACCGCTGCAGGCTGGGCAGCGGCAGAGGCGGCAGGCGCAGGGGCTGGTACTGCTGCTGCTGCCGCTGCGCTTGCCATGCCTGGCCTCCAGGCTCGGATGGGCACAGGTTTGGGCGCAGGTTCGGAGTCGGACCAGTCAGAGTCCGAGCCTGAGTCGGAGTCCTGATTGGGTCGCTTCATCCATGAGTCTGCAGCACGGGGCTTGATGGTAACAGCAGGTGCTGTGCGGTGAGGAGTGGAAGGCTCAGGGGAGGAAAGTGGCTGAGAGGAGGACACCGGTTGAGGGGTGGAGAGGGGTTGAAGGGATGGGTCAGCAATTGTTGGATCAACAGATGGTTCAGGTAATGATGGTGCGACTGCTGCCACGCCAGCTGGTACAGGAGTGGATGGGCCTGATGCCACGTCAGCTGGCACAGGAGAGGACGGGCCTGATGCCACGTCAGCTTGCACCAGGTCGCCTTGTAACACCTCTTCACCTGACTGCGCCTCTTCCTGTTGCACCCTCTCTGCCGCCTCTACCTCTGCAACCTCCTCCCCAGCAACAACTGCCTGTGCTGTTTCTGTCCCTGTTGCTGCTGCTGCTCCTAACTCTACTGCCAAAATACCAGATCTTTCAGGAACGTCATACTCAGGAGCATCAGCCGCTTTATCAGAGTCAGCCACACCTGTAACAGTCACAAGTTGAGCAGGAGCATCGGTAAGAACGTGCTGCTGTTGTTGTTGCTGCTCCTGTTGCTTCTGCTGCTCTTGCTGCTCCTGTTCTTGCTGTCGCTGCCCTTGCAGGGGTTGCGATGGAGGCTCAGAGGGTTGCTGCTGCTGCTGCTGCTGCTGGAAGCGGTTGAGGAAGTCACTCCGCAGCCGCCCCACAGCTGCTGTTTGGGCAGGAGGAGACGCGGCAGGTGCTGCTGCTACCGCCGCTGCACCACTCCCCGCACCTGCCCTCCAGGCTCGGATCGGCACAGGCTTGGGCGCAGGTTCGGAGTCGGACCAGTCAGAGTCCGAGCCTGAGTCGGAGTCCTGATTGGGCCGCTTCATCCATGAGTCTGCAGCACGGGGCTTGATGGTGACGGGAGGTGGGGGAATTTGAGGTGAAGATAGGAGAGTGGGAGGCTGGGGGGAGGCGAGTGGGGCCGCGGAAGAGACAACCAAGACACCATCTCCCTTGATTTCCTCCTTCGCCTCTTCCTCTCCTTCCTTCATCTCTTCCGTACCATCTTCCTTAGTCTCTTTGTTATCCTCTTCCTCTCTTTCTTCCTTAGCCTCTTCCTGCATCTCTTCCTTCTCCATCATCTCCTCCTTACCCTCTTCCACTCTTGCTTCCTCTTCCATCCTCTCCTCCTTACTTGCTTCCTTTACCTCACTACCCTCTTCCACTCGCTCATCCCCAGCCTCTTCAGCACTCTCCTCCTTACCCTCTTCCTCCCTCTCTTCCTCTTCCATCCTCTCTTCCTCATTAGTTTCAACTCTCTCCTTAACCTCTTCCACTCTCTCTTCCTCATCCCCTTCCACCCTCTCTTCGTCATCCATCCTTGCTTCCTTACCCCCCACCTTCTCAACCGCACCCACTTCCACTCCCTCTTCCTCGCTCGCTTCCACTCCCTCTTCCTTAACCGCCCTGTCCTCCTCACTCTCTGTCACAATCACTTCCTCTCCATGATCTCCCACTGCTGACACACCAGCATCCTTCACCTCCAGTGTTCTCGCACCCTCTCCCTCTCTCTTCCCTTCTCCCTCCACCTGCTGCTGCTGCAGCTGTTGTTGTGGAGACCCAAGAGCAGGCACAGAGGGACGGTCCTCCTTCTTCTCCTCCTCCGCCTCCTGCTGCTGCTGCTGCTGCTGCTGCTGCTGCTGCTGCTGCTGCTGCTGAAGCGGTTGAGGAAGTCACTCCGCAGTCGCCCCACCGCTGCTGGCTGGGTAGCAGGAGACGTGGCAGGCACAGCTGCCACTGCCACTACACCACTCCCCGCACCTGGCCTCCAGGCTCGGATGGGCACAGGCTTGGGCGCAGGTTCGGAATCAGACCAGTCAGAGTCTGACTCTGAATTGGAGTGGGTTGGCTGCCTCATCCAGGAATCCGGGGCTCGTGGCTTGATGGTCATGGCCGTGGTGGGAGGTTGAGCTGGAGGGATGGCGGTGGGAGGAAGAGGGGATGAAAGTGAGGGAGGGGAAGCAACAACCGAGACACCATCACCCGTAGTCTCCTCCTTAGTCTCTTCCTCTGTTTCTTCCTTATCTTCTTCCCCCCTCTCCTCCTTACTCTCTTCCAACCTCTCTTCCTCTTCCATCCCTTCCTCCCTACTCGCTTCTTCTCTCGCCTTACCACCATCTTCCATTCTCTCCTCCTCACCCACTTCCATCATCTCTTCCTTACCCTCTTTTTCCCTCTCTTCCTTCCTCTCTTCCTCAGACTCCTCACTCACTTGTTTACCTTCTTCCTCCCTCTCTTCCTCAACCTCTTCCATCCTCTCTCCCTCGCCCATCCTTGCATCCTTACCCCCCATATTCTCAACCGCACCCACTTCCACTCCCTCCTCCTCAGTTCCTTCCACTCCCTCGTCCTCTCTCTCTTCCTCCGTTGCTTCCTCTTCCTCTTCCTCTCTAGCTTCCTCTGTCACTTCCACTCCCACTTCCTCTCCCACTTCCTCTCCCTTTTCCTCTCTCTCTTCCTCTCCCTCTTCCTTTCCCTCTTCCTCTCGCTCTTCCTCTCTCACTTCCTCTCGCTCTTCCTCTCCCGCTTCCAATCTTTCTTCCTCTGTTGCTCCCACTCCCTGTTCCTTCACCACCCCCTCCTCCTCACCCTCTGCCATTGCCACTGCCTCTTCATCATCTCCTGTTGACGCCTCCCCTTCCTTCACCTCCATCATCGTCACACCCTCTTCCTCTCCCTCCCTCTCTCCCTCCCTCTCTCCTTCCACCTGCTGTTGCTGTTGTGGTGGAGACCTAAGAGGAGGCACTGAGGGTTGCACTGGCTGCTGCTGCAGTGGGGACCTAACAGGAGGTACAAAGGGTTGTTCCGGCTGCAGCTGCTGGAAGCGGTTGAGGAAGTCACTCCGCAGTCGCCCCACCGCTGCAGGTTGGGCAGCAGGAGAGGTGGCAGGCGCGGGTGTAGCTGCCAAAGCAGCCACAGCACTCCCCGCACCTGGCCTCCAGGCTCGGATCGGCACAGGCTTGGCCGCAGGTTCAGAGTCGGACCAGTCAGAGTCCGAGCCTGAGTCAGAGTGGGTTGGCTGGTGCCTCATCCAGGAATCCGCGGAACGTGCCTTGATGGTTATGGCCGTGGTGGGAGGTTCAGCTGGGGGGATGGCGGTGGGAGGAAGAGGGGACGAGACTGGGGAAGGGGAACGGACAGCCACAACACCATCTGCATCAGGCTCCTCCTTAGCCTCCTCGCTCTCTCCCTTCACTTCCTCCGCTCTTTCTTCCTTGAGCTCTTCCAACCTCTCGTCCTTACTCTCTTCCTCCCTCTCCTCCTCACCCTCTTCCTCCCTCTCTTCCCTCCTTCCTTCCACCCTCTGTTCCTCGTCCATCCTCTCATCTGTACTCGCTTCCTCTCTCTCCTCCTCACCTTCATTCACTCTATCCTCCTTAACCACGTCCTGAAACTCTTCCTTCTCTATGTTCTCTCCCTTTCCATCTTCCACTCTCTCCTCCTCACCCTCTTCCTCTCTCTCCTCCTCATCCTCTTCCACTCTATCCTCCTTAACCACGCCCTCCAATTCTTCCCCAACCTCCTTCTCTCGCGTTTCCTTGGCCTCTTCTTCCTCCTCTTCCTTCTCTATGTTCTCTCCCTTTCCATCTTCCACTCTCTCCTCCTCACCCTCTTCCTCTCTCTCCTCCTCATCCTCTTTCACTCTATCCTCCTTAACCACGCCCTCCAATTCTTCCCCAACCTCCTTCTCTCGCGTTTCCTTGGCCTCTTCCTCCTCCTCTTCCTTCTCTATGTTCTCTCCCTTTCCATCTTCCACTCTCTCCTCCTCACCCACTTCCACTCTGCCTTCCTCTCTTGCTTCCACTCCCTCTTCCTCTCTTGCTCCCGCTGCCTCTTCCTCTGTTGATTCTGCTCCCTCTTCCTCTGTTGCTTCCTCTGTTGCTTCCTCTCCCACTTTCCCTGTCGATTCCACTCCCTCTTCCCCTGTCGCTTCCTCTACCTCTCTCGCTTCCACCCCCTCTTCCTCGCTCGCTTCCACCTTCTCTACCGTAACCGCTCTCTCCTCCTCACTCTCTGTCACAATCACTTCCCCCCTGACATCATCTTCGGCTGAGACACCCACCTCCTTTACCTCCGTTATTGTCACACCCTCTTCCTCTCCATTCCCCTCTCCCTCCACCTGCTGTGGCTGCTGCTGCTGCTGCTGCTGTTGTTGTGGAGACCTAAGAGAAGGCACAGAGGGCTGTTCTGGCTGCTGCTGCTGGAAGCGGTTGAGGAAGTCACTCCGCAGTCGCCCCACAGTTGCTGAGGCAGGAGGAGAGGCAGCAGGCATGGGGGCCGATGTTTCTGCTGCTGCTGTGCTCCCCATGCCTGGCCTCCAGGCTCGGATGGGCACAGGCTTGGGCGCAGGTTCGGAGTCGGACCAGTCAGATTCGGAATCAGAGCCGGAGTGGGAAGAAGGCTGTGCTGGGCGGATCCAGGAATTGGCAGGGCGAGAGGGAATAGAGGGAACAGAGGGAACAGCGGGAGGAGGAGGAGAGGGAACGGCAAGAGACAAAGAGTGGGTGGGAAGAGGGGGAGTGGTGTCACTGTCAACGAATGGAGCTGCTGCTTCCATTGCTTCTGCTGCTTGCGTGTCTTCCATTGCTGTTGCTGCTTGCGTGTCTTCCATTGCTGCTGCTTCTTCAACCACCAATGTTGCTGGCCCTTCCACTGCTTCTCCTTCCACAGCTGCTTCTCCTTCCACCGCTGCTTCTCCTTCCACTGCTTCTCCTTCCACTGGTTCTCCTTCCACTGCTTCTCCTTCCACTGCTTCTCCTTCCACTGCTTCTCCTTCCACTGCTTCTCCTTCCACTGCTTCTCCTTCCACCGCTGCTTCTCCTTCCACCGCTGCTTCCTCTCTTCCCACTGCTGCTGAACCTCCGATGTCTGCTCCTCCAGCTTCCACTGGCACAGGCACAGCCTCGGACGCGTCAGTTTCCCTTGAAACAGCTTCTGATGCACTCTGGCCACTAACACTTGCATCCGCTGCTGGCACTGCCACAGCATTCTCCACCTTATTATCTCCACCCTTAGCACTCTCCCCCTCCACGCTCTTCCCCTCTGCACTCTCTCCCTCCACACTCTCTTCCTCCACACCCTCTCCATCCACACTCTCTCCCGCCACACTCTCTCCCGCCACACTCTCTCCCGCCACACTCTCTCCCGCCACACTCTCTCCCGCCACACTCTCTCCCGCCACACTCTCTCCCGCCACACTCTCTCCCGCCACACTCTCTCCCGCCACACTCTCTCCCGCCACACTCTCTCCCGCCACACTCTCTCCCGCCACACTCTCTCCCGCCACACTCTCTCCCGCCACACTCTCTCCCGCCACACTCTCACTTCCCACGCCTTCTCTGTCCATGCTCTCTCTCTCAACATCTCTTTCTTCTCCCATTCCTTCCTCTGCCACGAACACACCTTCCTGCTTCTCCTTCTCCTCCTCTCTCACCTCCACTCTGCTCTCCTCCTCTTCCGCCTTCTCCTGTTTCCCATCCTCCGTCTCCTCTAACCTCTCCTCCTCTTCCATCGTCTCTGCTTCTTCCCCTCCACTCTCCACCTCTCTTGCCTCGACTCCTCTCTCCTCTCCTTCCCCTTCCCGCTTTCCTTCCTCCTCTTCCAGCTCCTCTTCCTCCTCCGCCCTTTCACTTTCCTCCTCCGCCCTTTCTCTTTCCTCATCCGCCCTTTCACTTTCCTCCTCTTTCCTTCCACTTCCCTCCTCCGCCCTTTCACTTTCCTTCGCCCTTTCACTTTCCTCCTCCGCCCTTTCACTCTCCTCCTCCGCCCTTTCACTTTCCTCCTCCGCCCTTTCACTCTCCTCCTCCGCCCTTTCACTTTCCTCCTCCGCCCTTTCACTTTCCTCCTCCGCCCTTTCACTTTCCTCCTCCGCCCTTTCACTTTCCTCCTCCGCCCTTTCAATTTCCTCCTCCGCCCTTTCACTTTCCTCCTCCTCACTTTCACTTTTACCCTCCACCCATATACTTTCCTCCGCTTCCTTTTCCCTCACCTGCTCTTCCCTCTCCTCCTCTTGCCTCTCCTCCTTGCTCTCAACTCGAGCCTCCAAGTGGGTGGCAGAGGAAGGAGAGGAGGCAGGGCTCAAAGAAGCAGCTGGTTCATACTCAGCTGGTGAATCAGGAGCAGCTGGAGAATGAGGTGCAGAACTCAGCACAGCAACTGCAGTCGCGTCCGAAACCTTCATTGCATTGTTATCATCATCAGCAGACACTGCATCCGAATGTGACTCGGCATGTGACTCAGCATCAGAACGCGAATCAGCATCAGAACGTGACTCAGCATCACCAGAATGTGACTCAGCATCAGAACGCGAATTAGGATCAGAACGCGAATCAGCATCAGAACGCAAATCAGCATCCGAACGTGACCCAGCATCATCAGAACGTGACTCAGCATAATCAGAACGTGACTCAGCATCATCAGAAAGTGACTCAGCAGCATCAGAACGTGACTCAGCCTCCTCATGCTCCTCCTTACCCTCCATGACCTCCTTAGCCTCCTCACTCTCCTCACCCTCCTCTGCGCCCAACAGCTCCCCGCCCTTCTCTGCTCCCAGCATCTCCGCATCCTCTTCTTTACCCAGGACCTTCTCGGCCTCCTTAGCCTCCGCACCCATCTCACTCTCCTCCTCTTCCTCCAATGCTGCGCCCAACCGCTCCCCGCCCTCCGCTGCTCCCAGCATCCCTCTTCCTCCTCGGCCATTGCCGCCCCATCCACCCCTGTAAGCACCGCTACAGCCTCAGCTGTCGCCCCAACCTCTGCTACAGCCTTAGTTGTCGCCCCACCCTCCATTACAACATCAACTTCACCCTCCTGCAGCACTTCTGTGTCAACACTGTCCCCCTCTTCCTCCACCCTCTCTGCTTCCCGACTCCTAGCCTCTTCCTCCTCCCTCTCAGCTTCCTCGCTCCTTGTCTCTTCCCCCTCCCTCTCTCCTTCCTCACTCCTTGTCTCTTCCTCCTCCCTCTCTGCTTCCTCACTCCTTGTCTCTTCCTCCTCCCTCTCTGCCTCCTCACTCCTTGTCTCTTCCTCCTCCCTCTCTGCGTCCTCACTCCTTGTCTCTTCCTCCTCCCTCTCTGCCTCCTCACTCCTTGTCTCTTCCTCCTCCCTCTCTGCCTCCTCACTCCCTGTCTCTTCCTCCTCCCTCTCTGCTTCCACACTCCTTGTCTCTTCCTCCTCCCTCTCTGCTTTCTCACTCCTTGTCTCTTCCTCCTCCCTCCCTGCTTCCACCTCCTCTGCTTCCACCTCCTCTGCTTCCAAATCCTTGGCCTCTCCTCTTATCTGCAGCACAGGCGCAACCGCCTCACTTGCCAGCTGCAAACTAGCATCTCCAGCTGCATCCAGAGCCACCTCAGCTGCCACATCAGCGTCCACCTCAGCTGCCACATCAGCAGCATCTTTGATGCTGGTGGCTGACCCCTCTGGAGAAGATGGTCTGGAATCGTCCTTCACGTCCACATCAGCAGGGGGTGCCACATCAGCAGCTGGTTCCACATGTGCAGACCGTTCCTTATCAGCAATCGCGTCATCACCACCAGCAGGTAATTCTGGCTTGTCACCTGCTTTGACCTCAGCTGCGTGCTTCATGTCACGTTGCTCCACATCAGCAGATTGCGCTACATCAGCAGATTGCGCTACATCAGCAGATTGCGCTACATCAGCAGCTTGCGCCACGTCAGCAGAAGAGTCCACAACCGCAGCGAAATTCAAAGATGCCTGCTGTTGCTGCTGCGTAGGTGCTAAGGGAGCCTCAGAGGCCTGCTGCTGCTGCTGCTGCTGCTGCTGCTGCTGCTGCTGCTGCTGCTGCTGCTGCTGCTGCTGCTGCTGCTGCTGCTGCTGCTGCTGCTGCTGCTCCTCTGGCTGCTGCTGGAAGCGGTTGAGGAAGTCACTCTGCAGTCGCCCCACCGCTGCAGTTTGTGGGGGAGGAGAGGCGGCAGGTGCAGGTGCCAGTGCTGCACTCGCCATGCCTGCACTCCAGGCTCGGATGGGCACAGGCTTGGGCGCAGGTTCGGAGTCGGACCAGTCAGAGTCCGAGCCTGAGTCGGAGTGGGAAGAAGGCTGTGCTGGGCGGATCCAGGAATTGGCAGGGCGAGAGGCAACAGAGGGAACAGCGGGAACGGTAGGGGCAGTGGAAGCACTAGAAGCAGAGGAGACTGCTGAGACTGAGACAGACGGGATGGCTGGGAGTGGGGCATTGGGTGAGACGGTTGCGGTGGGGGGAAGAGTGGGGGGGTGTGGAACGAGTTGGGCGGTGGCGACGGGAGGCTCGTCTGGTGTTGCAGTGCTTGCCGCCGTGGTGGCCTCTGCCTCTGCCATGCCTGCTGCTGCACCTCCTGTGATTTCCTTTCCAGCTGACTCCGAAGTTGCATCTGCTGCAGTGCCTGTGCCCGCTGCTGCACCTTCTGCAATGTCGTCCAGCTGAGGCGCCTCCACGGCTCCACTCGGCTCCTTCTGGCTCTCATCCTCAGTACCAGTGCCTGCTGCAGTGTCAGTAGCCCCTGCTGCAGCGCCGGTGTCCGCTGCTGCTGCACCTTCTGTGAAGTCGTCCACCTGAGGCGCCTCCACGGCTGCACTCGCCTCTTTCTGGCTCTCGCCTGCAGCCGCTCTCACACTGTGAGCACCTGTCTCACTTCCACTCTCATTCTTAGCAGCGCCAATGAGAGAGGTGGCACCATCTGTGATGTCGTCCTGCAGAGGCGTCTCCACGGCTGCACGCGCCTCTTTCTTGCTCTCGTCCTCAGTGCCAGTGCCTGCTGCAGTGACAATGGCCTCTGCTGCAGCGCTGGTGCCTTCTGCTGCAGTGCTGGTGCCCTCCACTGCACCATCTGTGATGTTGTCCTGCTGAGGCGTCTCCACAGCTGCACTCGGCTCTGTCCTGCTCTCGTCCTCAGCCCCTGTCTTACTTTCATTCTCTGCCCTCCTTGAAATTTCATTCTCACTCTCAGAACGTTTCTCGGTTTCACTCTCGCTCTCAGCCCCCCTATCACTCGCACTCTCACTCTCAGCACCCTTCCCACTTCCACTCTCACTCATACTTTCACTCCTCCTGTCGCTTTCACCTTCACTCCCCCTCTCACTCACGCTTTCACTCTCCCCCTCACTCAGACTGTCACTCTCTGTGTCCCTCTCACCTTCACTCTCCCTCTCACTCATGCTCTTACTCCCCCACTCACCTTCACTTTCATTCTCCCTCTCACTCATGCTATCACTCTCCCTCTCACTCATTCTCTTACTCTCCTTCTCACCTTCACTTTCGCTCTCTCTCTCGCTCATGCTATCACTCTCCCTCTCACTCATGCTCCCACTCCCATCCTCCGCTTCACTCCCTTCTGCATGTGCATCTCTGACCTCACCCTCCACCCTCCCCTCCGTTACCCCTTCCTCCCGATTTTGCTCCTCTTTCTCCTCCACTCTCCCTTTCTCTCCCTCCTCTACTCCCTCCTCCACTCCCTCCTCCACTCATCCACTCTCACCATCCTGTCCTCTCCCTCCTCCACCCTCCCTCCTTCAGAAACACCCTCCTTCAGTTCCACTCTGTGTGAAGTCTCCACTTCCTCTCGTCCCTGTCGCTCCCTCTCCCCATCCTCTTCTCTCTCCTCCTCCAGTCTTACTACCTCCTCCCTCTCCTCCCTCTCCTCCCTCTCCTCCCTCTCCTCCCTCTCCTCCTCCCTACCCACATGCCCCTCACTCTCATCAGCACACAGCTTGACCTCTCCCTCTCCTCCCATGTCTCCTACTACTCTCACTGCGCTGCTTCGTTGCAGACCCTCGTTCTCCTCTCTCTCCTTATCCTCTCCCTCCTCCTCTCCCCTTTCTTCACTCTTTCCATCTTCATTACCTTCTCTCCCCATTCCAACCTCCTCTCTCACCATTCCAACCTCCTCTCCCTCACTACCTTCCCCCTCCTGCTTCTCCCCGTCCTCCACCTCACCCTCACTCTCTGCATCCATCTCACCAACTCCCTCACTCCCTCCCTCACTCTCTCCCTCCACTCCTCCAGACCCCACAACCTCCTCCTCCCACTCACCCACACCGGACCCCACATCACTCCACTCCTCACTCTCCCAGTCATCGCCTGCCACCAGCCCATCTGCCTGTGCTGCTACCACCACACCTCCTCCCACAGCCGATGCAGCGACTGCTGGCAATGACCTCTGGCCCATGAGTGTTACCGGAGACTCCATCGAGTTCTCTTCCTCTGCTGCTGCTGTACCTTGCTCTTGCACGCTGTCATCTGCTTTGTCAAGGGCCAAAGACTGTTGGGGGTCAATTGCTATCGTGTTGTGCTCTTGCAGCCTGCCCTCTGCATTGCTAAAGGCCGTCAATCCCGCCTCCTCTGCTGCTCTTGCATCCTCCTCTCTGGTTTCCTTCTCACTCCTGTCCGTCTCACTCTCTTCCTTCTCACTCCTTTTGCTTTCACTCTCTTCCTCCTCACTCCTTTCTTTTTCAAACCCTTCCTCCTCGCTCTCTTCCCTCTCACTCCCTTCCTCCTCACTCCCTTCCTCCTCACTCCCTTCCTCCTCACTCCCTTCCTCCTCACTCCCTTCCTCCTCACTCCCTTCCTCCTCACTCCCTTCCTCCTCACTCCCTTCCTCCTCACTCCCTTCCTCTTCACTCTCACCTCTACGGGCCCAGTCCTTCTCACTCACTACTCCCTCCCCACCCTCTCTGTCTGCCATCATCTCACTCTCCTCTACCCAATTTCCTGCCTCCTCAGCCGTTCCTTCTGTGCTACTCACAATCAAACGAGCAACATTGGTAACCGCATCACCAGTTTCACTGGTTACCACATCACCAGTTTCACTGGTTACCACATCCCCAGCTTCACTGGTTACCACATCACCAGCATCACTGGTTACCACATCACCAGCTTCACTGGTTACCACATCCCCAGCTTCACTGGTTACCACATCACCAGCATCACTGGTTACCACATCACCAGCTTCACTGGTTACCACATCACCAGCTTCACTGGTTACCACATCACCAGCTTCACTGGTTACCACATCACCAGCTTCACTGGTTACCACATCACCAGCTTCACTCGTTACATCACCAGCATCGCTGGCTACTGCATCACCAACGTCACCAACATCACTCCACTCCTCAGATCCCTCCCCCCAGTTCTCACCCTCTCCCTCACTCTCTTCCTCACTCGCTTTCTCTTCCTTCGCATCACTCTTCCTCTCCTCATCACTCTCACTCCCCTCTCCTTCCCCCCCTGCTCCACCTCTGTCCCCCTAAGATCTTCCCACTCACTTTTATCCATTCGCATTTCTGCAGTCTCAGGAGAATTTGCAGCAAGCGAATCAGGAGAGGCACCTGAACCAACAGAGACAGCACCTGAAGGCAGTGCAACAGTGACGGAACCTGATGGCAGCATGACAGACACGGCACCTGACGGCAGCACAACGGAAACAGCACCTGAGGGCAACACACAACAGAGACAGCACCTGACGGAAGCACCTCAACAGAGGCAGGGCTTTTCTCAGGTGCCGTATCAGGTTTCACATCAGGTGCCGTCTCAGGTGCCGTATCAGGTGCTGTAACAGGAGCCAAATCTGGCCGCATCTGCCGCCTCATCTGCGCGTCTCAGGTGCCCTGCGAGGCGAGCTGCTAGCTGGAATCACCGTAACTCCAAAACCGGGCTTTCAGGTGGACCTGCAGCACGCGCCCCAGTACGTGCCACATCAGCATCTCCCACGCGTGCCACGTCAGCAAAATTGGCCGGCCGCGGCAACACAGAGGGTGGCACAGCAGCAGGCGGTAAGAGCAGAGTGTGTGAGACGTGGAGGCGGTATACCAAAAGAGTCACCTTCTTCTTTCCATGACTCCCCGCCCCCGTGATTTGATCTTGAGGCAACAGGGCAACAGGGCTGGCAAGGGGCAGCATTGAAGACTCGCTGCGGGGGCAAACAAACGCGGGCGGCACAGCGGCAGGCGGTAAGGCAGGAGAGAGAGAGTGTTGAGAAGCGGTAAAGGTATCAAACGAGACACCAGGAACTGGACCCTGCGGGGCCTCTTCTGCCCATGGCCCACCGCCCCCAGTGGTTCGATCTTGAGGCAGGGCCACAGGGCTGGCAAGGGGCAGCACTGAGGAATGGCTGCCAGAGGCAAAAGCGAACGCGCTGCTTTGCCCTTGAAGCCCTTCAAGCCCCTCGTCCCTCTCTTGCCTCCTCACGCTGCTGCTCCTCCTCTTCCTCCTCAGATCCTGCCCCTTCGTCTCTCTCTGCTGCCTGCCCCTCCTGCTGTTGCTGTTGCTCCTGCTGCTGCTGCAGAGCCAAGCTGACCGCAGCACTATCCAAAGGCATGCCAACGCCTGAAAGTGTTGGAGTGGCGGAGGGCTGTGGAGAGAGAGCAGCAGGGCTGGCGGGGGGGAGGGAGGCGAGCGGAGGAAGGGCGACTGGGTGGCTGCTAGCTCCATACTGCTCCACTCCTCCTCACTCATGTCACTCCACTCTCTCTCCCTCTCCTCCTCCTCTCCTCCCTCCTTTCCCTCCTCCACTTCCTCCCTCCTCCTCCACTTTCTCCCTCTCCCTCTCTTCTCCTCTTTCTCCTCTCCTCCCTCCCTCTCTCTCCTCTTCCTCCTTCTTCCTCCTCTTCCTCCCTCTCCTCCTCTTCCTCCCTCTCCGCATCCTCCTCCTTATCCTCTGCCCCTTCTCTTCCTCGTCTTCTCTCTCCCCACTCAGCCCCCTCACGTCCTCACTCTCTCCGCTCTCCTCCTCTCTCCTTCTCTCTCTCTCCACTCTCTCATCCCCAATTTCCTCCCTCTCCTCCCCTATCTCCTCTCTCTCCTCCTCGCTCTGCCCGTCCAACTTGACAGCACCACTGGCAGCATCACTGGCAGCACCAGCACCATCCGTCGCCACCACCTCTCGCCCCCCACCACTTCACTCTCATCCCTCATTGCATTCACATCCCACACCTCACTCTCTCTCGTCCAATCACCCGACCACCCCAGCACCCCCACACCCCTATCGCCCACATCCCTGCTCCAATCCAGCTCCTCGCACTCTCCCACACCATCCCCCATCTCATACACATATGCATCCTCCCCAATCTGCGTCATAACCCCATCGCCTGTTGCTGAACGCGCCAATTCATCCTTGCTCTTTCCTCCCACGCCATCCCCCATGTCATACACATACGCATCCTCACCAATCTGCCTCATAACCCCGTCCTCACTGACTTGCCTTATCATCCCATCGCCACTGCCCAGAACCGTCTGTCTCATCCTTGCCCACCCCTGCATCCTGCTGCTGCTGCTCACCTGCTTGCTGAACCAACAGAGCATCCACCTGAGCATCAACCTGATCAACACCTGATCATCCACCTGATCCTCTGCTTCCAACACCTGCCCTGCCTGCTGCTCGTCTCCCAGCTCCTCCGTCCAATCAGTATCTGCCACGTGTCCAGTAGCCATCTTCACCTGCTGCAGAGGAGATACGATGCTGCTAACCCAGCTTGTCCCATCCTCCTCCCCATCACTCTCCACGACACTCCTTGCACCATCCCCACTCACTCCCTCTGCTACTGGTGCCATTCCTTCCCCTTCTTTTCTCTCTTCTGCCTCTGCCTCTGCCTCCACCTCTGCCGCTGCCTCACTCTCAGGCCATGCATCACTCTCACTGCTCCACACATCCACGCCATCTCCCTCACTCGCATGCTCGCCCACTCCTCGCTCCTCACTCTCCTGCTCTCCAGCCTCTTGCCCCTCCCTCCCGTGTTCTTGCACCTTATGGTCCTCACTCCTCTGCTCCTCATCACTTAACCCCTCCACACCGCTCCAACTCTCCATTGCACCACTCTCCACTACTCCACTCTCCTCCAGTGCCCCACTCTCAATGGCTCCACTCTCCACTGCCCCACTCTCCTCCATGGTCCCACTCATCCTCTCGTCCTCCCGTTCACTCGCACCATTCCTCAAACCACCATCATAGCTGTCTCCATCAGACCTAGGACTGCTAACACTGCTCCCCCTGCTTTCCTTGCTTACACTGCTCCCCCCACCCCCCCCTGCTCCCCTTGCTTACACTGCTCCCCTCGCTCCCTCTGCTCCCCTTGCTTACACTGCTCCCCTCGCTCCCCCTGCTCCCCTTGCTTACACTACTTCCCTTGCTCCCGCTGCTCCCCCTGCTAACGCTACTCCCCCTGCTCCTCCTTCCTCTGCTTCCCCTGCTTACACTACTGCGTCTGCTGTGCTTGCTCTTGCTGCCACTCGAACCAGACGCGTCACTACCTGTTGTGCTACCAACTCTTGCCACAGCAACAGAAGCAGCAGCATCCCCACTCACTCCACTGAGTGAGTCCTGAGTCGTCTCAGAACTCTTGCCAACAGAAGTATTGTCACTCTCTGCAACACTCAGCGAATCACTCCTGCTGTCACTGTTGTGAGCATGACTGCTTGCACTCCTGCTGTGTGTGCTGCTGTGCTGACTGTGCGAGCTGCTGTGCTGACTGTGCGAGCTGCTGTGCTGACTGTGCGAGCTGCTGATCTGACTGTGCGAGCTGCTGCGCTGACCGTGTGAGCTGCTGTGCTGACTGTGCACGCTACTGCGTACACTTACTGCACTGCTATGTTTGGAACTCGTGCTACTGTACTTGCTATGGCTTCCGCTGCTTCTGGGACTCTCACTCCCTCCCTCACTCTCACCCTCACTCACTCCCTCACTCACTCCCTCACTCACTCCCTCACTCATACCACCCGCAATACTCTCAATGTCATCCTTCTCACTACTGCCTCCCCTGTGACTTCCACTCACACTATCTTTACCACTCCCTCGTTTTCACTGAGGGTCACACTTTCCCCATCACTCTTACTCTCACTTTGCATTTCACTCTCATGCTCACTAACATGCTCAGGCTCATGATCACTCACACCCCCTCCCCACGCTCTCATGGACACTCTCACGCTCACTCAAAGTCTCCGCCACTCTCTCACGCTCACTGCCACTCCTCTCTCTCACACCACTGCGATCAGAACTATTTCTCAGGCTGTTGGCTTTCTCGCTCGCTCGTTCACTCCCATTGTGACTCCTATCACCAACAGCACTGTCAGCAGTGCTGCTTCTGACACTGCCAGTAACACTGCTTGTAGCGCTGTCGGTAGCACTGCCTGAAGCACTGTGCTTGCTCCTCTTCTTGCTCCAACTGCCACTATCACTCTTGCCCAAGCTCCCTCTCTCACCCTCACTCCCTTCCTCACTCGCTTTCTCACTCGCACCAACACTCGCTGTCTCCACCTTTCCCTCAACCGAAAGGTTACTTTCTTGCTCACTCACACTGCTCCTCCCCGACCGCTTGCTGCCGTCCCTACTCACACTCCCACTCCTAACTCTCCTCTCACTCCCTTCCAAGCTCAGCCCCTCACTCACACTCTCATCCACACTCTCCCTTGCCACACTCTCATCTCTGCTCCTACTGCTTGGACCACTGCTGTGACTCCTCCTCGCACTCCTGCTCCTACTGCTATGCCTACTGCTGTGTCTACTGCTGTGTCTGCTGCTGTGTCTACTGCTGTGCCTGCTTATGCTTCTGCTTCTACTTCTACTTCTGCTTCTGCTGTGTTTCAGGTTTCTCCTATCTCTGCGTTTCCCCCTGCTGATGCTGCTCCCTTTCAATGCTCCCTGTGACCCCTCCTCACTCGCCTCACTCCTCTCCCTCCTCACCCTCTCTCTCTCACTCCCACTCGCCTCTGTCCCACTCGCACTCCCCTCGCTCCCACTTCCACTGCCACTGCTCCCACTTTCGCTCCTACTCCCACTATCACTCCTGCTCCTGCTCCTGCTTCTGCTTCTGCTCAAATCGACACTGAAGCTCAGGTCAATACTGCTCACCCCGCTGCCACTACGCCTGCTGCTGATACCCCCTTGCGGGCTTGGCTGTGCCAATTCCCTCTCTGCCACCTCTATCCATCGCTCAATCTCCTTCCTCTTCTCCCCATCCTCCTCATCCTCATCATCATACCCTTCCTCCTCCTCTTCCTCCTCCTCTTCCTCCTCTTCCTCCTCCTCCTCATCCTCCTCCTCATGCTCTTCTTTATGGATTCTTGCCTCCTCACTCGTCCCCTCTTCCACCCTCCGTCCCTCTCCCACCTCCTCTTCCTCCTCCTCCTCCTCCTCAACATGTGTTGCTTTCTTGAACACGACTACCACCCTCTCGCCATCCTCCAAACTCCCCTCCTCACTATTACAACGATCTCCTCATCCGCTTCCTCCTCCTCCACCTCTTCCTCCTCTGCCTCCTCCTCTTCCTCTTCGTCCATCTCCTCAGCATGCGTCGCCTTCTTGAACACCACTACCCACTCTCTCTCCATCCTCCAGACTCCCCTCCTCACTAATATCACCAGCAGTCACCTCTTCCTCTTCCCCTGCCTCCCAGCCTTCCTCCTCACCCACGTAGCTGCCTGTCTGGCTGGCGATTTGACTTCCTGTCTGAATCGCATCCCCAACCACACTGCCTAACAGCACATCATCTTCATCCTCCCCCTCATCCTCCTCCTCCCTTTCCGCGTCCCCCTCCTCCCTCTTCTCACCAGTCCTGGGTCGGTTAAACACCACAACGACCCTCTCACTGTCCTCCTCATACTCGTTACCAACATCCTCAGTATCCGTGTCAAGAGGGCCCTCGGTCATTGACTCATGTTCAGTCGTAGACTCTCCCACCGCCTCCTCTTCCTCCTCATCCGCTTTCCCCTTGATTGCTGTTTTAAATACCACAACAACCCTCCCATCCTCCTCTTCTTCCTCTTCTCCCTCCTCTTCCTCCTCCGACTCTTGATGCGCATGCACATGCTTAGCATGCACAACACATGCATGTCCCCCATAGCATGCTCTTTACTATCATGTACCCCATCAGATAAGACATCAGATGCCGCACCATCATCCCCACCACCAATACTATCACTGTCTGCTCCTGGTTTTCCGCTGACCACACCCTCCCCCTCATCCTCCATTCCTGCCACTGTCTCCCTCTCCTGCTCCAAGTCCCTTGACTCCTCCCACTCTCCACTCTCCTCCTGAGTGCTAATCCCACGTGTCACATTACCAGCACCTGCCACATCATCCCCACGTTGTACAGCTCGTGCTCACTCAATTCACTCGCCACATCAGCATCGCTTGCCACGTCAGCAGAATTATCCGCACTGGCCCTATCACTCTCCTCCACGTGGATCCCAGCAGCCCTGGTTGCCGTTTTGAACACCACCACCACCCTCCCACCCTCCTCCTCGTCCTCCTCCTCTTCCTCCTCCTCCTCCTCTTCCTCATGCCCATCCTCCCTACCCTCAATCCCCAAACCACCCTCCTCCTCTTCCTCTTCCTCATCCGCCTCTTCCCTAACCTTGCCACTCACACTCTCTCCCACATCATCATACAATAGCAACTCTGAGTCTTGCAATACACCACCCTCCCGGCCCTCTCCCTCCTTAAAAGCATCCACTTTCCCATTCGCATTCATACCCTCATCTCTATCCTCATGTCTATCCTCATCTCTATCCCCTTTTTTATCCTCAGGTCGATCTGCATGCATGACAGCATGCCTATTCCCAAACGCTCCTGCCCCTCTCAACTCCCAGTAATTACCCATCACCTCTCTCCACACATCCATCCTCGCTTCCCTCTCCTCCTCACCCACCTCTCCTCCCCTCCCTCGCTCCCCTTCCTCCCTCACTGACCTAAAACTCCCCACACTCCCCCTCCACATCCTCCCTGCGCTCCCAACACTCCCAAAGCTCCCACTCCTTCCCAGCCCAACACTCCCAATGCTGCCAGTCCTCCCTCCTGCCCCGACGCTCCCCAAGCTTCCAATGCTGTTATGAGCGGTCCAGAACGGTGACAGCTCTCCATCGAGAGCGTCCATCAGATCTCCCAACTCTGCCTCCACAGACCGTGTGCTCTCCCCTCACTCACTCCCTCACTCACTCCCTCACTCGCTCCCTCCCCCTCACTCATCCCCAGGCTCGTCACATCACTGAGCGACCCACACCTCCCACGGGATCTGCTTCGGATAGACGAGATTTCCGAACCTGACCCCAGGGTCACATCAGAGCCTCTCTGCTTCTCCTTGCCACCGCACCAGCAGCAGCAATACCTCCACCACATTACCACCACTAACAGTACCAACACCAGCAGACGGAGCAGCACCAAAACTGGTGGCAGAGGCAGCAGGCCACATGAGGATATTCTCAGTCCCGTTGGAATGCCGTCTGCTAATGCTGCCCATGCTCTGCTGCATGCCCTGCTGCATGCCCCATTGCCCACTCTGCTGCCTGCTCTCTTGCCTGCTCCACTGCCCGCTGTGGCGAGAGCTGGTCTGACTGGCCTGGGTCTTAACGCGCAGCCACGGCCTCGCCTCTCCCTCCTCCTCCTCCTCCTCCTCCGTGTCTGACTGCTGCAATGACTGCCCTTGGTCGTACATGTGGTGATAGTCGTGGTTATGGGCGTACGGGTGGGCGTGGGATTGGGATCGGGAATGGGAGTGGGCTTGGGAGTGGGAGTGAGCGTGGGATTGGGGTCGGGAATGGGAGTGGGCTTGGGCGTGGGATTGGGATCGGGAATGCGAGTGGGGGTGGGATACGTTTCGCACATCCCCATCAAAGCTCATTCCCAGAGCATCACGCGCCACAGCCGCTGCCACTGACTGATGAGACCATGACTGTGACTGTAACTGTAACTGTAACTGTGACTGTGACTGTGACTGTGACTGTGGCTGCAGCGGCTTCTGACTTGACTCTAGATTCCCCATAGCCGCCCGTGCCAGAGACTGACTGAGAGCATGTGCAAACCTCGCATCAGCTATCCCTAACCGCCCATCACCCACACTCAGTCTCCCATCACCCATACCAGACCTCCCATCTGCCATACCCGGCATTCCCCCACCACCACCACCACCATCCATGCTGCTTGCTAGACTATCCGCCACGCTGCTCCCATCGCCCTCCCCATCGTTTTTCAGTATTCTCAAAAGTGAGACCAGGCTGTCCCCCACACTGACACTGCTCCCATCCCCCACACTGCTCCTATCACCCACGCTGCTCCTATCGCCGTCTCTCTCACTCCCACTCGCCACCACCAGCCTCTGACTCCCACCCACAACCCCCTCCTCCCCTTCCTGCCACGGCCCATAGCCTATCCCTGCTGCTGCTTGCTCACTGCCTCCCAGCCCATACTCGATTCCTGCTTCCCCCACATTATCCCCCTCCCCATACCCCATCCCTGCTCCTCCCCCACCCCCCTCCCCGTAACTTATCCCTGCTCCCGCACCCCCACCGCCCCCATACCCCATCCCTGCTCCCACACCCCCTTCCCCATACCCCTGCATGACCGCACGCCACACCTCCAAACCGCTCTCCCTCCCTGCATCAGCGGCAGCAGCAGGATGAGGGTCAGCAAGAGCCCACGCCCCAGGGCCATGGCTTTGGCTGCGACCGTGACTTATGGCGTGCCTGTGATAAGCATGGGAGGGGCTTGCAGCGTGCCTGTGGGACTGGGAGCGCCCCACAGCTTGGGTTTGAGCGTAAAACGCAGCCCCAGCAGCTGTTGGGGCAAAGAAGGCTGCATGCTCAGTTGGGGGGCCGTAAAACGCAGTTGTCCCTTCGATTGGGGTGTAAAACGCAGCCCCCTCGGTCGCTCCCCGCGAGTGGCCCCTGCTTCCAGCAGTTGCTCTCATGTGCTGCTGCCTGCTGCTCTCCCCAGCCATACCGGGCATGGGTGTGGCTGTGGCACGCACATCAGGCACGCCGTGCACACCAGGCATGGGAGTCGCTATGGCGCGAACGCCCGGCATGGGAGTAGCCGTAGCACGCACACCAGTTACTGTGTCACGAACACCAGGCATGGGTGTTACTGTCCGGGAGAGAGCAGCAGAAGCTAGAACAGGAGGAGGCGCAGCAGCAGCAGCAGGTGGATACGGGAAGGAGTGATGGACACCAGGCATGGGCGTCACTGCCCTGGAGGAGAATGCTGAACCTGCAGCACTAGTGGCAGGATGAGGAGGATGGGGAACAGGTGGAGGGGGGAAGCTTGCAGCAGGTGAAACCCCAGGCATGGGCGTCACTGCCCTGGAGGAGAATGCTGAACCTGCAGCACTAGTGGCAGGATGAGGAGGATGGGGAACAGGTGGAGGGGGGAAGCTTGCAGCAGGTGAAACCCCAGGCATGGGCGTCACTGCCCTGGAGGAAAATGCTGAACTAGCAGCAGGTGCATTCGGAGCACTAGCAGCACTAGAAGCAGGCGCAAGCCCAGGCATAGGCGTCACTGCCCTGACGAAAGCAGGAGGAGGAGGAGGAGCAGGAGGAGGGGGGAGGCCAGGCATGGGCGTGAGAGTGCGGGAGAACGAAGGAGGAGAAGTGGTTGCAGGGGGAGGAGCAGTGGAGCCTGCTGCAGGAGAATGGACACCAGGCACGGGTGTAGTGGCACGAGAGAATGTTGCAGGAGCAGCAGCAGGAGCAGCAGAAGAATGGACACCGGGCATGGGTGTTACTGCCCTGGAAGGATGAGGAGCAGGAGCAAGAGCGCCATGCACACCAGGCATGGGAGTAGTAGAACGAGAGAATGCTGCAGCGGCAGCAGCAGAAGGAGGAACTGGAGGAGGCAAAGCAGAAGCAGCATGCACGCCCGGCATGGGAGTAGCGGCACAGGAGGCAAAGGCGGGAGCAGCAGGCAGAGCAGCACGAGAAGCAGCACCACCGGGAACAGGAGGAGGAGGAGGAGGAGGAGGAGGAGGAGGAGGAGGAGGAGGTAAGCCAGAAGGGCGGACACCCGGCATGGGTGTTCCTGCTCGCGAGAACATGGAAGGCGCAGCAGAAGACGGAGCAGCAGCAGCTGCCCCAGCAACGGCAGAAGCAGCTGTGGCAAGCGGCAATGCAGCAGCACGGATGCCTGGCATTGGAGTCCCTGTACGGGAGCGAGCAGGCACACCTGCGGCAGAAGCAGCACCAGCATCAGCCCCCTTCAGAGCCTCTACTCCCTCTACCCCCTCTACTCCCTCTAGTTCCTCCAGTCCCTCCAGACCCTCCAGTTCCTCCCGGCCCTCCAGTCCCACGAGCCCATCTCCGCCTGTGGCAGCCACAGCATGCCAGAAGGGCAGCGAGTGCCCATCCACTGCATGCATCAGCTCTGCTAGCTCGCCCTCTACTGAACTCCCCTGCCCACTCCCTCCCCCATCGCTCCCTCCTTCGCTCCCCCGATCGCTCCCCCTCTCGCTCCCTCCCTCGCTCCCCCCTTCACTCTCTCCTTCACTCTCCCCCTCACTCCCTACTCCCTCGTATCGCAACGCTCCCCTATCACGGCCCTCTCTACTCTCTCTCCTCCCACCCACAGGGACCCCGATCCACGAATCCTCTCCCTCCCTTGCCCCGACTACTACACCCCCCACTCCCCCTGCCCCTGTCTCTGTCCCTATCGCTGCGCCTTCTTCTCCCCCTTCAACCCCACCTCCCCCTGCCATGCCTGGCATGGCATCCCCTAGACTGCCACTGGAACCCCTCAGGTCATCGCCCCTCAGGTCATCGCCCCTCAGGTCATCGCCCCTCAGGTCATCGCCCCTCAGGTCATCGCCCCTCAGTTCGTCCCCTCTCTCATAAATATCACTTTCCTCCTCCTCAACGCTCCCTTCCTCCTCGTATTGATCCTCTGCCGTTCCTTCTCCTCCATCCTTCAACTTCTGGACCTGCACTTCCCCCATTGCCCTCCCCTCACCCAGCCAGCTGTCCTGTTCAGTGTCGCTCATAACACTGTCGCTCTCCTCCCTCTCAATTTCCTCTCCCTCTCTCTCCTCCTCGTACTCATCTCCTACTGCTCCTTCCCCTCCATCCTTCAACTTCTGGACCTGCATTGCCCCGATTGCCTTCCCCTTACCAGGCCAGCTATCCTGCTCAACGCCACTCATGCCACCGTCACTCTCCCCTCTCCCACTTTCCTCTCTCTCCCTCTCCTCCCTCGCACTCCTCACTCTCTCACTCATACCCGTCTCACTCTCATCCGTCTCACTTTCCCCCTCAGCATCACTTGTTGCTGCTACTTCCAGTGCAGACTCCTCTTTCACACGCGCCCCTGCACTCTTTTCCTCTTCTGCCCCCTCCTCCTCCTCCTCCTCATTCTCCTCCTCCTCCCACCTGCCTCCTGCATGCACAGCTGCTGTATCTTCTGATTCCACATGATGGTTCAGTTCCCCCCCAGCGCTTCTCCTCCCTGCTCCTTCCACCCCATCCTCTCTCCTAAGCCTCGGACCCTCTCCCTCTCGCCCCACCTCCTCTGGTTGCCTCACTTCCGCGGCCTCCTCTCTCTCTTCTACTTGCTTCTCTTCCTCCTCTCGTTGAATCAATTCCTCTCCCCTCTCTCCTTTCACCATTGGCCTATCATCTTCTCTAACATCCTGTCGCACAGCCACACTGCCTTCCGCCCTCTCTCCCTCCTCGAAACTAGGCCGCTCATTTGCCTCCTCCCGTTGTATCAACTCCTCCTTCCTCTCGCCTTCCACCAATTGCCTTTCATCTTCTCTCACATCCTGCAGCACAGCCACACTGCCGACTTCCACCCTCTCTCCCTCCTCCTCGATTCTAGGACGGCCATCTGCCTGCTTCCCTGCAGGACTCGCTTTTTGAGACGTCTCCAAAGTTGTTACAGCTTCAGCTCTCCCAGCTTTCTTCGTCTCCTCCTCCTCCACCTGCTCCTCTTCCTCCTCCTCTGCTTCTTTCTCCTCCTCTTCCACCTCTTCCTCCTCTCCACCCCCCAGCGACTTTACAGTGTACCAGCGGAGCAAGCTCGACACCACAGGACCTTCTGATGACCTGCATCGGAAAAAAAAATGATAAAAATTATGTTACTTTTAAGAATTACTGACCAATTAGTACCCAACGCCGAATTGCAACTCCTGGGCTGTCCGTAAAAGGAAGACGAAAAAAAAAAAACTGAGACACAGAAGAGAAGAAAAACAACTGAGATGACGTAAATACATAAAGGAGAACGATGACGGCGTTAATTTTTTCTGAGAAAGGGTAGGCAGGCAGGCAACTCACTCCAGGAGACCGTTGGTGAGAGCTGCCTCTTCCAGCATCTTCATGCGCTGATGGGTGTGAAGGAGGAGGGAAAGGCAGGGGAGGGTGGGGAAAGGGCGGAGGGGGAGGGTTGGAGGGATTTAAGCAAGCAGGAGACCGTTGGTGAGAGCGCAGCTTCTTCCAGCATCTTCATGCGCTGATGGGTGGCTCATGGGGAAACGATGAGGGGAAAAAGGAGATAGATCGTTCAGCAAGAATAGTGGTCGCTGGTCAGAAAGATTCTGAAAGCTGCTTCTAAGTGATTCGACACGAGTAAGGCAAAGAAAGAAAAGAAGCTGCTTCTGCCAGCACTACCACCACTCACCATTGTTGCCAGCAGCACCAGCAGAACAAAATCGACACCAGCGCTGCCAGCACCCCACTCACCACAGCCTCCTCATTGGCTTCAGAAGCAGAGAGCGCAGGTCGAGCGGCAAACAGTGTAAAGAAGCTGTTCCGGCCAGCAGTCGCACCAGCGGTAACAGCACTACCAGCAGCACCAGGACTTGCCACCAGCACCACTCACCACAGCCTCCTCGTTGGCTTCAGACGCAGAGAGAGCAGGTCGAGAGGCAAACAGTGTAAAGAAGCTGTTCTTGTTACCACCTGCAGCAGCACCGCCTCCCTTCCCTCCCTGAGTGAGAGTGGCAGCAGCCCAGCCGAACCACCCCGTGCGTCGCTTGGTGAGGTCCCTGCCTGGCTGCCAGGCGATAGGGGTGCTGGGAGGGTGTGAAAGGGGAAGGGACAAAGCATGGAGAGGTGAGCTCGCACCCCTTCCCTCCCTACATCCGAGTGGCAGCAGCCCATCCGAACCACCCCGTGCGGCGCTTAGTTAAGTCCCGGCCTGGCTGCCATGTAATGGGGGTGCTGGGTGGAAACGAAAAAAGAGGGGCAGGGGGCATGAAGACGTGAGGTCCCACTCAACACCCTTCCCTCCCTGCGTCAGAGTGGCAGCAGCCCATCCAAACCACCCCATGCGCTGCTTGGTGAAGTCCCCGCCTGGCTGCCAGGCAATAGGGGTGCTGGAAGTGGAAGGGGACGGCACAGGAAGGAAGTATGGACAGAAACGTGAGGGTCACGCCTCTTCTTTCCCTCCATGACTGTTAGGTGTCAATCTTTTGCTGTTTTTCGTCCAACTGCCGCCCACACACCCACCAATTCCATGGCTGCGATTACCACTCATAGTATAGTAGTAGTACATACAGACATACATACCAGTGAATGGACATGATGATTGGGTCGGCCTTGGGGTTTCTCGCCACAGCAAAGACGCGGCTTAGCTGCACACGAAAAAGAGTTCGCGGTTCAGTGTTTGGGGTTTGAGAATTGAGGATTGAGGGATTGGGGTTTAGCGTTTGGGGTCATACCAAGCCAAATCGGGCTCAATGTGGCGGGATGAGGAAGCAGGAAAAGCACTGATGAAGCCAAGAATCAGCAAAAACTGAAACTGTAGTAGTTGAAAGGACGTGCATAAAGGTAGGTAGGCAGGTAGGCATACATATGCATTGGTGAAGAATGGATTGGCATCAAAGAGAAAGTCCACCCGGAAATCCTGGAGGCAGGGGAAAAGGACAGTCATAGACACACAACCCAAGTGATAATTGTATCAGAAAGTGCAAGGTTGTGGTGACGCAGTTTGGTTTGGGAAAAAAAAAAAACACGAAAAAAAGGATGCCACACACACATCATGCTGCCACGTCACACAGACACAGCAGAAAGATATGGTGCCCGAAATCCGAAACCCAAAACCTTGAACCATGAATATCACACCATGCTGTGTTGAGACTTGTAAAAGTCCACGGAGCACAGGAACTGCAGCGCACCCATGTCCTCCTCCGTCATCTGCAGAGCGACACAATGGGGCAGGTTGGGAAGTGCAGAGAAGATTAAGGGTTGCAGTTCCGCATGGCTCTGCAGCATCTCCAGCCAGGGTTCAAGGGATAGGAGGCTTTATGGTTAGGGTCTGGAGGAGTCTCTTCCACTCACCAGTTCCGACAGCACGGCATGGCTCTGCAGCACCTCCAGCCAAGATTTTGAGGTTAAGAATTTCTCTCTCTTGAGGTTCTGGGTTTAGCACCGGTGTCACTTACCAGTTCCGACAGCACTGCATGGCTCTGCAGCACCTCCAGCCATGTTCTGCGCCCGCAGTGACTGGCGTGACACTTGTTACATCACTCTGGGACACCCTTACAAGTCTTAAACCATACGATACCACCATGCACCACACACTCACCAGTTCCGACAGCACTGCATGGCTCTGCAGCACCTCTAGCCATGTTCTGTGCCGCACCGGAGTCACCGGCCTGGCATCGGGCGTCCTCGCCATCAGCGCTGCCAGCGACATGTCAGCAGCCCTTGCTGCGGCCGCAGCCTTGGCCACGTCAGCAGGCTGTGCCACGTCAGCAGGTTTTGCCACGTCAGCAGGCTTTGCCACATCCGCAGGCTTTGCAGCTGCTGCAGTAGCAGGCACTGCTGCTGCTACTGCCACTGGTTCTGCTGCTGCTGCCACTATTACCGGCTCAGCTGCTGTTGCTACTGCTGCTGAAACTGCTGCCGCTGGTGCTGCTGCTGCCGCTACCTGTGCAGGTGCTGCTGGTGTGCTGTCTTCAGCTGCCACTGACACTGGTACTTCCTCTTCTTCCTCTTCCTCTTCAGATTCTATTGGTCCTACACTGAGATTCTCATCATGACTCGCAGGTGCTGCTGGTGTGTCGACTTCTGCTGCCACTGACACAGGCACTTCCTCTTCTTCCTCCTGCTCTTCCTCCTTTTCTTGTTCAGCTTCGAAGTCTGTTGACGATTCGCTCCCCCTACTACTGAGCTTCTCATCATGCATCTCATCCCTCGCACTCACCATTCCCTCACTCACAGCCTCCTCCTGCCTCTCCCTTCCGCTCCCCACACTCTCTCTTTCACCACCTGACCCCTCCTCATCACTGATATGTTCGCTCCACACACTCCCCTCACTCCCATTTTCTTCCACTCCCTCACTCCCCTCACTCCCATGTCCTTCCACTCCCTCACTCCCCTCACTCCCATGTCCTTCCACTCCCTCACTCCCCTCGCTCCTGTCTAACTCTCCTCCTTCCTTAGTGCTTGCTTCCTCTGCCTCTTCTCCCGCTTCAAAAATCACATTCTCTTCTCCCAGTATACTCCCTCCGCCCACCACACTCTCACCTCCAAACACACTCCCTCCGCCCACCACACTCTCCCCTCCAAACACACTCCCTCCGCCCACCACACTCTCCCCTCCAAATACACTCCCTCCTCCCACCACACTCTCCGCCCCAACCACACTCTCGACCTCTATCAACAGACTGTCCACCCTCACTCCCTCACTCCTCCCCACCACACTCCCCCTCCCCACCACACTCGCCACACTCTCCACCTCTATCAGCACCCCTTCCTCCGTCACCACACTCTCTCCATCCACCTCCAACCCTGCCCTTTCACTCCTCCCCTCCGCTTCTGTCTCTGTTTCGGCCTCGGTTTCTGTTTCTGCCACTGTCTCTGACTCTGCTGTTTCTGTATCAGCGTAAGCTGAACCCCCCGCTCCTCCCTCCCGTACCACACTCGTCGTTCCTACGGTACTTTGCCCCTCACTCTCACTCTCTCCACTTTCACTCTCCCCACTCTCACTCTCCTCGCTCCCACTCTCCCCTTCGCTCGACCCATCCTCTTTCTCTGTCTCCTCCCCCTCACTCCCTGAGTAGCTAGTCCGAGTCACAGCATCTGTCTCCGTCACACTACCCTCACTCTCCTCCCCACTCTCCTCCTCACTCTCCCCACTCCCTCCCTCACTCTCTCCCTCGCTCTCTCCCTCGCTCTCTCCCTCACTGCTCCCTGTCTCACTGCTTCCCTCACTTCCTTCCGCGCTCAGTCCACTTCCATCAACACTTTCCCCCTCACTCTCACCATCACTCCCATCCTCACTCCCTCCCACACTGCTCCTACTCTCTTCTTCACTACCACTCTCACTCTCCTCGTCACTCACTCTTGCATCCGCTTCACTCCCGCCACCCTCCTCCTCCCTGCCCTCACTCTCCCCTTCATTCCTCCCCTCCTCCACACTCACACCTGCAGCACCTACAGCAGCTGAACCCTGCTCCATCAGACTCACCACAGCAGCAGGCCCCGTTTCAACAGGCCCCCCCATAAAGGAACGCTCTGTTGAGTCACCCACAGCTGCTACCTCCAAGCTTCCCTCCAAGCATCCTCCCATGCCTCCTTCCGAGCCTTCGTCCGAGCCTTGTTCCGAGCCTCCTTGAAGCCTCTTTCTTTGTCGCATGCTTGCAAGCACCCATGCCTCTGTCGCTACCACCCCATCCCCTCTCTCCACACACCTCTCCACCGCTCTTTCCAACCCTCCACTTTCTGCTCCTCCAACTGCTGCTGACACACCTTTCTCAGGTGACTCACTATTCGCCCTGGTTGACTCCGTTGACTCCCTTGACTCGGGCCGGCTGGACCCCTGCGAGCTGCCTGCACCACCGGGGACCAACGCCGGAGGGACTAACTCTGCTCCGTACTTGCCTTTCCCACTCGCACCAACATCAGCACCAGCATCAGCACCAGCGCCAGCACCAGTGCCAGCATGGGGGAGGGCGTCAGCATGAGCATAGGCATCATGCCTGGATCCGGCAGACATGGTATCAGAGTCGGCCGACAAACCATGCACCAGAGCACCTACAGGGAAAACCCCATCCCGGATCCCTTCAGTCCTTTCGTTCCCTTCGGTCGCTTGAAGGCCTTTAGCCCTTTCAGCCACCTGTGTTGCTGGCAGCTGCTGCTGCGCTCGTGGGTCCAGTGGGTGGAGGACAGGGGGGACGGGAGAAGCAGCAGAGTGGGGGCGATGCGAGGCTGTAGCATGGCCAGTAGGAGCAGCTGTAGCATGGGCGGTGGGAGCGGCGGTGGTGTGAGAACTGGAAACTGGATGTGCTCGTGGGTCCATTGGATGGAGGACGGTGGGAATGGGTTCAGGGGGGTGAGACAAGGGAAGGGGAGACGACTCTGGAGTGGATGAAGGAGGGGAGTACTGGGGAGGAGGGGGAGGATGCTGGGACGGATCGGGTGGGTTCTGAGGAGGAGAATACTGGTGATAAGGTGTGGGGAGAGGAGCAAAAGGGGGAGCGGTCTTCCTTCCAACGGCAGCAGCGGCTGCTACTGCAGGGGCTGGTGCAGGTTCTACTGGTGCAGGAGCTACTGCTGCAGGTGCTACTACTGGTGCAGGTGCTACTACTGCTGCAGGTGCTACTACTGGTGCAGGTGCTACTACTGCTGCAGGTGCTACTACTGGTGCAGGTGCTACTACTGGTGGTGGTGGTGCTACTGGTGGTGGTGGTGCTACTGGTGGTGGTGCCACTGGTGGTGGTGCTACTGGTGGTGGTGCTACTGGTGTAGGTACTACTGGTGCAGGCGCTATGGGTGTAGGCACTACTGGTGCAGGTACTACTGGAGCAGGTGCTATTACAGGTGGGGCAACTGGCTGCGGGACGGCTGCTGCAGGCCCTGTTGATTCTGAAGGCGCTACCGGTTCTGTAAAAGCTGCAGCACCGGCAGAAGCACCATCAGCACCATCAGCGGGAGCGGCAGCGGCAGCAGTAGCAGGCGAGGTGCCCCAGAGGGGCCGGAAGAGGGAGGTCCAAGCAGAGACGCCGCGGGAGGGAGAGGAGCTGGTACTCGGCTTGGGAGACACAGCTGGGGACACTGCAGGAGATGCAGCCAGAGTTGCAGCGGAGGTGGCAGCAGGGGGTGCAGCAGGGGGTGCAGCTTGGGCGCTAGCAGGGGAGGCAGTTGGGGGAACAGCAGCAGGGGCTAGGGCAGGAGAGGCGGCTGGAATTGCCTTGGATGGCTCGCCACTAGGCACTGCTGCAGTGGCTGCTGCAGCTGCTGACGTTGCTGCTTCTGCTTTTCCAGCTGGACGCTCCTGATTGGTTGGCAGCCCTGCTGTGCGGTAATCTCTTGCTTGCACTGGTTGGGGTTCCTTGCTGGGACCTGCAGACAAGACAGCAACAGCAGAGGCAGCACGAGGGGCAGCAGGAGGGGCAACAGCCGAGGCAGCAGGAGGAGGGGCAACAACAGAGGCAGGAGGAGGAGGAGGAGGAGGAGGAGGAGGAGGAGGAGGAGGAGCAGCAGCAGAGGCAGCAGGGCCAGGCGAAGCACGTGCGGGTGCGGCAGCAAGCACAGGCGAACCAGACACAGGCGAACCAGACACAGGCGCTCCAGGAGCAGAAGCAGCAAACGCAGCAGAATCAGAAGCGGGGGACGATGGCCGGTAAAGGGGAGAGGGAGACTCACCTGCAGCTGCAAAGCGAGAGCCAGCAATATCGGAGGCGCCAATAGCAGCAGCGGTGGCACTGCGGGGCGTGGAAGCTCCAGACGACCCTCCCGTGCTCTGTGGCGTGCTGGCAGCAGACCGAGACGCTTGTGCAAAGGGATGCGGCGGGGAGAGGGGCGAGGCGGAGGAGGGGCGCAGCGGCTGGGGGCGCTTGAAGGAGCGGCGGAACGCGAGGGAGGGTGGGGATGGCTGCAGGGAGGGCGTGGTGGGCGGCTGTGGGTGGTGGAACCTCTGAGGGGGGGCTGCTGGGGAGGCTGGAGAAGCTGGGGTTGTGGGGGGAGCTAGAACTGCTGGAATTGTTGGGGCTGCAGGGGGTGCTGGAATTGCTGGGGCTGCTAGGGGTGCTGGGGGTGCTGGGCCAGTAAGGGCAGGTGGGGCATGTGGGGCAGGTGGCGCAGCTTGAGCTACTAGAGAAGGTAGGGCAACGGGGGCAGCTGCAGCAGCTGCAGTGACTACTGCAGCAGCAGGCACACCAGCAGAGGCTTCATCTTCTGATGAGAAACCGTACTCCTCCTCTTCTTCCCTTTCCCCCTCCTCCTTCCCCTCCCCTTCTTCTGAGTCATGCTGTTCCTCCTCACTGCCTTCCACCCAGGCTTCCTCCGAACCACTCCTAACCGAATCCCTTGCTCCATCCTCCACCCACCCCTCATCGTCCTCTTCTTGCCTTCCTCCTTCGCTCTCACTCTCCCTCTCACTCTCCCTCTCACTTCTGGAACCATAATCATCCTCCTCTTGCGACTCTCCCTCTCTCTCACTCGCCGACTCATACTCCTCCTCACCCTCCCCACTCTCCTCCTCTCTCCTCCCATCTCCCACACTCACTCCACTCCTATCAGACCCCTCAAACCCCTCACTCCCCTCAACACTCCCCTCCTCACTCCCCTCCCCAATCCCCTCACTGCCTTCAGACTGCCCGCTCCCCTGGGAATCCTGCTTCAGCAGAACCTTCAACTGCCCCTTCAGCTGCCCCAGAACCGCATCAAACCGCCTCTTGCTCTCTGCTCGAAGCATCTTTGCCATCCTCTCCTCCTCGCTTCCAACATTCTCCCCTCCTTCCTCCTCCGTATCACCTTCTCCCTCTGACATCCGATCCTCCTCTGACCTGTCACCATCTGACCTGTCCCCTTCTGAACGCCTGTCACTCTCTGTGCTTTGCCCTGCCGCTGAGCTCCTGTCATCTGTGAACACACTCTCCTCCTGCTCCTCCTCTTCGTCTTCATCCTCTTCCGAGCCCTTCTCACTCTCTGTCCTCCTGTCACTCGCCAAACTCCCTTCTCCCTCTGAGCTCCTATCCTCTGTAAACACACTCTCCTCCTGCTCCTTCTCCTCCTCTTCATCCTCATCCTCAATCGAGCTTCCCTCCTCCTCAGTTGCAGTAACACCCTCACTCTCTTCCTCATCTTCTTCCTCCACCTCTTCCTCCTCCTCCTCTTCCTCCTCCTCCTCTTCCTCCTCCCCTGAACTAGGCTCTTGGGAGCCTCCCCCCACCTTCACAGTGAGAGGTCTCTTCCATCCCGGCGACCGCATCGCATCTGCCAATGATGCAGCGCCACCTGTCGGCGTCCCACTCGTCGGCGTCCCAAGCTCACGGCTGGGACTAGCAGCACCAACGGCAGCATTATTCGCACTCCTCACACTCTCGCTCTCTTTTCTCCCTTCGCTCCCACTACCAATATCGCTATACCTCTCACTGCTCTTCTTGCTGGACCCCTCACCCTTCTCCTCCTCCTCAGACCCTGTACCCTTACTCTCATATTCCGAATCGCTCCTCTCTGAGCCGCTTCCCTTTGACTTGCTCCTCTCCGACTCGCTACCTTGCGAACCGCTAGTGTGCGCCCCACTACTAGCTTGAGACCTACTCGCGTGAGACCTACTCCCGTGAGAGCTGCTCGCATGAGTCCCGCTAGAGTGGGATGTACGAGCATGGGACTTGCTCGCTTGAGACCCACTCCCATCAGACCCACTCTTACTTCCCAACTGGGACTCGCTTTCCAACGACCCCTTATTGAGTGATCCATTAGGACACGATTCTGTGCCAGGAGACGGGCTTGCAGTAGACGGGCTTCGACTTGCTTCCGAATGGCTGCGGCTTGCAGCAGTCCCGCTTTTGCTCGCTCCCGCACCTCCTGAAGCATCCGACGCTGACCTGGAACGGTGCGATGCTGACCTGGAAGCACGTGATGCTGACCTCGAAGCATGAGAATCTGACCTGGACACCTTCTCAGACCCCGATTCGTCAGAATCTTCCTCTGACTGCGCCCCATCACTATCTGACCTTCCCCCACCAGATTCCGACCTTGAAACCTCAGACGCAGAAACGTCTGAAGCAGACCCTCGGGTGAGAGTTGTATGAGGGCTGATTGTGTGGGAGCCAGAGTGAAGGCTTCCTTTTTCCGAACCGCTTTCAGACTCGGAACCATCACTGCTGTGCGAATGGGAGTCATACTCCTCAGACGCTGCTGAGCTGTGACTCGCACTCTCACTACCCTCACTCTCACTACCCTCACTCTCACTACCCTCACTCTCGTCGCTTCCACTCCTGCTGCTCCTCCCACTCCCACTCTCCTCACTCCCACTCTCCTCACTCCCACTCTCCTCACTCCCACTTGTGCCTGACTCACTCCCCTCTGTCTCTGTCCCATCTGTATCACTACCCCACCTCTCACTCCCCACTCTCTTCCTCCTACTCATCTCACTCCTCCCCATCTCACTCCCAATCTCACTCATCCCCCGCACACTCGACAAGTCCTCCCGGGTCCCACTGGTTCTAGACCCCGTTACAGTCACCACCTCTATAAGCACAACATCGTCACTGTACCCTCCTCTGCTCCTGCTCGCTGCACTCCTGCTCACCGCCTCACTCCCCTCCATACTGTCACTATCCCCCATAGTGTCACCATCTTCCACACTCTCTGTCCCATCACTCTCCTCACTTTCCTCCCTCTCCGCACTCCCCTCCCTCTCCTCACTCCCCTCGGATAAGCTATCCCCGTGATATGAGCTACCATCCCTCTCACTTCCGCTCCTGTCACTGTCTGCTCTCCTACGGCCGCCCCTTTCACTGTCACTCGGAACATCAGTTCCCTCCAGAGTCAGAGTTCTGTCTGCTGTCCCAGCAGTCTCGCTCCCCTCCATAGTACCACTCCTTTCAATAGTGCCACTCCTCTCAATGGTACCGCTCCCCTCCATAGTCTCACTCCCCTCCATAATATCACTTCCTTCATAAGTTCCAGTCTCGCCCAGCGTTTCAAACGTGTTGGTTCTACCCATAGCCTCAGTTCCCTCCATAGTGTCACTCCTCCCAATAGTGCCACTCCCCTCCATAGTATCACTTCTCTCTATAGTCCCACTGCCTTCAAACGTATTAGTCCTCCCCACTGTCTCAAACGTGATACTTCGCCCCATTGCATCCGTCCCCTCTATAAGCTCACTCCCCTCAATAGTGCCACTCCTCTCTCTAGTCAACGTCCTTCCCAGCGTCGTCTCACTAACAGCTGTCTCGGTTTCTTCCAAAGTGAAAGTCCTCTCCATAGTGTCACTCCCTCTTGGAGTCACATCCTCTGTCCCATCCAGCGTTCTGTCGTCTATTGTGCCGCCCACTGTGCCGTCCATTGTGCTGTCCACTGTGCCGTCCATTGTGCCGTCCATTGTGCCGTCCATTGTGCCGTCCATTGTGCCGTCCCATGTGCCGTCCAAAGTTGTCCCATCCTCATCGTCGCTCGACCCTGTCTCCTCACTCCCCTCGCTTTCACTCGAACCACTTGCCGTCCCCTCGCTCTCACTCCCACTCTCCACCTCACTCCCACTCTCCTCCTCACTCCCACTCTCCTCCTCACTCCCACTCTCCTCCTCACTCCCACTCTCCTCCTCACTCCCACTCTCCTCCTCACTCCCACTCTCCTCCTCACTCCCACTCTCCTCCTCACTACTCTCCCCACTCCCCACGTACTCAGTCTCTCCCTCGTCTGAGCTCCCCACAGGGCTAAGGCTTGAATCGCTCCCCTCCTCACTCTCCTCCTCACTCTCCTCACTCCCTCCAGAAGCACCACTCTCCACCGCACTCAAGTCCCCATCTTCGTCCTCCTCCCTGCCTCCCCTCACCTCACTCCCTTCCGTCCCACTCTCCTCCCCTTCATCACTCTCCTCACTTTCTCCCTCACCACTTCCTTCAAACCCACTCCCCTCCTCACTCCCAGCCTCCTCGCTCTCTCCTTCCATCCCACTCCGACCCTCACTCCCCTCCTCCCCACTCTCCCCTCCATCCCACCCCTCACTTCCACCCTCCCCCTCCTCCTCCTCACTCCCCTCCTCCTCCGCACCTCTCCCAATCCTCACCACCAGGGTCCCAGACCCTTTAGTATCAGACAAAAGACCACCACCAGCAGCACCAGCAGCAGCAGCACCAGCACCAGCAGCAGCAGCAGCACCAGCAGCAGTGGGCGAAAATCTCGACTTGTTAAAAACCACAACCACACGCTCATCCTCCCCTGGCCTACCACTAGGCGAGCTTCCACCCCCCATCGCCCCACTCCCCCCACCCATCCCCACACCAGCTCCCCCACTCAACGGCGTGCTGGCCCCACTCGTACCCCCTCCTGTACCCACTGAACTAGCACCCAAAGCAGGGGAGGGCGGGGCGGCGCCATACTCGTTAATAAACACGATGCCTCCGATTGCATCGGGGGTTTTCATGCCGCTGTAGCCCGTGGGAGTGCCTCCCTGTGACTGTGCCAGAAACGGTCTGCCCGCCCACGCACCTGCACTCTCATACTCATCTTCCTCCTCTTCCTCCTCTTCCTCATCGTCCTCCTCTTCCTCATCTTCCTCCTCTTCCTCGTCTTCCTCATCCTCCTCACGTCCCTCCTCAGTTGCCTCCTCAGTAACCTCCACACTCTCCTCTTCAGTTACCTCCTCACTCCCCTCCTCACTGCCCTCCCCACTATCCTCTTCACTACTGTACTCCATCTCCTCCTCTTCTTCCGTCTCTTCCACCTCCTCCTCCTCCTCTTCCTCTTCCTCCTCTTCCTCCTCTTCCTCCTCATACTCTTCAGTCTCCTCCGTCGCCTCCTCACTTTCCGCCTCCTCACTCTCCTCCTCCTCCCCCCACCCTATACCAACCCCACCCGCCCTAGCACCGGACCCTTTACTCCACCCACTACCAATCCCCGACCCAGGCCGGTACCCCTGTGCGGGCTGCTGACTCATCACCCCCATCTCTGCTGCTGCTCCCATCACTCTCCCAGGCACCGCCGCCGCTGCTGCTGCTGCTGCTGCTGCTGCCCCTGGCAATGCAGCTCCGTCTGTGCCTCTCCCTGTGCTCTTAGCAGGTGACACTGTAACGAACGCAATGGGGGACATAAGAGCCTCATGCCCCTCCGCAAACACACCAGCAGCACCAGCAGCACCAGCAGCACCAGCAGCACCAGCAGCACCAGCAGCGCCAGCAGCACCAGCAGCACCAGCAGCGCCAGCAGCACCAGCAGCACCAGCAGCACCAGCAGCGCCAGCAGCACCAGCAGCGCCAGCAACAGCGGCTGCTGCTTCTCGTTCTGCTGCCTCTCCGTTCGCTCCTGCCTGTGCATGGGTGGTATAGCGGCCACCACCAGGGCTAATGGCTGTACCCGTTGCTCCAGGAATAGCAAGAGAAGGAGGGCGAGGAGGGCGCATAGCACTACCACTGCCACTGGCGCTGCCACTGCCACTGCCACTACCCCCACTCGCTACAGCCGCTACACCTGCTACAGCTCCTGTACCTGCTGCCCCAGAGCCCCCTTGCTCCCCGTCCCTTAGCCCAACCGCGGCATCACCTGCCTGTGTCAATTCCTTCCCTTGCTGCCCCTCCCTGCCTGCCTCCCTCCCTGCCTCCCTCCCTGCATGCCCGTCATGCTTCGCCCCAAACACAAACGCGCTTGCCCCTGCAAAGAAACCAGCCACAGATCCGCCCCACGACTGCTGCTGCCCCTGCTGCTGCCCTCCTGCCTGCTGGGCCCCAGGCACAGCCCCTGCTGCTGCTGCAGAACCACCCGGGGCGAACGGGTGTGGGGCGAAACCCGGCACAGCAGCAGACGCAGCAGCAGGCGCGGCATACGCAGGGGAGTGGCCATAAGCCGGCGGGATGGGGGGTATGCGCGGCTTACCTGATCCTCCTGACGAAAACGGGTGGGGCTGCGAAGGGCCATGCTGAGAGGAGGAGGCGTTAGGAGGGCTGACAGGACGAGGGGGGAGCTGCTGCTGGGGGTGAGGAGGAGCGGGGGCAGGGGACCGGGACCTAGAGGCAAAAGGAAGAGGCCGGGGGGATGATGGTCGGGGACTGGTGGGTGGCTGGGGCGCATGCCTTGCGCCAGACTGGGGCTGAATCCCCCCTGGATGAACCTCCCCCGGGTGAAACCAACCCCCAGGCGCTCCCCCTTGGCTGCTGAACATGAATCCGTTCTGCTGCTGCTGGTGCTGCTGCTGCTGTGAGGCAGGCCCCCAGCCTGCCTCATGCTTGATTTCAGAGTCCGAGTCATCAGAATCCTCCTGCCCTGCTCTCCACACGTCCGCCTCTGCCCCTTTCCTCCGCCCCGCATTCCCAACCATCATCCCCGCAGCCCCTGCCCCTGCCGCTGCTGCCACTGCCGCTCCTGCTCCTACACCCTTCACCTGCCCTCCCTCCCTCACCTCCCTCTTATCCACAACCCCCGCCACCCCTTTCTCCTGCACCACCCTCTTCTCCACCTCCCCTCTCCCCCTCCCTCTCACAAGCCTACTCTGCACCTCCTCCTCCTCCCCCTCACTCTCATACACCACCCAGTCATCATACTTCCCCACATCCTCCAGCAACAACCCCCCAGACGTCGCAGGGCGCAGCACAGGAGCCCCAGACCCAAGTCTAGTCAGCGAAACAGGTGTCCCCGGTCTAGCAGGCCCTACAAACCCCACAACTACCGGCTGAGCCACCGCTGCTGCTCCCCTCCTCTCCACACTCCCCTCGCCATCTGACGAGCTCCACGCCCCGCTAGCCCCAGCGCTAGCCAACCCTTCCACAGGCAGCCCCCGCATGCTCTTACTCGCTCTGTTGATCTCCGCCCCTGTGCCAAAACTCCCTCTGCTGTCCGCCGTCCCGCCTGCAACTCGCTCCAGCATCCCAGCCCCCAGAGACGACCCTCTAGGCGATCTCTTCCCTAGCCGGGACCTCCCGGACTTGCCCGCACTGCTAGGCCGAGGAGCCTCATGCCATAACCCGCCCCTCGCTCTCCCGGATATGGAACCCGCTCCCTGCTCCCCTACTTCAGATACGGGACTCATGCCCCCGCCTCTAGACCCCTGACTCGCCAAACTCCCCACTCTGAACGACCCTGCTTCCTCTCCCCCTCGCGCTCTCCCCCACGAGTCCCCCAACCCGCCCTCCAGCCGCCCACTCATTGTGTCCGAGTCATCACTCGAATCCGACTCCACTAGCTGGTCCCGATCCGCGCCAGAGTGGAAGATCCAACGGTCACCGCTGCCCGTGGCGGCCCGCTGCAGGAGATTGCTATTGGTGGACGCGGAGAGGGCAGCAAGGCCGCTGCTGCTGCGTAGGGGCTGGGGGGGAAGGCCGCTGGTGCTGCGGTAGGGAAGCGGGGGAAGCTCGCTGTTACTGCGCATGGGAGGCATACCAGTAGCGCCGCTGGGACCATGGCCAGGTAGGGGCTGCTTCGACCATGACTGCTGCTGCTGCCGCTGCTGCTGCAGCTGCTGCTGCTGCTGCAGGAGCGTATCCCTATCTCTGCCACTGCCGCTACTGCCGCTGCTTCTTCCCATGCTTCCGCGCCCCTGGCTCCCCTGCCTCCCGCTCCCCCCAGAAACCTCCCCACCAAACACTCCATCCTGCTGCTCCCCTGATCCAAACGCGCCCTCCCCCACCCTGTTCCGCTTCGCCTTCGCCTCTCGCCTGCTCCCCCCTTCCCCTGCAGACACAGGCGAGCTCCCACCTAGCGGAGTCCCAGGGGTGGCTCGTTTCGACCCCCCACCGGACTGCTCTCTGGGGTCCTCTCTAGAGACTTCTCGAGAGCCTAGAATAGCGCCTAGAGCTCTCCCTACTACGGCGCCTGCCAGTGCTGCGCCGGCTCCAACCCCGGCTGCAGCAGCAACTGCTGCTCCGCTCGGGCCTGGTTCAGCCCCTTCACCTGTCTCAGCTGTACCTTCTACGTCTGTTGGCTCTGTAGATTGTGTTCCTTCTGCTGCTCCCGCTGTTCCTGCTGCTTGCGCTGTTGGTTCAGGCAGACTTTGTACGACAGATTCTGAGTCGCCAACACTACTAAGGTCTCTCGCAGTGTCCCCTGACGCCAGCACGGCTGCCACTGACGTTCTCGAGTCTTCCCTCATCTCCTCTGCTGATAACCGCCCTTCTACTCTCCCTTCCGAACCTCCCACCTCTCCCGAGCCTCGCATCCCTTCCGAACCTGTCACCCCTTCCATCGCATCCTCATTGGTTGCTTCTTCTGGAGGCTTGGCCTCTCGCCTTGCAACCAAACCTGCCACCCCTGCTGCTACAGCTCCGCCTGCTGCTGCTGCCCCTGCTGCCAAACCCGCTATAACCCCAGTCCTACCAGCACCACCAGCAGCACCGGCATCACCAGCAGCACCGGCACCACCAGCAGCAGCAGGAGCAGGGCTAAAACTGGACGTCTGTGTTTCAGCTGTAGTTTGCGGCAACACAACATCTCTTCCTGCAGGCCGCACCCGTTCAGGCAGCCTAGGGTCCGCACTAGTTGCCTCATCTGGCGGCTGTGCTTCTCTCTTCGACCTGGCTCCCTTCTTCCCCTTCTTCCCTTTCTTCTTCTCCTTCTCCGCTTCGCTTGGGCCTGCTTCTCGCGCTGCTTTCGCCCCTGATCTGCGGGACCTAGCTGGCCGTCCGATCTCGGTGGATATCTCCTGAACGGTCACGATCTCTGTGGAGATCTCCTCGATCTTGACGACCTCCTCTCGCACGTGTCCAGATACAGCGCTGCTGCTCGCTGCCTGCTTACGACAAAGCCGTGAGGTTTTCGAGGAGGGGAAGGGGAGGTAGGGTGGAGGGGCCGGGAGGAGGGGAAGGAGGATGGGGAGAGGGGGGTTGCGCATGGGAGAATGGGGTTGAGGGGAATTATAGGGACGAAGAGGCAGCAGGCCCGCTTACTCCATTCCTGAACCCTACAGCGAAACATCCCTGTGACAACCCTCACGACTTAAATTTGCACCTCTCAACCCCCCAGCACCGCACCTGAGCCGGCGGCAAGGCGTGCGAGGCCGTAGCAGCCTCTTCCAGCCAATCGTCGTCCGCACTGGCGTTCGGGAACCACGTCAGCCCTGGGGGGGGGGGAAGGGGGGTTGGGGTGGGGGAAAGGGAGTGGGGAGTGGGCGTGGGACGAGGGAGAGGGGCGTAACGGCCATCTCTTCCAGCCAATCGTCGTCCGCACTGGCGTTCGGGAACCACGTCAGCTCTGAAGGAACGGGGGTAAAGAGGGGGGAAGGTCGGGGGAGTGGGGAAAGAGGAGGGGAGAAGAGGAGAAGGGGGATGGGGGAGGAGGGGAGTGCGGGGGTGGGTAGTAGGAGAAGCATAGACGGAGAGCGTGGCGTCAAGTGCAGCTTCCCCTCAACAATCACCTCGTCTAGCTCAGACGCCTTCCGCACTGTCATTTCGAAACCGTGAGACAGGAGGTGAGAGACGATCAAATGAGGTAAGCGCAACCGCGAGACTAGGCGCAAGACGTAATCAGAAACGGAATTACAAGAGCACGCTCGTAGTGACCAGAATAGCACATTGGTCTGTACAAAATCTCAAATCCGCCGGATTACTAGTCTATAGAGTGCCATGGCGAATGTATTCTTAAGTTCTATGAGCGTTCAAGGCAGCTGCTGTTTCCACAGATGGTGCGTCTGATGGTTTTCATAAAAGAAGACCTTTTACGTGGTAAAGAGCGGTAGACGACAGACCCTAAGTGTGAGTAACCTTTCAGTCGTTTCACAACCTCACATAATGGACGACTGTAACGGTAACGGTAACTGACTTCTGACAAATGCGTCTGGCAACTGACCTCTGCCTGATGCGTCCGGTGTGGTGGGTGGGGAACAAAGCGGCCATGGCAGATGACCGTCTTCTAGCGTCGCGTTTGGCGGAATCGCGATACACAAAAGCTCTCTAAAGTGGAACCGGCGTCGCGAGTCGCTAGCTTTCTTTATAAGCTCCGCCTTCTTGCGAGTCCTAGAGTTTGTGGACTGCAGGCGAATTAAATCCAACTCTTTCGGCTCTTCGGGTCTCTTGCTTTTCTCGCGTTTCGATTCGCGCGTGAGCTGTCTCGACGTGCGTCGCGAACCCCAAAGACTCGTCATTGTCGCGAAACTCTACGAGCATTACAATTCTGAGACGATCCTAAGAACGGATGCACGGAAAAAATAGGCTATCCGTTGCTGGTAAGTGAGCGCGTATTACCCATAAATAACATAAGTTAATTAAAGAACGGAGTTAAGTTAGGTCAGCAAGCTAAGATCAGCATCAAGCTTCTAGTTCCGTACAATAAGCTATCTCAAGCCACTGATGGCCATGGCATCTTGTCAGCACGACACTCCCTATCCTTCGCTGCCCCAAGCTCCTCTCACAGACTGATTTCGGCTCGGTATTCCCAGAGTTTTGAAAGGAGATGCAGTCTGCCCGCCCTCGAGCCTGCCCTGTTGTGTGGCCAGGCCTGGCCTGGCATGGTCTGGTTCGTGTCTGCCCTGGGAACTGCCCCATCCCTGCCCTTGCTTTCGCGCCAAACCTGCACGGCACTGACGTCCCACGCGTTTCGTGGCTCATTGCGATTCCGTTTCCGTCGGTGGCACCACGGGAGCAGGCACCAACAAGAGTTGCTGTTGGTTCCGTCAATCTCGCAAAGTGTTCGCGAAAGATGATTTGTCTTCGCAACCCTAACGAGGGGAACGGGAATCTCGAGGTCCTCACGTTCTTGTCCAACCACCAGCGTATCGTTGCTGTCTGGCAAACCGCTACACGTCTCATTCGCCTGTCATCGTCTATATGTACATTCAACCAAAACAAAAACCAGGCGGTCAGGGATTGACTCAGATAATTTGTTGAGAACATGAATGTTTGCAGATGTTGCGCCTTACAATCTCCCTGTTAAAGCAGGTGTTTTTTCACAGAAAAAAAAAAAAAAGTGAGAGGTGCTCCCAAGCTATCCTAAAGCACCGGGACAAGGATTCTGTTATACCAGGTCACAAAACTTGGTTTCACCTACAGTAGGTCAAACCACTCTACCGCCTCATCGGTGCATGGAAGGTGGTTTGTCAAGCAGTCAGGCCAAGAGAGGGGTCCATCCCACAAATCTGCGCTGGAGCATGCCTGCTTACATTTTGGAATGCACAGTACCGTACATTGTAAATGCCCATAATGCTATGCTTCCTGCACTGATTAGAATGTAATGTTGTAAATCTGACACAAAACCCTCGAAATCAGAGTGCATTGGCCACAAACCCTGAAATAATAGGGTAACCTGGAAAAAAAATCCCAAAACACACACACATGCACGCACGCACGCACGCACGCACGCACGCACGCACGCACCCACGTACGCACGCGCCACACACATGCACACACACACACACAGGCCTGGCCTGAGCCCCTTTGACTTGGGACCTCAAGCATGGTAGTTGTAGTCATCCTGTGCAGTGTCCAAGGGCCTTAGGCCTAGCCCATTTGGCCTGTCCGCACACGCCATGAGGGGCGTAGCTGGCATCTCCGCTAGGAGCAGCTGCAGCTTCTGTGGATTGCCGTCGGGGCATCGGTCATTGGTGGGGGGGAAGTGCATGCAAGGCTCGGAAACAGCGGGAATGCATGTGTGTAGCCCCACAAATGTAACATGGGGAACTCCAAAGAGGGACGCGCAGAGGTAGCCAAAAGTAGAAGTCTTGGAGATGATAAGTGCATCGGAGAAGAGAGCGAGAGTGTACATGTTGATGATGGCTCGGTCTACTGATGCAGTGTTGGTGGTGTTCTCCTTGTCATCTGCAGTCAAGTGCACTATGTGCACGCCATACCCGGAAGTGCCATTGCTGCCAACGCCACTGTTGCTGCTGCCAGTGCACTACCAGTGCTGCTGCTTCTAGCGTCCGTGCTCATACTGGGAGTTACAGTAGCAGCAGGCACAGCCGCATCAGCAGTGCGAGCGGTACCACTGGGTGGTGGCTCTTCCTCCGTAGGAGCACAAGCAGTGTCACTCCCTACTGTCACTCTCGCTACAGGCACATCTGCCGACACTGCCTGTGAGAGGTTATGCACTAGGAACTGGTTGAGAGACGCTACCATTACCTCTGTCACGTTCCCCCAGGAACCCCTCACGCTGCAGCCACCACCACTACCACTGCCACTACCACTACCACTACCACTACCACTACCACCTCCACTGCTCGTGTCACTACCAGTCACTGTTATTGTCGTCTCTGACTCAGACTTACCACCACGGAGTGCACATTTCTCAGCCAGACCTCCCACCCCTTGCCCAGAACTCCCACTAGTGCCCCGCCCTGCTGAGCCTCCTCCCTCTCCCTCTCGCATACCCCGTCCTCTGTGCACCTCAAAAGGTCCCTGATTCGCCTGCAAAGCAGCCTCCCTGTCAAGCCGCATCCCCCTTGCGCTCTGCACAGCCGAGGAGTTGAGAGCTTGCAGCATGCAACTCCCCATACCCTTAGTGTAGAATGCTATTGTGCTCTCATTTGCATGTGGTAAAAACCGCGCCTGCAGGCCGACACGAGCCGGCGCCGGGGCAATGAGGGTGTGATACCGGTGGGTGATCCCCGCCCAGATGCGGTTGCGGGGGAAGAGCAACAGGCGGGAGAGGGAGCGGAAGGGCATGTGGGCAGGGAAGAGGAGGTGGAGGTGGCGGTGGAAGGAGGGGAGGAGGTAGAGTGCGGGGAGAAAGTATTGGTTGGAGGTGAGGAGTAATGTGGGCGTGTGGGAGAGCCACTGCTGCTCTGTTTCACAGAAGAACAAGAAGCCAGACGGGGTGGTTGCTTGGTTAATGTCGAGGCGTAGGCTGCGGGAACAAGAAAGGAAGGGAAAGAATCGGAATGGGGGAGAGGAGGAGGGGAACAGAAGGAATGAGAAAGAGGCACTGTGGGAGCTTTGACCCGCTTTGTAAAGGCTATGAGTGGGTTCCAGGCACAAAGAGCATACTGCTGAAGAGCATACATGGTTGAGAACGTAAACCTGTCAGCACAGAACGTAAACCTGTCAGCACAGAACGTACATTGCTGGCAGCTTGGCACCCGGCGTCCGTCCCTCCTCTCCCTCCCTCACGCTTCTCCACTCCTCGGCCACTTTATACCGAAGCACCCACGCGTAATATTCCCCTTCCTCCTCTGGCCCATCAAACAGCACCCACGACGCCTCATACTCAAATGGTTCACAGAACTCTGTAGCGGGTCCACTGCGAGACACCAGCAGCAGAATCCGATCTGTCAGCAGCGCGTACGCAAACGAGGATACGAGAGACATGAGCCGGTTGCCGTGACCGTCTCTGCTTTGGTGGTAGAGCAAGTAGCGGCAGGCCGTGGCATTGCCGGCTAGCAGTGTGGCTTGCAGCTGAGGCATTGGCTCTTGTCGCAGGCACTCTCGTCGGTATAGATGGTACTGCCGCAGTTTCGTCTCAAGTGCCCCGGACACATGCGGCTGCGCGCGCGACTCAGCAGCGTCGCTTGTGGAGTAACCGGCGCTGCCTATCGCTGCGTAGCATGGTATCTCGGCCCGGCTCCAACAGACACCCTCCTCTCTTGTACCGCGAGGGTGCCTCTTTTGCTGCTCTGCCTGCTTCGCCGTATTCGGTTTCTGTGCCAAGAGACGACGGGAGGGCCGTTCCTGCTGCGAGAATGTCGGCGCAATCTGGAGGAGTGGGGGGGAGAGGGAGGAGACTTTTGAGTCGACTCAAAAGTCAACGCTGTTTTTTTTTCTGCCTGCTGCTTCGCATTCGTTCTCTGTGCCTACAGACAATGGGAGAGCCGTTCCTGCTGCGAAGATGTCGGCGCAATCTGGAGGAGTGGGGGGGAGAGGAGGGGAAAGGGCGTCTCTGCTGCTCTGCCTGCTTCGCCGTATTCGGGTCCTGTGCCAAGAGACGATGGGAGAGCCGTTCCTGCTGCAAGAATTTCAGCGCAATCCGGAGGGAGTAGGGGGAGAGGGGAAGGCAAGGGATGACTAGTAGTATCGAATCGGGTTTCTGATGTGGTACCAACATCAAGTAAGGTTGTTCTCTTGCAAGCGAGCGAGCCAGGAAGCACAACAACACCCATGGTTAACCAAAGCCCGGACGGTTCAGCGTTTGGCAGCTCAAGGGAAGCGGCTGGTAACTCTGAAGCTCCTGCTATGGGCTGGGACTGTGCGGGCATGGTAGACGCTGATGCTGCCGTGCAAGCTAGCAAGAGCAGCAGCTTCAAGCGCACGGAACAGTGGCGGGGAGAGACTGGTACCTTTGAGGCCGTGGGCTGAGACTGTGAGGGCTTGGTAGACTGATGATAGCTGTGCAAGCTAGCCAGAGTAGCAGGTTCAAGAGCACGCGACAGTGGTGGAAAGAGGCTGGTACCTTTGAGGCCGTGGGCTGAGACTGTGAGGGCTGGGTAGACGCTGATGATAGCTGTGCAAGCTAGCCAGAGCAGCAGGTTCAAGAGCACGCGGCAGTGGTGGAAAGAGACTGGTACCTTTGAGGCCGTGGGCTGAGACTGTGCGGGCTGGGTAGACGCTGATGATAGCTGTGCAAGCTAGCCAGAGCAGCAGGTTCAAGAGCACGCGGCAGTGGTGGAAAGAGACTGGTACCTTTGAGGCCGTGGGCTGAGACTGTGAGGGCTGGGTAGACGCTGATGATAGCTGTGCAAGCTAGCCAGAGCAGCAGGTTCAAGAGCACGCGGCAGTGGTGGAAAGAGACTGGTACCTTTGAGGCCGTGGGCTGAGACTGTGAGGGCTGGGTAGACGCTGATGATAGCTGTGCAAGCTAGCCAGAGCAGCAGGTTCAAGAGCACGCGGCAGTGGTGGAAAGAGACTGGTACCTTTGAGGCCGTGGGCTGAGACTGTGAGGGCTGGGTAGACGCTGATGATAGCTGTGCAAGCTAGCCAGAGCAGCAGGTTCAAGAGCACGCGGCAGTGGTGGAAAGAGACTGGTACCTTTGAGGCCGTGGGCTGAGACTGTGAGGGCTGGGTAGACGCTGATGATAGCTGTGCAAGCTAGCCAGAGCAGCAGGTTCAAGAGCACGCGGCAGTGGTGGAAAGAGACTGGTACCTTTGAGGCCGTGGGCTGAGACTGTGAGGGCTGGGTAGACGCTGATGATAGCTGTGCAAGCTAGCCAGAGCAGCAGGTTCAAGAGCACGCGGCAGTGGTGGAAAGAGACTGGTACCTTTGAGGCCGTGGGCTGAGACTGTGAGGGCTGGGTAGACGCTGATGATAGCTGTGCAAGCTAGCCAGAGCAGCAGGTTCAAGAGCACGCGGCAGTGGTGGAAAGAGACTGGTACCTTTGAGGCCGTGGGCTGAGACTGTGAGGGCTGGGTAGACGCTGATGATAGCTGAAAGGTGGGGGGTTTAGGAGATAAGATTCTGAAAGGTGGGGGGTTTAGGAGAGAAGATTCTGAAAGGTGGGGGGTTCAGGAGAGAAGATTCTGAAAGGTGGGGGGTTTAGGAGAGAAGATTCTGAAAGGTGGGGGGTTTAGGAGAGAAGATTCACAAAGAGGGGACTTGGAGATTGAATAGAGGTGGAGAAGGAGAGGTAGTGGATTTTGTTCGCATAGAATGGTGGAAGGGGGGAAGGTGATTGAGGGAGTCAAGGTGAGAAAAGGAGGGGAGGTAGAGACGGTTGGAGTAGGGAGGGAGGACAAAAAAGAGGGCCGAAGTGGGAGGGAGGAGTAGAGGTGGTTGGACCAAATGGGATGGCGATGTGGGCGAGCTGGGGTGGGGGGGGTGGGGGTGGGGTGGGGGGGGGGGGGGGGGGGGGGGGGAAGGTGGGAGTTGGGATAAAGAGGAATGGAGCAATGACTCCATCTCCAAATTGTGCTCGACCCAAGGCTCACCACCCGAAATTGGGTGCCCTGAGGTGACTTTCAAGTATCCTGAAACACACCCGAAAGTCACTGTCAGGTCGGATGCAGCCTTCCGAGACCCGCAGGTGACCATCAGGTCTTCAATTTCGCGGGAAAAAGCTCCCTCCACCCCAAAGTGACCCCAACCCGACCATCGAGAGGGCACCAAATAAACCCGAACCGCGATCGTTAAAACATTGACCAATAGAATTTCGTGAATGGGTCGGGTCGCATCGATATCTGACATTGGCCAATCGTACATTGATATTGTACGAGTCGCGTCCAAATCAGACATTGGCGAATCGCATGTTCACGTAAAAAAAGGGGAAAATATGTCAATGGTAACTTACATGGGGAACTATAACGCGTACGGTAACGATTTCAACGCGTTTGGTAACTCGCTTAACGCGTTTGGGCTTAACACGTTTGGTAACTTGCTTAACGCATTTGGTAACTCTACACTAGCAGCCCATCACGCGAATGGTAACTACATGAAATTCCCACCGACATTTTCCTGACAAAAAGGAATTTATCGAGTTTGAGAGATTTTACGCACATTATTATCTTTTGTGAACAAGTCCCGCAACGAATTTAAAGGACCCCGTTTGTTTTAATACCATGGACCAAAAAGTTTCAGAGCCATTTTATATATATAGGTAACTCGTACAAAAATGGACAATATCATATTTTTGATAGCATGATTGCGGACTTGCAAAAGGATAAAAAAACATTTCCCGAAAAGGACATTGAAAAATATACCTTTTTTTTAATACTGCAACTTTGGAGAATTTTTGCACGTGGGAAAAGTAAACCTTTGTAAAATTTCATCTTTCATTTTTTTAAATAAAGATCCGTAAACGCCTGGTTGCAAGAAGTTTAGGGTTGTTGCTCTCAAATTTATGGTTGTTACGCTCAAATTTATTTGCCACTGGAAAGGGATATAGATTTGTTTGCCCCAGCTGCGCGATAGAATAAAGTACAAAACGTTTGCGGAAAAAACGCCAAAACAGCATTAATGTTTGAACAGCTGTTTTCACAACGCTTACGTTTTTGCAATTATCTTGAAAAAAAGGGAAAGTGTGTCAGGATTTCGGAAAGTTTGTCAGAATTTCGGAAATTGTGTCAGAATCTCGGAGAGTGTGTCAGAAGTTTCTACTTCACGATTCGTCAATTTATTCTGACGCGAGCGGGAAAAACCAGAATCAGGCTCAATTTCGGCGGGAATTTCATGTAGTTACCATTCGCGTGATGGGCTGCTAGTGTAGAGTTACCAAATGCGTTAAGCGAGTTACCAAACGTGTTAAGCGACTTACCAAACGCGTTAAGCGAGTTACCAAACGCGTTGAAATCGTTACCGTACGCGTTATAGTTCCCCTTGTAAGTTACCATTGACATATTTTCCCTAAAAAAAGGGTCTAATAGAGAAAACTATGCAGAACAGTAAAAAATGAACTGTAGGTAAATATCTGCTTGTATTCATGCAGTCTCCCAACAGGTAAAAATGAATGTGCATATTAAAAAAATATTTAAATCCTAAGCTCATGTTAATTACTAGGTTATCATTTCAGTTTTCTTACTGCGTAAAATCTACGTGTTTTAACAGCGAGATCGTTAATTGCACCGTAAAATATGTGATCCCTAAAAGTTGTCGAATCTAACATTTATGTATATGGAGATAATCGAGATTCCCTTTATCGAATAGGGTTACTCGAATAAGTCGCGCGACTTGTGTAGCACCCGTCGCGTCATCAGGAACGAGCCAGGTAGCGAAACAAAGTTACACAGTACCCTTTAGAATCGCAAAACAAGAACACACGAAAACAGAGCAGGATAAAACGCGCAGGGGAACCACAAACTGGCGAGACTAGTACAGGTGGCTGTTAAACTGTGTTATGTTGGTAGGCTGTAGTGGGGTAGCCAGTATGGGGTACAACCCCAACTAGGGTTTGCTACTTGTACCCAATTCTCCCATTCAATGACACATTCTTGCTTAGTCCTGTTGATATGGTATCAGAGCAGGAGGTCCCTAGGACCTATCGACCGTTTCTTTTAAGGGCCCACCACCGCTCGCATGCGGTTACCACGCTACCCCGTGCCCTAGCCTCGTAGCGCCCTCGTGCGTCCTCGTTAGCGCCCTCGCGCGCCCTCGTTAGCGCCCTCGCGCGCCCTCGTTAGCGCCCTCGCGCGCCCTCGTTAGCGCCCTCGCGCGCCCCTCGTTAGCGCCTTCACGCGCCCTCGCTAGCGCCCTCGAAGCGCCCCTCGTTAGCGCCCTCGCGCGCCCCTAGCAGCGTCGCCCGCCCGCCGAGCCGCCCGCTCGCCGCCCGCCCGCCGCGCTGCCTGCTCGCAGCGTCGCCCGCTCGCCCCGCTGCCCGCTTCGCAGCCCGCCCGCCCGCTCGCTGCCCGCTTCGCGGCCCGCCCGCTTCGCTGCCCGCTCGCAGCGTCGCCCGCCCGCCCGCTGCCCGCTTCGCAGCGTCGCCCGCCCGCTTGCTGCCCGCTCGCAGCGTCGCCCGCCCGCCCGCTGCCCGCTTCGCAGCGTCGCCCGCTCGCTCGCTGCCCGCTCGCAGCGTCGCCCGCCCGCCCGCTGCCCGCTTGCAGCGTCGCCCGCCCGCCTCGCTGCCCGCTTGCAGCGTCGCCCGCCCGCCCGCTGCCCGCTTCGCAGCCGCCCGCCGCGCTGCCCGCTCGCCGCGTCGCCCGCCCGCCCCGCTGCCCGCTTCGCAGCCCGCCCGCCGCACTTCCCGCCTGCAGCGCCGCCCGCCTCGCCTGCTGCTCCCTGCCTGTGCACCGCCGCTTGCTCCTGCTGTGGCTGCTAGCTTCGCTCTAGCGCGTCCCCTCTGCTGCTGCCGCTGCTCTGCTGTGCCCTCACGCCTGAGCTATGGCCTCTATTCGCGTTCTTTCCTTCGATGCTGAGGGCCGTCCCGTGCAGTTCACTTCCTGGCTCGACGACCTGCAGTTGTATCTTATGAGCAATAGCACGGACCACATCTCCCTCTATGACTACGCGTCTGGTGCTGCCGCTGCTCCTGCTGCCACAGCCGAGCTTAGTGTACGTTCACAGTGGCAGACTCGTGACGCTGCAGCTCGCCTGGCTATTCGCAGTCACCTGCCGTTAGCTGAGCTAGAGCACTTTGGCGACTGCAAAACCGCTAAAGCCCTATACGACGCTGTCGTTGCTCGCTACTCCTCACCTGCCACAGCCGAGCTTAGCCGTCTCATGCTGCCTTACCTGTTCCCTGACCTGTCCACCTTTGCTACAGTCGCCGATCTTATCACCCACCTTCGCACTAGTGATGCTCGCCTGCGTGCCGCCCTTCCCACCGAGTTCTGCTCTAAGAACCCCCCTCCCCTGTACTGGGCACTCCACTTCATAGTCACCCGTCTCCCTGACACCCTCAGCTCAGTGCGCGACTATTTCCTTGCTCGCTGTCCCACTGAGCTCACTGTCGCCCTCCTAGAGGAGAAGCTGCTAGCAGCCGAGAAGAGCATTGTAGCTGTAGGTGCTGCTCGCGGCGCTCCTCGCACCCCCATCTTTGAGGGGTGCTCTCCCTCTCCCCTCGCTCCCTCCTATGCTACTGCTGCTGCTGTTGACTTCCTTGGTGCTGAGTCTGCTGGCGCTGCTTCTGCTCCTGGTGGGAGGCGCCGCACCGGCAAGGGCAAGGGGGGCAAGGGTGGCGGGGGTGGCGCTGGGGGGGGAGGGGGTGGGGGAGGTGGGGGGGGAGGCGGTGCTGGAGGGAGCGGTGGCGGGAGTGCCGGTGGGAGTGGGGCCGGCGGCGGAGGCGGGGGCGGCGGCGGGAGCAGTGGCGGTGGTGGCAGCGGCGGCAGTGGCGGCGGTGGCGGTAGTGGCGGTGGCGGTGGCGGTGGTGGCGGTCGGAGCGGAGGTAGTGGCGGCGGTGGAGGTCGGAGTGGAGGCACCGGCTCGGGCCAGAGCTCCCAGCAGCAGCAGCGTCCCCAGTCGACCCAGCAGCTTCGTGAGTGGCTTGCTCAGCGTGGGACGTCGGGGGGCAGTGGCCGCTGTTCCTATGTCATTCGCACAGGTGATCGCAAGGGGCAGACGTGTGGAAAGTTCCACACTCAGTACCGCTGCTTCTTCCGCCTTGACGACGCTTGGCGTGAGGAGATGGGCGAGGATGTTGAGCGCCCTCGCTGGGCTGAGCTGATGAGGGCTGGTGTTGATATCTTTGCTCTTGACTATGATGCTATTATTGCTGCCATGTATGCATTGACTGTTAGTGCCGAGGGAGACTGTTACTTGTGTGTGCCGCCTGACCCAGGTATAGGGCCCGCTGCCCTAGGTACTAGTGAGTCTGCTCTCTCTGGTATGGTGCCCCCTGTACCTGCTCCCTCCAGCACTGTCCCTGCTGCTTGCGAGTCTGCTCTCTCAGGTACAGCACCCACAGAGACTGCTCTCTCAGGTACTGCACCGGCTGAGACCTGTCACACCTTCACCCTTGACTCAGGTGCTTCCCGCTGCTTCTTTCGAGACAGTACTGAGCTCACACCGCTTCCTGCACCGGTCCCAGTCTCCTTGGCTGACCCCTCTGGGGGCCCAGTCCTTGCCCAGTCCACCACTGTGCTCCCTTGTCCGGCGGTTCCGTCTGGCTCGTTGACGGGTTTCCACCTCCCCTCGTTCTCGACGAACCTGGTGAGCAACGCTGTCATCCAGGATCAGTGGGTTGACACCTTTACCCCTGGAGGACAGCGTGTGGCGATCTGCACGTGCTCCAGGACCGGCCGTCACCTGGCTACGTTTACTCGTCGGCCGGGGTCGAGTCTCTACACACTGACCACTACGTCTCCTCAGGTCGCTGCTGTCGGTCAGGTGTCCGCGTCAGGTCTGGTGGCCCACGCCTGTGAGTGTCGTTCCCTGTCGCACCAGACTCTTCTCTGGCACCACCGCCTGGGTCACCCCTCCTTGCCACGCCTCCGTGGCATGCACCGTCGCCGCCTTGTGTCTGGTCTTCCCAGGTCCCTCCCTCCTCTCCCTTCCTCGCCTGCGCCGCCTTGCCTTCCTTGCGTCGAGGGGCGGCAGCGCGCCGCTCCTCACTCCTCCTCGTTCCCCCCGACAGAGGCTCCTCTGCAGACCCTCCACCTGGACGTGTGGGGCCCAGCCCGCGTTCGTGGCCAGGGCGGTGAGCGGTACTTTTTGCTGGTTGTCGACGACTACTCGCGTTACACCACGGTCTTCCCCTTGCGCACCAAGGGTGAGGTCCCTGCTGTTCTGATCCCTTGGATCCGCACAGTTCGTCTCCAGCTCCGCCGCCGTTTCCGGACGGATCTTCCTGTCCTGCGTCTGCACTCTGACAGAGGTGGTGAGTTTTCCTCCGACCTCTTGAGGACCTTCTGTCAGGCGGAGGGCATCGAGCAGACCTTCACGCTTCCGGACTCCCCACAGCAGAATGGGGTTGCTGAGCGCCGCATTGGCCTGGTCATGGAGGTTGCTCGTACCTCCTTGGTCCACGCGGCGGCTCCCCATTTTCTGTGGCCGTTTGCTGTCCGGTACGCCGCGCATCAGCTCAACCTCTGGCCCCGTGTCTCCTTGCCGGAGACCTCGCCCATACTGCGTTGGACGGGGGAGGTTGGCGATGCGTCGCGCTTCCGGGTGTGGGGTGCTCGTGCCCTTGTCCGCGATACGTCCGCGGACAAGCTCTCCTCCCGCACGCTTCCCTGTGTCTTCCTTGGCTTTGTCCCTGACGCGCCGGGCTGGCAGTTTTACCACCCCACCTCGCGCCGGGTCGTGAGCGTCCTCCTCCTGTCCCAGGCACTCACTACATGACTCTGCGTCCCTCTACTGCTCCTCAGCGTGTCCCTCTGCCGTCTCCTCCTGCGTCCTCTTTGCCTGCTGTTCCGGACCCTGAGTCTGACCGGTATCGTGCTGAGCACCCTACTGTCACGCGTCTCCTAGCTACTGTTGTCACTGACCCTACCTTTGAGTCCTCGGCTGCGTCTGCTCTGGTCGCTGAGTTGGTTGACTTTGCTGCTGCCTGTCGTCTAGACTACGCTGCTCGCCTTGTTGCTGGGTCTGAGTCTGCGTCTGTCTGTCCTCCGTCCGTCGGGGGTGAGTGTGCTCTTGGCACGGACGTCCTTGAGGACAGGCAAGAGGACTTTGACTCTCTCGCGGCTGCTGTACCTCATCTCGTGGCCTGGTTGCTTGCCCCTGAGGGAGACCCGGATGCACTAGACATCCCCACTCCGCGCACTTACGCAGAGGCGATCTCGGGTCCCTACTCCTCTCAGTGGCAGGCAGCCATGGACGCAGAGATGGCATCCTGGAAGTCCACAGGCACCTACGTCGACGAGGTTCCCCCTCCTGGGGCGAACATCGTCGATGGTATGTGGATTTTCAGGGTGAAGCGGCCGCCAGGTTCTCCGCCTGTCTTCAAGGCTCGTTACGTTGCTAGAGGCTTCAGTCAGCGTCAGGGGGTCGACTTCTTCCAGACCTTCTCCCCCACCCCGAAGATGACCACTCTTCGGGTTCTGCTGCACGTTGCTGCTCAGCGTGACTACGAGCTTCACTCTCTTGACTTCAGCACAGCGTTCCTGCAGGGCAGCCTGCACGAGGAGATCTGGCTGCGCCGCCCACCTGGCTTTACTGGGTCGTTTCCTCCTGGTACCCAGTGGAGCCTCCGCCGGCCAGTCTACGGTCTCCGCCAGGCGCCACGCGAGTGGCACGACACACTGAGGACTACACTTGCGGCTCTTGGGTTCGCGCCGTCTACTGCTGACCCGTCGCTGTTTCTGCGCACAGACACGTCGCTGCCGCCGTTCTACATTCTCGTGTACGTCGACGACTTGGTCTTTGCTACTGCTGACACTGAGGCACTCGCTCGTGTGAAGTCGGAGCTGCAGAAGAGACACACCTGCACTGACCTGGGTGAGCTGCGTAGCTACCTTGGCTTGCAGATCACCCGGGACAGAGCTCGCCGCACCATCACCCTGACTCAGTCACGCATGGTGCAGCAGGTCCTTCAGCGCTTCGGCTTCCAGTTCTCCTCACCATAGTCCACTCCTCTGGCTACCAGCCACTCGCTCTCAGCTCCACCTCCGGACGAGTCCGTAGAGCCGAGTGGCCCGTACCCAGAGCTTGTGGGCTGCCTCATGTACCTGATGACTTGCACGCGACCTGACCTCGCGTACCCTCTTAGCATCCTTGCTCGTTACGTTGCGCCTGGGAGACACAGGCGAGAGCACTGGGAGGCTGCTAAGAGGGTGCTGCGCTACTTGTGCAGTACATCAGGCATGGGGCTGGTGCTTGGAGGACGCGACAGAGTTGTCCTCACTGGCCACTCGGACGCTTCTTGGGTGGACGACCTGGCTACGCAGCGGTCGTCACAGGGTTACACCTTCAGCCTTGGCTCTGGTTCTGTCTCGTGGCGGTCCACCCGCTCTTCTTCTGTTCTCGGCTCTAGTTGTGAGGCTGAGATCTACGCCACAGCCATGGCTGCCCAGGAGTTACGCTGGCTCACCTACCTGCTGACTGACTTGGGAGAGCGGCCTAGTTCTCCTCCAGTTCTGTACGGTGACAACAAGGCGGCCCTTGCCTTGTGTCAGGAGCACAGACTGGAGCACAGGACGAAGCACATTGCTCTTCGCTACTTTCTTGCTCGAGAGCTGCAGCAGCGAGGTCAGCTTCGGCTTGTGTACGTGGACTCGAAGGCCAACACTGCTGATATCTTCACCAAGGCGCTCCCGCCTAGTGATCATCAGCGGCACTGTACTTCCTTAGGCCTTGTGTCCACATTCCCTCATTTGCTTACTGCTTGACTTTCTTTGTACTGTCCTTTATATATATCTCGTTGCTTGCTTGCTAGGTCTTGATCACTGTGTTGCTTGTCTTGTACTATATCTAGCACTGCATGTGAACTGGCCTTGTGGCCTTTGCTTGTGCTCGGAGTGTGGTGACGTTGTGATCCACCCTGGGCTTGCTTTGCTTTGCTAGACTGGTCTTGTGACCCTTTGTTCTCCCCCACTTTGCCTATGGGGGTGTGTTAAACTGTGTTATGTTGGTAGGCTGTAGTGGGGTAGCCAGTATGGGGTACAACCCCAACTAGGGTTTGCTACTTGTACCCAATTCTCCCATTCAATGACACATTCTTGCTTAGTCCTGTTGATGGTGGCGTAGCACTGGAATGAACACTGCCAGCTCAATGAGATAAGGCAGTAATTTTGCGCCACCTGTTTCGCACATCATGTTGTAATCTGCCAGCTAAGCCAAAATTCGAACACTTGCCTGCAAGAATTCTCGTGCACTGAGGGACATACAACCACATAATCCACATTACCAACCACCCGCTCCAGCCCTTTCCGCAATTCTCGCCAAACCCCAGTACCGTTGCTAAACCGTTAGGATCGTCCAGAACATCGACAACTCTGTTGTTGACATCTGGAACGCACACACAACCTTGCTGTGCAATATCGATTTTCCTTGCTTTTACCAGCTCCACTTTCGTGTCTGCGTGTCTGAATACTAAGCACTTCGGACGTTATTTCCCCTCATACATGAAGTGCCAGTGGCTGATGCTGCATGTCGCATATAGCACAAGCCATCGTTAACTCCTTACCATTAGCGGCGTCGTTCAGTCGTTTTTCAGCCAATGCCTTAGTGTTATTTTATCGTAATATAAATATTTTTTTTTGTACCATTTGCATTACAGTGGCGCACGAGCATCGCACGGCGCGAGTGCCATCGACGATCGCAAGTGGGTGGGTGGGGCTGGGACTAACGCAGACAATCGCAGCCAGTGGTGTGGCGCTTGTGCAGAAAGCGGCGAGAATTGCGGTGTAGGCGCAGAAGGTGAGCCTCTCGTAATTGTCAGAAGAACTAGGCAAGAATGATGCATTGAATGAAACAGTTGGGTACAAGTAGCAAACCCTAGTTGGGGTTGTACCCCATATTGGCTACCCCACTACAGCCTACAAGCATAATGCAGTTTAACACACCCCCATAGGCAAAGTGGGGGAGAACAAAGGGTCACAAGACCAGTCCAGCAAAGCAAAGCAAAGCCCAGGGTGGATCACAACGTCACCACACTCCGAGCACAAGTAAAGGCCACAAGGCCAGTTCACATGCAGTGCTAGATATAGTACAAGACAAGCAACACAGTGATCAAAACCTAGCAAGCAAGTAACAAGATATATATAAAGTACAGTACAAAGAATGTCAAGCAGTGAGCAAGTGAGGAAACGTGGACACAAGGCCTAAAGAAGTACAGTGCCGCTGATGATCACTAGGCGGGAGCGCCTTGGTGAAGATATCAGCAGTGTTGGCCTTCGAGTCCACGTACACAAGCCGAAGCTGACCGCGCTGCTGAAGCTCTCGAGCAAGAAAGTAGCGAAGAGCAATGTGCTTCGTCCTGTGCTCCAGTCTGTGCTCCTGACACAAGGCAAGAGCCGCCTTGTTGTCACCGTACAGAACTGGAGGAGAACTAGGCCGCTCTCCCAAGTCAGTCAGCAGGTAGGTGAGCCAGCGTAACTCCTGTGCAGCCATGGCTGTGGCGTAGATCTCAGCCTCACAACTAGAGCCGAGAACAGAGGAAGAGCGGGTGGACCGCCACGAGACAGAACCTGAGCCAAGGCTGAAGGTGTAACCCTGTGACGACCGCTGCGTAGCCAGGTCGTCCACCCAAGAGGCGTCCGAGTGACCAGTGAGGACAACTCTGTCGCGTCCTCCAAGCACCAGCCCCATGCCTGATGTACTGCACAGGTAACGCAGCACCCTCTTAGCAGCCTCCCAGTGCTCTCGCCTGTGTCTCCCAGGCGCAACGTAACGAGCAAGGATGCTAAGAGGGTACGCGAGGTCAGGTCGCGTGCAAGTCATCAGGTACATGAGGCAGCCTACAAGCTCTGGGTACGGGCCACTCGGCTCTACGGACTCGTCCGAAGGTGGAGCTGAGAGCGAGTGGCTGGTAGCCAGAGGTGTGGCCTGTGGTGAGGAGAACTGGAAGCCGAAGCGCTGAAGGACCTGCTGCACCATGTGTGACTGAGTCAGGGTGATGGTGCGGCGAGCTCTGTCCCGGGTGATCTGCAAGCCAAGGTAGCTACGCAGTTCACCCAGGTCAATGCAGGTGTGTCTCTTCTGCAGCTCCGACTTCACACGAGCGAGTGCCTCAGTGTCAGCAGTAGCAAAGACCAAGTCGTCGACGTACACGAGGATGTAGAACGGCGGCAGCGACGTGTCTGTGCGCAGAAACAGCGACGGGTCAGCAGTAGACGGCGCGAACCCAAGAGCCGCAAGAGTAGTCCTCAGTGTGTCGTGCCACTCACGTGGCGCCTGGCGGAGACCGTAGACTGGCCGGCGGAGACTCCACTGGGTACCAGGGGGAAACGACCCAGTAAAGCCAGGTGGGCGGCGCAGCCAGATCTCCTCGTGCAGGCTGCCCTGCAGGAACGCTGTGCTGAAGTCAAGAGAGTGAAGCTCGTAGTCACGCTGAGCAGCAACGTGCAGCAGAACCCGAAGAGTGGTCATCTTCGGGGTGGGGGAGAAGGTCTGGAAGAAGTCGACCCCCTGACGCTGACTGAAGCCTCTAGCAACGTAACGAGCCTTGAAGACAGGCGGAGAACCTGGCGGCCGCTTCACCCTGAAAATCCACATACCATCGACGATGTTCGCCCCAGGAGGGGGAACCTCGTCGACGTAGGTGCCTGTGGACTTCCAGGATGCCATCTCTGCGTCCATGGCTGTCTGCCACTGAGAGGAGTAGGGACCCGAGATCGCCTCTGCGTAAGTGCGCGGAGTGGGGATGTCTACTGCATCCGGGTCTCCCTCAGGGGCAAGCA